CAGAGCTTTCAAGTTAAGTGCCGCCCTCTTCTGCCAAATTCTAACCTGAGGATGTGTTTGTTGTGTGTCCAAAACGCAATCACGAAAGCATGCAGGGGATAGGACTTACGGCTGTCTTGCCGAACAATAACCGCACTGGAAAAAAAAAACCACATGGAGTCCAGACTCTTGAAAACATTGACAAGAAAAAGTACTCTTGATTCAATCGGATTTTTGCTTAAATCAAAAGGAAATCCGCTCAAATTAAGAGGCTTGGTTCTTGATTTAAGCAAAAATCCGATTGAATCAAGAGTAGTTTTTCTTGTCGATGTTTTTCAGAGTCTGGACTCTAGATCCAATGTGTTTTTTTTTCCAGTGCGAGCATGAAAATGACAAATACTCTTTCTATGAAATTGAAATAAGATCAGTCGATTTTAAACCATCCGTGCGATGATTTCTAGGAGTCTTTCGGACGATCAGTAGCAATTTGACGAGGAACGGAGGCCAAATAAAAATAAAAACAAATATTTCTTCCAATAAAATTTTCCGGTCAGAGGCTACCGATCCCGTTTTCTCAAAACTTCATTTCTGCACTTACTGCTCTCTTCGCCATCACGGAAGTTCAGGTGATAACGAGGTCACTGATTTTCACCGTTTCAAAACGAATAGTGACTGATTGAGGTTCAAAAAAGCTCGGGCACAAAACTTTCAAGCTCCCACGTTTTCACGCGCCCGCAAGCCGGCTCTCTAAAACAATTTCCCTCGGATTTCAAAATATCACGCAGAGTTCGCCGACAGAGACTGTTCGACTATTATAAGGAGGATCATAACAATATTTGATCAAGCGGGAGCGTGGGTTGCCTAAACCAAAAATTGAAGGCAAACTGATTTGGCGTTAAAGTAACCTCTTTCGGTTAGGTGGAAAGCTTTTATTTGACGTTTTCCGAGTGATATTGCTAGTTCCTCACCTCGCGGCCCAAGTATGAAAATCGCCATGCGACCTTTAAACATTTCCGCTGCCATTTCATTTTTTTACAGAGAAATTGTTGGTTGAATCCGATGAAAAATCTCACTGAATTTCGTCGGCAGCACAAAGAAAATTCAGTGAAATTTTCGGGCAGTTTCCAGGGCCGGATTAAGGGGGTGGCCATATGGGCCGCGGCCCATGGCGGCAAATCTAGGGGGCGGCAAATTTTGCAATTTTTTTAAAAGTAGGTATAAAAAAATCGGATTAGTAAAATGAAAATTACAAACGAGAAAAGGATACAAAATCTCTCATTTCCTGAGAGTATAGTAATTTATAATTTTGTCGTCTTTCAGTGATACAAGAGGCAGCACCTTTAATTTGTCGAGTTAAGAGAGAAACCAAACACACAATTTGGCCTGGAACGGCGCGACTTTGGGCGAAATGATGACGAGGACTTGAGATGAAAAGGAGAAGCCCTCGGCGAGGCAATCAGCATGTAACACATATCGGCGCCTACAAGACTGCACGAATACTTCACGCATTGCATCAAACACAGTGCGGTTATTGTGGTAAGCGTGAGACGGATAGCGCCTACAAGAATGCATGAATACTTCACGCATTGCGCCAAACACAATGCGGTCAGCGTGAAACGCATAGCGCCTACAAGACTGCGTGAATACTTCACGCATTGCGCCAAACACAGTGCGGTCGACGCGGAAGTTGAAATCATTAAACCAAATTTTGTGTTTGTTCTTTCATAATTTGTTCGTTCATTTTTTATGAATGGAAGGCCTTGTCCATTAGAGATAGGTTTCCGAAACTTGACTTTCGCGCAAAGTTCCGTGACTTTTTGCTTGTGGTGTTGACAGGGCTTTCCCAAAAAATGTGTTCAACACGAGTAAACGCGTCTTATGCACCCCTCCCCCGCTGACACGTTCACTTGATGGTTTTTATTGATGTTTCAACACGAATGAGAAGGGGGCGGCAAGAAGGAAAATCCGGCCCTGGCAGTTCCGTTGAACAATTTCTCTGTAGAAAATTAAATGACGGCGGAAATTTGTGAACGTCGCATGGTGCTTCTGATACTTCGACCGGAAGGTGACGAGTTCACGACGATACCACAATTCGACCACTTGAGAGCTCGTGTTGCCGAAGTTGAAATTGAAGGCGAACTGACATGATCTTTCCTTCTTGTTTCCTTTGAGTTTCGACTTTTAATTCCTAAAAATTGTTCCCCGTTTCACATTACTTATTGAGCCTTTGAACATTTTCATGCACACGGACTGGCGCGTGATTGGCGTGATTGAGCATTTGGTGCAGGCACGTCTTTTTTCATCGGGTTTCCTTGACTATTACAAACATTTTCAAACTAAATTTTAGACTCTTCATCCGTTCCACAGCTTCATTTCCGACTCGCAGTTAACTGAGGAATTAAAGCTCCTCCGCCCTTATCCCCACAATGACGATTGATACGGCTCATGGTAGATCGTAGATTGAATTCGATCAGCCTAAAGCAGGCTACTTGGTGCGGACTCAACCATGGTTATTTTCATTAGAGGCATTGAAGAGGAGCTACCAAAATACTAGGGTGTCTACCAGTTATGAAAAACCAAATTTGGGGACTTTTATGGGAGTTTTTCAAGAAAATCGGCGACCTTTTTTCCCGAAATAGTAAGAGAAAGGGAGCTAGTTAGAGCGTTAAAAGGCGTATTTTATGCGACTAATTTTAAAAGGCATGTTGAACCGATGAAAACATACGAAAAACCAAGCAACACTTCACTTTTTCCATTCCTGGTTATACCGCGCCGCCGCGGCTGGTGGGAAAATTTTAAAATGCCGGTGTGTAGGACGGTTTTTGTCATTTTTCGGGGACCTGAATAAAATAATTGGGGGCTTTCGAGGATATCGTGGACACCCTTCCAAAATCGGGGACTTTTGGGGACCGGTAGACACCCTGAATACTGATCTTAAATAAAACGTTTCCAACGGTAGAAACGGATGGTACGGTAAAAAAAAAAAAAGTACAGCTGCTGAGCTCTCAAGGTCAGTAGCGTAACGATCTAGAGGGGGACTCTCCAACAGATGTTTTTGCGCCCCCCCCCCCCCCAGAAGCTCCACCTTGCTTCCGTTTTACATCGAAACATGGTTAACGGAATAACTTCCCTCTTGGGCAGCGCACTTCCTTTGCAAGCTGAAATCGACATTTGTTTCGGCGTTTCGATGATTGGGGAAAAAGCTCATTTCCAGCCCAATCATGGTGGACATTTACGTTGGAATAGCGATGGCCCAAGTCCCTAAGTGCGAAACCAGAACCACATACCTCCGTTTGCAACGTTGCAGACTTCCTGTCATACTTTATTTATCCATCTGAAGACTAGTAAACATAATTTCTGGAAAACTTTCTTTGATTTTTCTCCTTTATAAGCGGAATATTTCGCAGTTTCAAGTAACGTACCTACTTGAGTTGTGTCTCGTCCGAAAAATACAATAAGAGCAGAAATTTGGAAATACCGCAATGGAGATACGTTGTTTCGCACTTTAGCCATCAATAGGTATTCCAGAAAGAAGAAAACATCAACTGGGTTCGGCGTGTAGTCAACTTCTTAGTAGCAAAAGGGTAAGTAAGAAAGGAGTGAGAGCACATTTTGTCCAACATTCTGCTGAAGAGCACATCTTTACCACAACAAGCAGGGATTCCTCTTGATAAATTGATGGGTTTGACTTGACAAGCCTGACAACTGACAGACTACATCAGTTTAACATGCTGGCCTGGTCATGGTTTCAAGTGCCAGCGCCTAACAGTACTCATAATTGGACCGCGTTTGGCAGAAAGGAACCTAGCCGCATCAGCTACCTACTGCCAAATTTAACCGAGCAATTTAATTTTACACAAGAGAACGTTTGTGCGGATTCCCTCGAAAATTGAGAGGAATTTGCTTCATACTATACAGAAAATTCACTGAAATTCGCGTAAAAATCCACACAACCGATTTCATGTAAAAAATTGAATTTGGCAATGGCTGATGTGACTTGATTCCTTTCTGCTTAACGCGGTCTATTCTGAATGGTGTTCGATGACAGCGACTGTCAGGATATCAGATGTGATGTATGAACATCGAACTGTAAAATGATCGATACATTCAACAAAGAATAATGATTTTCAAGCTTGGCAAAATGTGTTGGAAGCATTTACTTTAGTTCAAGTTAGAAAAGAACATGATTTTTGACTACCATTCAAAAATCAGCAGCGACATAATTTGGGGGTGTCAGATGCCCGGTTGCTGGCGACTCGTAGTACTTATTCCCATCCCACGGAACGGTTTGATGAAAGACCCTAAACAACTTGATATTAACTTTTTTAGATCAATCGGATAAATGATTCTCCATGAGAAAATGAACGCAGTAATTCACAGTTATACATTAATGCACAAAAGCTTACATTTTGAGGTGAAACTTCAAAACCAAGCTTCCATAGGTACACCAGATGTAGACTAATGTCTAGGACTTTAGGGTGCTTTAAGTTGCGGTCAGCAACTAGAGAACTCATCTGAGGGTGCAAAATTGTATTAGCGTTGGATCACTTAGCTCTCTACATCTGAGGGATGACTGCAGCTCACCTCTCATTCCTTCATAAAATTGCTGAAGTAAGTACAGAAACTTCACAGTTTCACTTGAACCTCACTCAACCTAAACCTAAACTCTTTACTTTGACTGAGGAAGCTTAGGAGATTGTGTAGACAGCACCTCAGTAGAGTGCATGGCAACATTTAAAAACTCAACGAACAACTATTGGTTTCAGGTCTCCACTACTTTAGTTGATGGAGGATTTGAGAGCAATTCTTTGGTTTTCATGAATCAAAGGTAAGTTTGATGATCCTTAGGGGCAGAAAAGATTGGGATTCATGCGCATCAGAGCTGGGAGTTTGTAAGTACTGTCTACTGTCAAGCAAATTGTCACGGACAGAGAACAAGGTAAGTATCCAAAGAAATACTGGAGGCTATAGTCACGAAATAATTAATCAGAAATAATAGAGTGTCATTCAAAAAAACTTACCATCCAGTGAAAAAATCCTGGGGTGTCTAGTTGGTTGATAAGCACTTGTCACACAATCACACAAATTCACTGACCTAGGAACAGCTCTAAATTCGGATAGGACACTGAAAAGCAGATGATCTGCTATCCTACGATGGATTTCGAAAGTTGCCACGATAAAATTTTGAGCTGGGAGGAATTGAAGGGGCACAACAACAGAATCAGGTCATTTCGAGAACAGAATTACGACCATTACGACGATGCACGCTACATACTGGTTTCATATGGATTGATCGAAGTTGTGGTACCTGGGCTGGAAACACGAAAACACGCACCACCCTAAGGAGAATTAATAATCTTAATCAAAGACGGTCCGGGTGAAAATTTACGCACTTTAATTATCACTGAGCTGAACTAAGCAAACACGTCTGGCACAGCTTCATAATGCAGATAAAGAAAATTTACACATGATAAAACACGCGTCTGATTGAATTTTACTGATTTACTTCAAGACTAATCCGCTAGATAGCGCTGCACCGCGATGAATGTATCAGATCATTTTGCCAACCTTATTTTGTGACACTATCCCAGTCGGTTTCCTAAAATTCTAAAATTAGTTGATTTCCAATGAAAGGACCATAAAATACTCGAAGATTTTTGAGTTAAAATGAAAATCGGAATATTTCACTTTTAATCGAGCTCCTTCTAGCCGGTTTTAAACAAATTGGAGCTGTAGTGCTGTATTAGTGGTTTGTCAAGTCTAGGCGATTTAGGGCATACAAATTTTTAATGTTTCCGTCTGTGATAAAAAATATGCCTGTCAGCTGATTTAACCGCGAGTTTCAAAATGACGGGCCGTCATTTCGTGAGCGCAACTTTTCACTGACATAGAGGTCCAAAAAGTAAGAAATTAGATAACATAAAAGTCTTGGATTTAATTGATACCTGTGATGATTAGGAAGCTTAAATAGGAGTTAATGAATATTTCTTGCAAGAAATATGAGCTGAGCTCTTTAAAAATAACATTGGTAACTGCATCCCACTTAATGTCAATGTTCCAGGAGGCAACTAAATTCAATGAGCCATCTTATTTTACTTTTCCCAATTTTATACGATGCAGTGTGTAATGGAGGCTCCTTAACTATTTGAAAACTTATATTTTAGGGAAGAAAAAAACTTGAGAAACACAAAAACAACCATACTAAAACCAGGTTGGTAAATTATCTCAGACTCCAACATATCCTGACTCATAATTTTAACAATTGGGAAAGAAATGTATTGACACTTCAAAGGTTTTAAGCATAAGAGGACTTCACGCAAGAAAGGTTTATAGCTGCAAATCTGCTCAGATTGAAAGAATGCTAATTCCTGGTATTAATAGCAGAAGTTGAACTTTGCTGTGATTAAATGCATGGTGCAAAGATACAAAAAGATTACCACAGCAGGACTTTTTTTGAAGATAAATGGGATGTTTTAACTGAAACACAGAAAATGCCAGGGTCAGCAGCAAAATTGTAAGGCTTTTTCGTGACATTTACAGATTTTATCTCCCACTTGATTCAAACTGTTGCAGGTTTCAAGATTTTTTTGAGACAACTAAGGAATTCCAGATTCTCAATTTCATTTCCAAGTCTATAACTTCATAAACTCCTTTTTGGAATGAGAAGAGCAAGACGAACTGAAGATTGATGCTTGTGAATAAGGACATTAACTGATACAGTCATCCATCAACTTTTTTGGCTGTTTAGGTAGAGATTATCCCATCAAAAAAATGAACACCATCGTTTTAAGTTAAATAAATGTATTAAATTAAATTAAATCACAGGTGGAATACATTTAGATATAAATAATCAACAAGATAGGGAAACAAAGGTAGTATCACCCGCTGACATGATTATGGCAAGGTTGAAACAGAGAATAGCGCACATTATTTTGTAAGGAACAGTTTACATGGTCTTCTTGATAATTTTGTGATGCTGGAAATTTCTGTTGAGTTTTTTTTTCCTTCTGTTTTGAAATTGTATGCTTCTGGAGTAAATGTGCATAGTATCTTACAATTTAACCTGCATCAATTTGACAAACTGCTTGGCAATTTTTTCAATGCCTCATTTCCCAGCATCACATAAATCACATTGCAGATTATGGTTCAGAAATAAAGTATAAATAGAATAACTCTTCTCACATTGAATGAGTATCCTTCAAGTAAACCAAACTTAATGAGAAACGTAACACATGGTAAAAAAAAAAATTAAAGTAAGACTGGAGGAAACGAAAATAGAAACTGATGGTAAAAATTGGCTTAAAACAATACACTGACAGATTGATAGAGATAAAGCGAGGAAAGGGGGTGAAAAAGGTAAGTTAAAATGAACAGAGGAGGATTGAGGAAATAGAAACATCAAGAGGAAACAAAATGGAAATAAACTAAACAACATTGCGAAGTTTAAGAGCAATTTTGAGGAACCAATACTGAAAATCAATTCTTGAAAAATACGGTCATTCCTTAAAGTCCTTAAAAGTACTGGATTAATATCTATGGATAAAAGGTAGATATTCTGTGGCACGTTCATTGAGACATGAGTAAAAAAATAATACAGGTGGAATGAACTTTGAAGAAAAATTAAGCTTTGTACCATTGTTGAATCATTAAAATCTATTGAAAAATGTCACATGTTCAATTAATTTACAGATTAATTACAGATTTCTGACAAATTATGATAAATAAATACATAAAGGACACGATGAATGTATTATTGTATAATACAAGGTGGAAATAAATTAATGGTTTTAATAACAGGTCTAAAAATGAACAAAAGTGTCCCTGAGAAGATTATATCAGGGGATTTTATTTGTATGAAAACCTTTTCCCCTTTCAAAACTATTCGATTCCTGCTTCCAACATCTATATCTACATGGACTTTGTATCTTCTGAGAATATATTTGAAGGATTTCATTACAAACCTTTTACGTGTTTTGTTCTTCAAGAACTCATGATTCAAAGGCTCTTTGCCAGAAAATACTTCTGAAAGCTGTAGGTTACTTGATCCAGGAATTTAAACTTTCAAGGTTCAGAGAAAATTTAGTTCAGAGGCTCAGAAGTTGAGGTTAAAATATTTCTTACATAAAATACAAACGTGTTTTTAAAATTTCAAATTCAATTTCAATAGCATTGGATTCAATTCATGGAAAACATTCTAAGTGAGGGTTCCCCAATATGGTAAAAAATTCTATAATATATTGATTGAAGAAATTATCCTTGCACAAGGACGTTGAAAAAGAGAAACTGACACCAAAAATTAAATTAATTGATTTTTAAATTAAATTTAATTTTTAGTTGGGCACTTGAAAGATATTAATAATGATCATCTTTCATTAGAATACAATGGAAGCTCTTGCCTACCCAGCAGTGGCCAAAAAATAACCTTACTAAAATGTTGCATTAACGTTAATTTCATTCTGACAGTAACTTTGTGACAATGTTTTCGCAACCTCCTTTTGCCTGGTAGGTTAGGAAGGAATCTTGTCCTTATTGTGGAAAAACATACCATAAAATAAATATTAATAATTAAATTTACAATGTTTAAGCGTATTACTTTTCAATATGAAACGATCATGAATACTCCATTCCATTCGCCCTTTTCAAAAGTGACAGGAAAAACTTCAAATTTTTTTCAATACTCTCTCACTATAATGACGTCCTTCATATTAAAAATGTCTTGATGACAACGGAATCATCAGGTCTCTTGAACGTCACAAGTCAATCACAGCGCAGCTCATTATGGGAAAATGTCCTTCATAACAAAAAATTGTAAGTGTCCCTTCGTCTCCTCCCAGGAGGAAACAAAGAAGACGCCCAGTGAAAGGATGACAACAGGGGTTTTAGAAGAAATATAAAAGCGGCTTTTTACAGAACGAAAAATCATTTGGATCATTGCTGGTTTGTTATGGAGGGAAAGTATTGTACTTTTAATCTAATTTATGATATGAAGGCCAAGTGCTATTTCCGGCTGTATCTCTTCTTCTGTTTTTTTGAGCCACTATTCCGCTCCAGTTGTAAATTGGTAACCTTTGACTGAGGCGGACAAAATCCTTCCCTAGATTTTTCACGAGACATCAGAAGAATATCCTTCACAGCTTGCTCCCTCGGCTGGCTTAGTGACGAATTTTCTAAATGTTCTACTTGCATATAGCTTAAATCAGTCAGCATATCATCTGAAAAACAAAATGGTGAAACTATGAACATTTAGATACCTTGCAAATTCCCTCAAGGATTAGTTTAATGATATCAGAACGCAGGTTATTGTTCTATGGTAATGAGCGACAACTGAACAAAATTCAATGAAGCAGGCTCTACACAGCATTTAGAACTAAAATTTGATGGCAAAATTCAATTTCTATTACAATTTAATTTCTTAAAATAGAAGCAAACCAACACTAAAGCCTGAAAAATATTCTGTTAACAGAGAAAAAACAAGCAGGAATGCCCTAATACATTCGTATTAGACTTAGGCTATAGTTTTTTTTTTTGGCACAGGAAATTCAAATTTTTTTTATTTTTTTTTTATTTTTTATTTTTTGTAAAAACCACAGCTAAATAAAAACGTTATCATGTTGATATCTTGGTTGGGAGTTAATATGAATGAGTTCCGTTGACCAAATCATATTCAACAATAAATTTTGAAAAGAAAACATTGATCAAAATTTTAAAATTCGAACCTCATCAAGTGGCTCAGTAATGTTTGTACAGATTGTATTAATCTTTGCCAATCAATGAGATTCGGTGTTTAAAAGACAATTAAGGGGTTGGTTGGAACCAAAAGCACTCAATTACATTGCAATTTTGCAAAGTTTCCCCTGACACATTAATTTTTCATTCATTTGATATGAATTCATTCAGGGAATATCTGTTACATTACAACAATATTTCACCAACAATTCAAACAGGGTGTCTGCTAAAATTTAATTTTGGAAATTTCTGATATTTTCCTGATATTTTAGACAAAACATACTGATTTATCACAAGAATAAATTAACAATCGTTTGATTTAAAAAATCAACAACATATTTGATTAATTCAATCAGCTGTTTGAAAAATCTTTAAGGCACTCAGAATCTCCTAACCCGTGGCCGATTTTCCTGACGCTTTCCTGATTTTTCTTGATAACATCGAATTTCCAGATATTTTCCAGTTCTCGCTGATGGTAGACAACTAGACACCCTGTTGAAAAGAGGATTTGATACCATTCTTGAGTTGCTTATCAAACTCTATTGAAACCAAAATTCATGCAAAATTCTGGGGTTGCAAAATCTCAAAAAAAGTTTGCAAGTTTATTCACCTATGAAACAAACCATGCGTGCTCCAGGGAGTAGGTTTAGATCTCATTTGGGACAGATTGAGAACAGCATGGATTTGACTATCAGAGGGCTTAGGCTCAGACTTAGGCTCGAAGAAATCACTTGAATTTTGGATTTTGGGACTCATACTTGCAAAAGGCGAGGACGTATGAATTAAATTAGTTAGCATTTCATCTAGGCAAGGAGAAAAAGGCATTCAAAAATAATGAGAAAGCAATTTTGAGAAAGCGATAAAGAGAAAAAAATTTGAATGATTGTAGCTGAGACAGAGAGAAGGGTCGGGGTGGAAAAAAATCAAAATAACTAAATCACTGCTTAGGGGCTGCTCAAAAATTAAGTGACGCAAAATTCCCCATTTTTTTTCATCTGCTCAACCCTTTTGAGGCGCTCCAGATACTCCCCCTCCCAAAAAAAAATTACTTAACATTTGCCTTAACGTCTCCCCTTTTTTTTACAAAAAAAACCTCGAAAGGAAAATATTTTCTCATTAGAAGAGGAAGGAGGGCTTAGCCTCTGTATTTCAGGAAACAAGAAGGAATACGATAAAAAAAACTAGTATACAAGACTTGAGGAGAAAAAAAAAGGAGAAAAAAAGTTGAAATCCAGTACACATACTGGTAAAAGATGCTGAGCTTGACACCCCCCCCCCCACCACTTGTTACGCTTGGTCGCAAAATTATGGAGATACACTCACCGCCTAAATGAATAAAATAAATAAATAAAGCGATACGCAATTTATGAACAGCCTCTTGGGTAGGAGAGTAAAACATGCTCGAACGCTGCCTTGCAAAATCCATGAGCACATGAGGGTATTTGTGAGCGCATAAGGAACTATTTTAATGGCAAGAAAAGAAGGAAAACAGAATAGCAGGCTGACTTTTGCAAGGGGACGAGATAGGCAAGCATTGGAGCAAAGATGATTGTATTCATTTTTGGCTCCCAAACTGTAAATTAGCATCGGTCCAAATAGAGAAGCATATTCAGATTTGACCATTCCATGTTACAGAAAGTGGCAATGCTGCCGTATTTGAACCGACATTTTATACAAATAAAGAGCTAAAAAAGTGTGCTCACATTACTAAAGGTCATAGTAGAATCCAAAAAAACCACTCAGGTGCTAAATATAATGGCTATTTTCAGTTGCGACAGCATGCAAAGATTAGCGGACAATCACGGCAAAGCCAAAATGTGAATAAATTCTGCCCCCTTTTCTCTATTCCTGAATAATTGTTTCTATATTGTGGACATTATTTTTCACGGTTCATAATTTCCAACTGAGGGCCTTAAATACTTATTCCTTACTTTGTTCCCTCTTTTACATTTATTATTATAAATATTGAATTTTTACTTCCATTTTTTTCTACTTCAGATAATGACTTCCAGGTCAGTAACAGAATGGTTTGTTTTCATTTAGTTAAGAAAATTCATTTTGACTGACAACTTGGCACTTTTTCCTATTTCAATATTAATTTTAGCAGTGATAATAACTGTCAACACTTTCGAATTTCATTCATCTTTCCAAACAAACTGCATCAAGTGACATCATAATATGCACTAAGAAAGCAAACATGCTGCCAAGACAATAAATAATGAAGAATAAATAGATGAAAATGTCAAGTTGAAAACTTTATGAGAATGGGAAATACCTAAAAGGAGAAATACAGGTAAAATAAGGTGATTCGATGGTTGCCATTTTTTAAGTCAGAGCGACGTGCGATATATCGCATCAATTCGTTCCATAATTTCAGCTACTTGTCCTTTTTTTCGAATTTTGAGATCACATTTCTGTTGTCATGAGACTAGAGAATTCATGTACCAAATTTGACAAAGAAATTCAACGAAATAAAAGCAGGGGTTTTTTTGAGGAAAAATATTGCATTCGAGTGCTGCATTCGATATCAGTATCGAATGCTATATTTTTCCTCTAAAAAAACCGTGCCTTTAATACATTGAATTTCTTTGTCAAATTTGGTACATGAATTTTTTAGTCTCATGACAACAGAAGTGCGATCTCAAAATTGAAAAAAATGACAAGTAGCTGAAATCATGGAACAAATCGATGCGATATATCGCACGTCGCACTGACACAAAAAATGGCAACCATCAAATCACCTTGAACACGAAAGAAAAAATGTGACTATTCAAAATGAAACTTACAGATAGGTGGTTCAAACTGCATTGTCTTGGAAATTCGCAATAAATGGTGGATGATAGCTTCGTAGAGCCCATCCCAACTGCCGACCTGAGTCAAAAAGTCATTTCGTTGCAAAATTATCCGATTGAGAATAATGATGCCTCGTTTCATCACGGATTCCAGTTGGTTTCTGCTGAGCTGACAAATGGGACGCTCCTCTGCAATTTTTGAAAAAATTGAAATATTGGTGATTTCCAGTTAAAATCTTCTCAGGGTAATTTTGGTAAAAAATATTAAACCCAAAGACATAAAGACGGAGCACTAGAAGAGAAAAATGATGCAAATTCATGCAAACTCACCAATTGGCTATAGGATTGGCAGCAAAATCCGGACAAGTTTGAAATTCAAATAGAGGGCAGGAACTAAATAAAATTGCGTGAACAAAGTATCAGGTTGATTTTTGCTAAAATTCACTTACTGACATATATTTTTTTAACTTTTGGTTATTTTTGGTCCGCCATCGACCGATTAATCTCATTTGAGAGTAACGGTCATCTAGGACTGCAACGGTCTGTTTGAACTGGCAGGACCATCATGAGCAATAGATAAACTAACTTTATCTGAGATTCCTGCTTTTTACCGAGCCAAAGTAGGTGTATTGTACCTAATCACCATCCCAACTTTGTTTATTTGTTCGTTTTAGTGACTTAAAACGTATTTAGACTAAGAAATGTGCAAAAATCAAGAGTACAAGTTCAAATCGACTTTGCGTTTGCCGCCATGGATTCCCGTGCTTATTTACACACTCACACAAACGCAGAGTGCCAGGGCTGCATCACTTCTCCCCCCGTGTTAGTAGATACAAGTGCTCCATCTTTATGTCTTTGATCAAACCATAGAACTCATCAATTCCCGATCCATATAAGGATTAGAGTAATCGTTAATGTAAACCAAGACTAAAAGAAGGAAATTATTAAATCAAATGGAATGGAGATAGCTAACTTTACAAATCTCAATCTTTCTATACTAACTTCTTTATCCGTGACTCGTTTTGGAGGTTATAACAAATAGAGTTATTACAGGAGTTGCGTGTCAAAAAACTGTAAATTTTGTCTTGCCTCCTTTTGAAACACATTTTATTGTGAGAAACAAAGTAAAAAGAAAGGAACCATAATTCCAAAAATTACAAAATACAGGTTTTGGTATCATTGCTTGGAAATGTGTTCCTTGAGCATTTTGTCACAAGAAATGACTGAAAATGAAAAACTAAACTGGAGCTATGACACTTCAAAGTTTGCATCTGAAGAAACACAATTTTGAGAAAAATATTTAAGCTTTTGATCAGCTATATTTGATTCTCAAAATTGTCCAATTAAAATGCAACATCATGACCTTCTGTTGACACAAAAATTATGTAAAGCCCTTAAAATTCACTTTATGAAATAGGTATTAATTAAAGTTCTTCATTAAAAACTTGAACTTCAATTTTTCAATAATTATGGCAAAAGTCACTTTCCTGAAAAATTCGCCCTTGTGCCCTAAGGTCTCTTTCTCTTGGATTGGTCACATATGTATCAATTTTTTATAAAATGTTGACATTTTTCAGCCACTTGAACACCAGCGAAAAGTTTCTGAGAAAGAGCTATTTGTCCCGCTAAAACTTTCTAGACAGGTCAAAGCAATGGACATTTTTATATAGGGGTTATTCAACTCATCAACTAAAAATTCACATTTTGGAAACTGATTTTTGCATTTAAAAAACGTAAGAATCCAAAATAATACTTTACCATCTGCATAAGTTAGGACAGCGTAATGAAGTACATTCAGAAACAATTGGATGAACCTAGGAAAACAATCACATGTCACCATTCTACAGTCACCAGCAAGCCAATTGGGGCAGTCAGATGTATCGACGGTTACTTTCAACGCCCATTTGGTGAAGTCCTCGGCAAATTTTGGAGTTTTGTCTATCATTTCACATTCTGTGCATAAGACTTGAAGTACACAAGTATCTAAAGCAAAAAAAAAGAAAAATGAGGTGCCTTGGAAAGAAAAGAGTGTCATTGCCAGTAAACAATATGAAATACAGACCTGTAAAATTACAGTAAATAATATTATTATGCACGCTTTTCTTGTGAATGCAAGAAGTAACATGAATTTTTCTTGATTTTAGTTACTACATTAAATTCCTAAGGTCTTAAAAATTTCTCAGGTCACTTAAAGTAATCATCTGAATTTCCAATGAGCCCGTTCCGGAGCACGGATGCACGTTCACAAAATAATGTGGAACTGATTCTTTTTGGAACCATGAAATTTTTAAATCAGAGACAACAGACCTTTCAACAACCTTCTCTACAAAGAAAAGCTAGGCAAAGAGGCAAAAACCTCAATGAAAAAAAGAGGAGTATAATTCTTACCGGTGGTAAATGTATAGTGCCTGGAAGCTTCAATAAAAGATTCTTGTACTGAAAAAGAAATAAAAAATTGAGGCAAAAGAAAACAATGGTAAAATTCTTCTTGGAAAAATAACAGAGGCGAATTGATTCAATAAAGAGCTGCCAAGAACTTTCTATCTTTGAGTAGAAAAAACTCGAAAAATTCTCTTGCCCAGATTTTAACATCGAGATAAAATTTACATACTACTAATTTTGAAAAACTTGAGCAATTTTCCTTTCAATAATACAGCAACATTAAATACATTTTTCCCTACTATTGATTATCATATAAACATTGCAATAGACAAGACTCTCGTAGACTCTAACCATTCATCCATCCATACATATATCATCATCTACTGCACAAAGGAATGTACCTCGATTGCATTAGATTCAGTGTTTTGTAGTTACATTTTACTTGTTTGTAGGGAAACCATCGGATAATTTCCCTGAAAGTTGTTGTGAATTTTCTTTACCCTAATGAAAATATATTCTGAAATTATTGAACTAATTCATGCGACAGTTTTCGTATGAAAAAATAAAACATTTGTGGAAATACTGAAACAACGCAGATAGGATATATTCCTTTGTGCGGGAATTGACGATATGTGATCAAATAAGTACAATTACATCCAATCTGTCCACAAAGATTGTCTTGGCTCTAAAGATATGATTGACTTCCCCTATTGTAACATATTAAATCTAGATATGGTTTCTTCTTTTGCATACATGGGAAAATTTGTTGACTGAAATGGGAAATTCAATGACATCAAACTTTGATCCTAGCCTTCCAAACACATATAATTATAGAAGTGAAGAAGAATGACAAGAATTAGAAGTATTTAGGGAGATCGTTTCTCAGGATATATTAATTCAGATATATACAGGGTTGCTACGGAAATGAGAAAATGAAATTCTCTGATTCCTCTGACACATGCTGGTGAAATTTCCTGACATTTCAGGATATGCCTACTGACGTCGAATCCATTCTAGAAAGCGGATAAGGGTAAATCAACAATATTTCCCTGACACAATCGTCATTTACTTTGATATATCAAAGTTTTCTCTGACTTTTTAAAATTTTCGGTTTTCTTGGTATTCCCTGTAGTCCCTGCGGTCAGCAGTGATTTGAAAAGTTTTGGTTTTGAGGGAACCCCAAAAACAAATACATACTCATTATTCAATTTGCTGAAATCCAGCTCCAATATTTTTTTCCTCATAGCTTTCATCAGAATTCAAGCCATACGGTTCTGCAGAAACCCCTCGTATATTTTGAGCGGCTTAGAAAAGCTCCATCAACAAGTTAGAAAAATAGGGGAGTGAGGATTCAATACTAACTCACCATGTACCGGGGGGTCAAAATCATTAGAATTACTAAACGGTCTTTGACTTTCTGGCGTCTCTCTTTCAGGTGGCGTAATTGAACCTATGAAGGCAATTATGATTAAAGAAAAGGGAAATAAAATAAAATAATGATAATGAGTGATGACTTTAATGAATCATCATTGCTTTATTTCTCTTTTCTTCAATTTTCTCAAGTCCATAATATATCTGTTGAAGCATACATATGTTTAACGAAAATAGGAATTTAAAGTATAATGATTTAGTGAATATTGAATAGGACTGAAAAATAATACAGAGGCAATATATGTTTGAATTGGTTACTGATAGTTTTACATTTTGATTTTGGGTGAATGTTACTTTACTACTTTTTTTTCTGGTTAACAAACGGGTTAAAATTACCCCTAAACGTTCCAGGCATTATATTATGTATTTTAGCCTTTTTCATCCACTTTCCTTGTTTACCCCTCATTAATATATTCAAGCTATTTGTGAATGGGGCTGTTACGAATTTTGTTTTAAAATTTTAAAAAATGAGGAAACCCGTATTTTACTTTTTTTCATTTCATCAAATTTTAGATGGGAAAACAACTTCCAAAGTTGTCGAAAGTTAAACATTTCAAACAGAAAAATATCTTGACAGATTTTGTGACATCACAAGGATCATTGACCATCGTGATCCTTTCACCTCTGATTGTTTATATAAATTACGGTTGTACATTAGTTTCACGATTGTTGAAACCATAGGCCTTTAATGGTGTCACCTTTAATGACGTCATAAGGAGAAGGCCAATGAGAAATGTTCTTCTAATCACCACAACTTTAAGCTCCTTTCTGTCAAAATAGCTATTTCAAGCTTTTTTAAGCTCAAAACGCGTTCCTTGCTAAAATTTGCGCAGGTTGCGCCTTTTTATTAAGCAATTCCAGGATCATGCAACAGCCCCATTGTATCTATTTTATTTGTAGTTAACTTCGCTTTCTCTAATGTCCTCATGTTCACAAAGTTGGTTCTCCAAGGCAACGTAAAATTTTGGGAGACTCATCCTTAATTTTTTTGATAAAATGAATGGAATATTTCCCAGAGCATAGATCTTGCAACAATGGAGTGAATCACTAACTTACTCGAGTTATTACAAAGGCTGTTGGTGCAAGTGAGGTACTTGGCGAGAGGAACCATAAGAGAAATGATATCATGAATAACGGCTGGTCCAGGGCAACAAAACACAACTTGTTTAACTATATTATTTATCACATTCAACCTACAAAAAATGACAAAAAAAACAAATCACGAATTTTGAAGAGTTTTTCTTCTAACTTGGCTACCCACACCTAAATATCATGTTTAGTCAAGTGCTACTACTTTCCACACTCTTTAAGTGCTCATTGTTCATTACATAAGAGAGGGTTTCCATTGTTTCTTCATTTTCCAATTTCTTTACTTATTTGAAACGGATTTGAAACAGCATAGGTTCAGTTACACGATCAAATTGAGCCATCTAACTGAAGCTCTGATTGATGGAGAAAGACCTGAGGTGAGGATGCGACCAATGAGAGGCCCAATTTGATGGCTCAATTTGATTGTGTAACTGAACCACATCACTTTAATTTCAAAGTCATGGTACAAACCGAATTTTCTTTTGACAAGGCAATTTATATAAACTATATTTAAATACAAAAAATTACTTCTTTTTCAATATCAACGGACAAGAATGAATCAATCCGTTTGAGGAAAACAAGCTCTCTTTTTCCAGTTTTGATTGGAAGATATGGTGCACTCTAAATAGAGAACAATATTTGGAATAATATTCATTTCTTGATGAATAAATGATCATGAAAGTGAGGGGAATACTGCCCTGAAGCTGATTTCCAAAAATAAAATGAAGGTTTCTTGGACTGAACAGGAAACTTTGAAGGAACTGTAAATGGGATGTTTTGATGATGATGAAGTGTTTAGATAATTGAAGAACAGTACGTAAAAAAAAAAAAAAAAATCAACTAAAGTTGAGTAGAGAACTGGCATTACCTTTCAATAGGTATATCACAGTCTAGTTTTGCTAAAGTTTTAAGTAAACAAATGACGGCTGCTAGGACACCATTAAATGACAAAGTACGGAACTGAAAAGACAAAGGGGAACAATTGAACATTAGTTATGACAAAAAAATTTTGCAAAAAGTGGAAAGAATGAATCATCTTGTGGTGGATTTTCTAAATCTAAAGAGCAAATCAAAGTAATTCCTGACCAAGAGTAAACACTGATGAAACATCGATAAATTTAATGAATTCACTACTTAGCTAAATACCAGTTTTGCTTCTACCTTTGGGCAAAACTACATGAGTGAGTTCAATCATGAAACTTTTTCACCTCCGTTTCCTATCTATTTTTCCTAAAGATTTCCTTGTCTTACATTATCTTAAGAACTTTTGCATCTTGTCTTCTAGATTTTAATTTGCTTCATTCCTAGCCAAATAATCACATGTAGATAAAGATAAAGAGTTGGCGCAATAAAATATTGCCAAAAATCGCGATTTGAGCAGAAGTTTTAAAAGATGGTGATTGAAATGCGGGCTTCTCTGGACATGAAATGGAAGATACGTACTTAAAAAATGGAAATTTCTTGGCAAGAAAAGCAGAGGATAGCCATACCTGATTACAAATCTCACTGACAATATCTAGAATCACTTGCAAAAAATCCAACTTTTCCAGGGGGCCCATGATTTTTCTCCCCTCCTCTCTTAAAGTTTGAGTAGGAACTGTTTCAAAGCTGAAATTGAAAGAAATACACATTCAGAAAATTCTCCGATTAAACAGAGTATTGGAGAGAAAAATATATTGTACCATTGTGGAGTTGGCTGCAAAAGAAGATTTAAAAAGCTGAAGCCCCAAACACTTTTGAGAAGAATCCAAATCGTGGAATTTTTTCTCATTTACTACAGTCACTCACAATACAGAAGTGAGAAAAGTGGTGAAAACTTTGAACACAATGATTTTTTTTATTGTGGTTTACAGCCGTCAAAGTCGCAAAATCAGCGAAAATCAGAAAATTTTGAGGTTATTTCATGTGCAAGTGCACGTACAGTAATATGAAAATACTGTAACAAAACAAGAAATTACCGTTCTTAATAAGTCATAGGGTGGCCACACTTCTCATATAAACATTGATGAGAACGCAATCTACCGGAGAATCGCCAAAATAACGCAAACAATCGGCGCACAGCTCTGAGCCGTCTCTTCAGATCTGGCCCAGCGCAGCGCGGACGACTGGGAGCTGTCAGTTTAAGTCAATGGGTTAAGTTGTTTAAAAAAATCACAATCTTGAGTGGGAATTTGCAACTATCCTAGTGACGAGTTTACTCCCTGATTTCAATAAAATCTGTTTCATATCCTTGCTTCCTGGCCTTCTCAGTTGCTAGACACCCTGTCAATCCTTATACTACCTAAGGGCAAATTTCACTAACTTACAAACGTAAGACTTCAACTATCTTACCTTCCGCCTTTCTTAGATGATGGGCTTACAGATTTCGGTGGGTCTATTTCCATTCGAGAAGTTGAAGGCTCCATATGGTTGACTTTTGGAAACTTACTTCTTTCTGGGCTGAGACTGGTGCTTGGTTTCCGTTTCTTACCTGCAGTGCACTCCGAAATCAATTTGTCATCACTTTTATTTGAGGAGCGGCGAAAGGGGTTTGAAGGATCACATCTAAAGAAAAAGATATGATGTAATGAGCTATAAACACTCGATAAAAATGTGGGGCAAAGTTAAAAATTGGTTTCCTGTGAACATTACATTGCGAATGAAGGACCTCAAATGAATTTATCGCTGAGTCTGAAATAATACAGAGGCCCTGTGAAATTGAAAACATTGACCATTTCTAGAAATTTGGCCCTTCAGTCTTGTAGCAAACATACTGTTGGCGATGGAAGATATGATTATCATGTTATCAGACAACCCTTTAATTTTCAGTTTCACTACGTTACGACTACAATTTTTTTTTTTCAAAACTTAATTTTTTTTTGGACTAGGTGGGTTTTTTACAGTTGCTCACGAGTTATAAGAGAAAATTTTTCAAAATCTTCATTCCAATCGGTGTAAAATCTCACAAGATTGAGAAAAATTAAGCTAAAGGAAAACATTTGACTATTAACACTAGATTATAAACTTTGAACATGTAAATTAACAAAAAATGAGTCGTATCAAAAACTCTAACTTCCAAATTACCTGATTTGAACTAACACCAGTGCTTTTAAAAGAAGTTATTCGTCCAATTGATTTACCAATGCGAGAGAAAATTTTCATTTTCAAGAAGAGAGCTAGGTTCATTAATGACGATCTTGGAGGGCTAGACGATCCGCTACTCTCTGTCCTAGTTCCGGAATCTGACTGAGGGTGCGCTGCGAGCGCCTCAGTCGTCACCCGCTGAAGATGAGAGCAGTTAGGCTCCCGAAACAAATTTGCCCTTTTTGTTAAAATCAGGTAATTTGAAAGTTGGAGTTCTTGATACGACTCATTTTTTGTTAAAGGAAAACATTTAAGTCTTCTTCATGAAATTCCCGACATCTTCCAGTTTTTTCCGACATTTTAAGGAAAACTGTTTTCACTCTGACTTCATCATGTTTTTGGGCCCTTTACATATCTCATCCAAGTTCAGGACTTATCTTTATACTCAGTATTGACTTTTGACCACTTTTGTGATGATTCCAGCAGGAAAAATAACACACCAATAGGGGTCTGAGGGGGGGGGGAGCTCTCCTGAAAGTTGTCAAAAAATGATATCCGTTCTGAGCAAATTGACATATTTTTCATCGCATTTTATCCATGTAACTGTTACTAATAAAATAAGAAATTCTGAAAGCACTTCTCATCTTCCACCCTCTGACATTTGTTGCTCCTTAAATTTGCCTCCTGCAGGCAACTGCCTTGCTTACCTACCCTGTAAGTCCAGCTCACATTTGCATCAATCTGCTACTCATGAGATTAGGTATTCTTTGGGGAGAAAGCACTTCTGTCAAAGAAAGATATTTTTTAAAAAAAGTTTTAATGTGCTTCCTTCAGAGACTAATACTGCCGTGCTAAGGAAGAACGCCGTATGAACATTTGAGAATTGCCAAACTTTCTCCTATAAAATGTTCAGTTTTGAGGAAAATTGTCGATATTTTTCCTTGAAATTTTCAGACTTTATAGATCAACTTACCAGCAAAATTACCTGAAAAATTGGAAGAGGAATATTCACAAAATTTCTTGAAAATTAGTGATTTGTCAAAGGAGATTTGGCAACGCCTGAGGGCTCATACGGCATTTTTCCTTGGCACGGCAGAACAGTACAACAATAAAAAACAGAAAAAGAAATTAAGAAGATAGGGCATAGTATCTGAACTTACTCATTTTCAGTGAAATTAGTCTGAAGAAGCAAATTGACTGCATGAACTGATATGTCAGCTAGCTCCGACAAAACAGTAATTGAACGCCGAATTTCAATCCCTCTCTCGTCTGGATACCATTGCCTGAGCAGTTATGAGACAAGATACATTTTCAGAACAAAAATAGATTTTCAGGAAACCCACTGTCCTCCATACAGATAATAAAACTATGAGGGCATATCTGTTTGCAACAATGTAAGTTTTCTAATATGTTTCACTTCTTTTTTTTTAGCCTTAACTCATCAATGCCATTGCTTAAAATTTTGAGTAATTTTTATTTGTATTTAATTTGACAGGATTTCGCCCAATAGCATTTAGACCGCATTTAACAGAAAGGAACCAGGCAACATTAGCTAAATTTAACGAGGCAATTTAATTTTTTACGAGAGAACGTTTGTGCGGACACCTTTGAAATTTTTAAGAGATTTGCTTCGTACTATGGAGAAAACTCACTGAAATTTGCATGAAAATTCGCACGGCTGTTTTCATGTAAAAATTTAAGTTTCCCAATTAAATTTGGCAATAACTGATGTGGCTTGGTTCCTTTCTGTTCAATGCCGTCCATTCCATGTTGTCTAATTTTCTCTCATGTTTCGTTTTTTTAAAGCAAAATAATCTGCTTAATGCTTTTGACAACCAAGAAAATACATATTCTGAATTATGAAGAATATATACAGTATGCTCCAGGTTATTGGAACTCAGGTTATCCAAACTCCGCGCTAATTTCTACTTTGCGGTCATTTGAAGAGTTACCCTGAATACCTTTTTCTGTGGTGAGATCGGTAAGTGGATTCCATCTTTTACTTGATTTTATTTAACCTGAGAGATATTCATAATTCATGGTAATATGATTAGAGAGGTTTGCCATATTCCAAACCAAGATACCTGATTTTATAATTTTACCCTTGAAAGAATATTTGAGCATGAGGAATAATGGGAATGGACCACTAGACAAGGACCGCATTGGAAAAAATGTCACGTGTTTTCTGTTTGAAACAAAGTGATTCTCGCAATGGGAAGTCCAGATATCAACTCCTTGATGAGATATTAAGAAGTGTTTTTAATACAGGTCAAATGGATGTTAGATTAGATTATACAAGTGATGTCATTTGTATTTTTGCCATTTAACCAATGTTAATCGCAAACATTCATATTTCATTTGAGACATAATTTACAAATGTCTCGTTGGCTATCGATATCAATGATTCGAGAGAGCAGCGTATTTTAAAAAAATGATAAATCTCAAATCCAATTCAGCATCTCAACAGTAATCTCTGGATCAGACCTGCCGTGCTAAGGAAGAACGCTGTATGAACATTCGAGAGTCGCCAAATTTCCTTTGATGAAATGTTTATTTTTGAGGAAAATTAGGAACATTTTTCCTTGAAATTTTCAGGACCTTTAGATTGAAATACGAAAAAAATTCTCTGAAAAATTGGAAGAAAAATATTTATAAGATTACGACAGAATTTGTGTTATATCAAAGAAAATTATTCAACGCCTGAAGGTTCGTACAGCATTTTTCCTTAGCACGGCAGAGATGTCAATGACACACTTTAAAATAGCAGGTAAAAGAGGACTACTTACTCAGAACTTAACAGAAATAAACAGTCCTCATCTCTGCTGACAGCGACGCTAAAACAGCTGATGGCCAGTTTTCCAACTCTCTTTTCGTAGGACTCATCAAATTTAGCTGCATGCTCTAGCATGATAAGGAATTTCTCTAACTGTTTCCAACATTTCAGAAAAATCTGAAACAAATTGTATAAAGTGAGCAGGATGTATATCAGTCAAGAACAAAAATCACAAGATTAACTGAACCTTGGAGCATTGTCTTTTTATTCTTCGTATATTATTCTATTGGATCACAAATTTCCAATTTTGAGATATTTTTCGAAAAAATCCAGCTTCAAAGAAAACTGTTCTCAAAATACAAGGGTTTTCTTTCATTGAGTGAGTAAAGAAGTAGACCTTGTTGGTGACACCTACTTTCTGGTAAAGGTGTCATCAGCTAGGTTGGCAGTTGCTTACTTTCGACTTTTACATGCAGTAGACTGATTTGTGTCTCTGCGCTCAATTGCTATTAGACAACTGCATTGCGGTTGTTTGTAAACAGAAAGTAAACAACTGCCAACTTTGCTGATGACACCTCTAAAGTATATTTACAAATCTTTTAGTTGGTTGATTTATTTCTATTATTATTTTCTCTCTGAAGAAAAAAATGAGGGCTTAGTTCATATCAGCAATTTTAAAATAAGATTTTTGGATCAATTTTTTTCCTCCACACTCTGAAGCTTCATATCTGAAATAAATACAGATGATACAAAATCAAATTACACTAAATCAAACCACTAAACAGGGTGAGAAATTAAGCAATACAAGATATTTTTTCTCATAAAAATTTCAAGCAAAACATTTTGAATGTATCAAAAAACTTTCAGAATTAACTCATTAGTGAGAAATAGGCGTTTGTAGTTTACATTATGAACCATAGATTAAACTTGGAAAAAGAACCATAATCATCGTTGGCTTAAATAGGCATTGAAATCAACCTATACACAAATAACAAGAGCTTTGGTCCATTTACATTCCCTTCCTTGATTCATCAAAGGTATCTCTAATTTTGTCCAAAAAAAGTTGGTACTTGGGAAAATTCCTTCATTGTGAAATATACCAAAATTACTTTAAATGCTCGATCTGCCTCGAGCAGACCTCTGTTTTTCTGCAAAAAGGGAGTATGAATTAACATTCACAAAAACTGTTACTTTCTGACTTATAACCGATTTTTAGAAAGTTTCAACAAATCCATCATGTTCTACGTGACATTTTGATTAGGAAACATATATTGTGATTCTTACTTTAGTACCCTCCTTATTGGTTCATTCATGAGATGTTTATTAAAACCAATAGTTAAAAGGAATTACATACCTTCCTGACAGGTTCAGAAGCACTTTCAGTATTTAACGACTCCATTGTGTAGAAAGGAATAAAAGGCATTGGCGAAAAGGACATCAATTGCGGGCTTTTGTTCGATGAGTCAGCTTTCTGCTGATTCTTATATTTACCTTCATTGTTTTCTGAAAAACAAATGAGCCACGGTCAAGACTCGTCTAGTTCAAATTTATTTACAACAAACTCAATAACTGATCAACCTATTAAGTATTGGTGTCTTGCACTTGAACAATCAGCTATTGTTCTAAGAAATCGAAGCACCTGTTGAATTAATAGCAAGCAAAATGTTGCGAGAAAATTTAAAAGTTCAAGAATATGGGGGGTTTCCACAACAGGTAAGGCAACTAAAAATTTGGGATTAATAAACAATTTCTACATACTTGACTCTTAAACTCACCTAGTTTTGCCACTGTCTGCGTAAGAAGGACACTCTTAACTGTTGAAACATTGACGCTTTTGGTTGTTTCTGCTTTTTCAACTAGCGTTTCATTTTCTTGGGCTGGAGGATCAAATAGTCGTGGATGCAACCTTTCATACAGAAGTTTTCCCGCATGAATTTGTATATTCAATGGTTCATAGAGTTCAATTTGTGGCTCCTTTTTTTTTGGACTGATGTCTTTAATTTGAGCTTCCAGTTTGTGGAGATCATCATTAAATAAGGCACTGAGGAAGGAAAATACACATTAATGAGAGAAACATTTTACATGGAAATAATTTTTAACTCGAATTAAGGGAAAGTTTACATATTTGTGTTGTTGCAAGAAAATCTACTTCTAAAAATGGCTTTTACTTAGAGGTAATGCAAAAAGATACCGAAATGCGATGAAGTCCGAGAATTATTGGATTCTCAAGGATTATTTCTTTTAAAATTTTAACATGTGCCTGAGAGTTCAGATTTTTTTTTCTTCACATCTTCCGCTAAAAAAGCTGGCAAAAAATACGAGTCTTCATTTCTACAGGTCTTAAAGGATTGTGAAAATTATTTTGAAACTTACAATTGAATTCATGTCTGAGTTCTGATAGAGCACTTTTACTGGAATTTAAAAATACATACAGGGTGAATTTCAAATTGATAATGAGCCCATAATACGATGTATCATATGGTGCTACTTTAGAATATTGGCCTCTACTATTTTTTTTTTTTTTTTTTTTTTTTTTTTTTTTGAGAGTATTAGGTACAAGATAATTTTGTAATATTTACTAATTTTGTAGACTTAATTTTAAAAAAAGAGAAATTTCATTAAAAAAAGAGAGAAAATAAAGCCTTGCAAAAATGATATGCATGAAATATGATGTCATCTTCAAAAGACAAAGGCAAATCTAGAGTGTCTTAAAGTAAGGTACATACATGGTGTGTAACAGTTTCACCACTGAAATATGAGGTGCGAATGAAAAAGTTACCATAAACGGCTCAACTGCTAATTAAAGTAGAGTCCCTTAAAGTATTACTCAAGCTCCTTCAGGAGAGAATGGGGTTAGAGTCTCAACTTGCATTATATGGTCTTGCAAGGGGGAAGAGAGTTAAATCCAGTCTTACGTAAGCTTCCCCCTTAAAAATTATTTATTTTTTCTGACCAAAAAGTTTCTTTCAGCTACATAGGGTGTTAAAAAAGTTTTGCACATTTCCAGGTTTTGAGAGAACGAAAGCAGTTATTAATTTGCGGCTTGTGTGTGCTTAAAGTAGACGTAATTACCAACAAAACAAAACCAAGAACGGTTCTCTAGCTTAAAAAATGGCAGAGATACAGGGTTTTGAAAGTGACTTATAGCAAGCCGCCTCCAGGATTTTTAGCAACAAATATGTGTGTCAAGAAAAAAAAGTTAAATGAGAATTGAGTGTTTTTATTGAAAAAACTTACAAAATCTTACGGACATTGACGAACTTTAAGCTTCTTCATTGGATGATACGGCTCACTCAACATTTGGCTGTTTTTCGAAGTATTTTCCACCACTTTGAACACAAAGCTCCAGCCGTTCTGTCCACTTCACAAGGATCATCTTGACAAAATCTTCATGACGGAGGGTTTTGAAGAATTTTTGAACAGCTAGTTTGATCTCTGCTATGGAATCAAACCATGTGCCTCTCAGAAATTTCCTTAACTCAGGAAAGATCCATTCTATAGCTGCAATCAAAACGCTCTGTCAAGAAGACTTCGAAAAGACGATCCTTGTGAAGTGGACAGAACAGCTGAAGCTTTTTGTTCAAAGTGGTGGAAAATACTTCGAAAAACAGCCAAATGTTGAGTGAGCCGTGTCATCCAATGAAGAAGCTTAAAGTTCGTCAATGTCCATAAGATTTTGTAAGTTTTTTCAATAAAAACACTCAATTCTCATTAAACTTTTTTTTCTTGACACACATATTTGTAGATAAAAATCCTGGAGGCGGCTTGCTATTAGTCACTTTCAAAACCCTGTATCTCTGCCATTTTTTAAGCTAAAGAATCGTTCTTGGTCTTGTTTAGTTGGTAATTACGTCTACTTTAAGCACACACAAGCCGCAAATTAATAACTGCTTTCGTTCGTTCAAAACCTGGAAATGTGCAAAACTTTTTGAACACCCTATGTGTTCATCCGGCTTTAACAATTATTTTCTGAGAAAGTTGAGGGGGGTGTCAGACCAGTCTTACAAAATGCAGAGGGGCTCTGGAGATTGTCTCATGAGCATCTTACAAGGGGGGAAGGAGGGGTCACAAAGTTGGCCAAAATGGCTTTCGTAAAAATACTTGAACAAATGAATTTTTTCCAATGATAATTGGTGACACCATAAACAATGATATAAAAAACAGAAACGAACCGGCTGCTATTCAGATTCTGAGCTTGCTTATTTGGAGGTGAAGTTCTCATAAGTGATCGCATTGCTTTCATTTTTTCTTCTGAGTCAACAATGTTCCTTGACTGAAATAAAAAAAAATGAAATAAAATTGAGATTGTGCAGAGTTTAGTAAAAAAACAAAAAACAGAACACTGCAAAGTCAACATTAGGTTTGATCTTTTACAAACACTTCAAGATAAAGTTGGTAACATAAATGGAGGCTTTGGCAACATTGCTTGCCGAGGCGGTTGCCACATAAACGTGTGAGAGAATAATTAAAACCAAGTTTGCTGGTCTGTCACGACATTAATTTTGCTCATCTTTTTTGCAATGTTGAGTGCAAACTAAATGTTAAAAAATAACAACATTATGTTATCCACGATTGTTTTTGGCGTGGATTTTTATTAAATGATACATATAAACAAATGAATGAAGTGTACAAGGACGATTGTTTAGACAGAAGTGGTATTTGTCGCTGGCTCGTTCTTTTCTTTTCAAAAAATACCCCTAAAATCTTGAAGGGTGTCTCTCAATATGCCGTCGGAGAAACGTCATATCTCTGTCAATTTTTGACCAAAACAGCTCATTAAGGTCTCATTTTATCGGTTTTTACTCCGGCTACACGAACATGTACATCGATTTTTTTGTAGCTTTTTCCATTTGCTCTAAAAGTTGATCGTTGCATTACTTTTTGGACTACCTATGTAAATAAACCTTACAAGTACATCCAAATTGGCCAATCCAATACTGATGTGCCCATATTACAGTGTGTCATAGATTTCATAGAGCATAGTTTTTTGTTGACAAATATCTGAAAATAGTAACAATTATTGAAGAGCCTCACTCTTCCACCAATTCCATGTTGGATAGTACAGAAAAATGAAGAAAAAATTGCAGAACAAACCTGGAATTGTAGTTCAGTATTTTTCTGTTCCAACTCTTTTTTTATCTTGCTGTATTTTTTCTCTACCTCCAGTAAGGCAGCTTGTTTTTCCTCCTCTAGCTTATTTTTCATTTCAAACATTAGTTTTTCCTTCTTCTGCAATTCTAGTCTTAAATTTTTTGTCTGATAGAAAACAAGAGGTAAAATTAGACAAAGGTAACATCAATATCAAAATAAAAAGATCCATCGAACTAAAAATACATTGGCTACTTCCTTAGGTACTGGCACTAGAGGCATTCTTCATTTTAGGATAGCGCCAGGTGCCAGCGATTGACAAGTGAAAGCCAAGCTGGGGATTAATGAGATGGATTTGAAAACAGTTTGACTGCATCAAAGGTGGCCTAATTCTCTCTGATGTTTTATTTTTTAAACAGGAAACTAACCAATATAGAAACTTGAACTCTTTGAGTATATTTTTCATAATCTGGAGTGAATTCATAGAAAGTTTAAAGGCATTATTTAAAGTTTATTCCTCTGTTGAAAAAATAAAACATGAGAGAAAATTGAGCGATGAGGGATGCAGTTACATTGATTCCAGTAAAATTTGTCCTCTTTATCTTCCATCCGTTAGTTTTGATTTGATAGTACTACCAAAAGTCATGGAAACACATTTCTTGGGGAAACGTTTCTTTTGGAACGTGATTTCTGACTCCAATTCAAACATGAGTAAAGACTTTATTTGGGGATGCTGTCAGTCACTGATGCTCCACAGTTTGTTCATCTTGCAGTCATTTGATGCAAAAATCATATTCGCGTTTGTGTAAGCTCTTGGTACAGAGTGATCAAGATTTTAGAATGCATTTCCTGATGAGACAAATTTTAGAGCTTTAATATTTACAACTTCTAAACTTAATAGTGCGTTTTATACAGTGCAATATATTAATTCTTTATCATTGCTACGCATGTATGCAATTCAATTCCCTGATTGTCAATATTTATTTCATGTTAAAATGTTCCTAGGGTCAATTTTACATTTTCTCCAGCATTCTCTTGGAGACTGTAAAATTTTTTGTTATGCTGAATTCCTCTGACAGTTGACAATAAAAATTATTCCTGGTAGTGTAAGTTAAATTTTTCCTCAGCTCACCTCTCCATCCCGAACAGTCAGCTCAGATTTCAACTGCTGAACTAACAACTCCATGCTTTTGGTGGCTTCTGAGGAAGCCCCAGCTTGACCAACCATTGCGCGAGAACTATTACTGGGAGCAGATGGCTGAGGTTTAAAGAAAGTCCTTGTATTACTAGCGGGAATGTTTCTGCTGATGGACTGAATTGGAGGACGAGAGACATAATTAGATGTTGGCTGAACAGAGCGCGTCAGCTTGGAAGGTCCTTCATTCTCTTTGAAGCTTGTGGTTGGTTGCTGAAAAACAGAACAGAAAAAGCTTAGTCATTTTCACCATTACCCAAGTAGCAGAGGTTGCAACAACTTGCAACAAAATCATTAGATTCTTGCAACTAATAGATTGACGTGCAGATTGCCTACTCCTTCCCCCGAAGTCGCGCTTATCCTTCGTCACTTTAATTCCCAACTGCTGGCCTCAATTTGGCTCAACTGAGCTAAAAATTTCAGGAGACGGTTGTGAAAATGTGAGATAAACATTTGTAAATTTTGAAGGTATTCAGGCCACTCTGTAGGTCCGATTAAAAGCCAGAACTTTCAACTTGTTTTATTGTCTTCCGAGCCCCTCATTTGATCCGCTGATGCGTCCTACAAACAGTTGTGAAATAAGAGAATTTCAACTTGATGATGCTGATCTTTCATTTCTTCTGAAGATCTTTAGAAAAAAGTTTACGACGAAAAAGGAAAATTACCTCTGGTTCCAAATTTACTGATGCGAGAAGAAGATCATCCTCATCATCATCTAAGCCCCAGTTTTGAGTAGACGGCATACTGGGCGGTGAGACTGTATTGTTGAAGCTGTCAGCAACATTTGTGATTTTCTGTCGCTTGGGAGGTGTCTGACTGCTTGTTATATTTAGTCTCGGTTTTCTACTTGAGCTAACATTCCTGCTAGAATTCTGATTGTTGTGGACTGGCCGGTTGTTATTCATCTTCACTGATTTTGGAGTGATTGGAAGCTTTGGTTTCATGCGCTGAGAGGACATTATATGAGAGAGGAGGTTGAAGTAAAAAAAAAAGATTTACAATCGGTTAGACAAATTGAAAGAAACATGACAATTCACAAGGATACAGATATTTAAGAATCTAGGAAAAAAATTTCCGACACAACCAGCTCGTTTGTTTACTGACAGCACTTAACACTTAACCTCAATTTTGCCACTCGCCTGCTTTTTGGCGCGAATATACAGGATGTTGATTTCGTCATATACCGGAAATGACCGGAAAAGAGGAAAAGAATGTTATCATTTTTGTAATCTTATACGGAAATCATTAATGAATAAACCTCTGCAGATGCGTTTCAGATGTTCTATCTACCTGTTGATGCGGCAGTATCAGAGAGGGCAGTATAATTATTATGTACAGTAACTTCAAACTTGGATTCCCTGCGAAGCAGGGGCAGAAAACGGAGCAGTGCCGAGGCGTGATTTCGTGAACGATCGAGTATCGGTATTTCCCCGTAAGAAGCTATCGTAGAGAATCGATTTTTAAGGCGTTCGTTGCGATCAATCCATCTATCGATCTTTTTCCATAGATTAAACAAATCGATATATCGCAAAGCACGCCACGCCACTAAACGAAGTACGTCAATGCATTGGTATCATCCAATCTTAAGCATCTTAAATCCATCAATAGTAATTTCAGCCTATGCAGGATCAATTGAGGATCCATTATAGATTCCCGAGAAAGTTTCAAAACGGGTTCAAGGGTTCCCGGAAAATTTTTCGTTTCGTACGAACTAACGACAACGTTTCGCTCGAGGACAGCCCTATTTGGCAGCACGGGCATGGACCAATAGAATAAATGCACGGGCAGCAGCACTTGCAATGTTGATATTTGGATGCTGCGACTGTGCATCTTGTGAGATTTTCCAGTTTTCGGTCTGAAAATGTTACACGTTTTAGAAGCTTTGAAAGTATTTTGACCTCTTTTCTGTTCGTAATTAGGTTCTTTCACCCTCTGTCCTTTTCAGATTAACGTCCAGTACTTCAGTTCTCTACATTAAGTTCTTGTGCCCTTATGCAACTTTCTAGGCAAGTGCTCCCAACTTTGTGCCACATATGCTTTCCAAGAAACTGGTAGAAATTTTCTAACGCGAATTGAATTTCACTGCTTTTACGTAATTTGCAATCCCTGAAGCATTCGAATCCTTCACTCGAAAGATAAACTTTTCTCGAACCTTATCATCCCACCATGGCCAGTCCCCGTACTCGACGAGTTCTTCAAGATTTGATACCGAAGTACAATAATTCGGTAAGCATAAGATTTTTCTATTTACTTGTTGAAGGAATATGCTATTTAGACGGCGTGAGTCCGCAACGACGTATCTCATTTGCGGTGTTTGCAAATCTCCGCCTCTATATTATTTTATAAAGGAGAACAAATTGACATCATTCCTTGAAGTTTTTGCAGAATTTTCTTTGCGCAGAGTAGAAAAACCATGGCAGTTTTACAGAATTGCTGTCGAGCAGTTTTCCGTTTAAAAAAATAAAGTATGATAGGAAGTCTGCGACGTCGCCAACCAAGATACATGGTTGCGGACCTACACCGTCGATTTATGCCTTAATACTTTATATACATAATGGCAAACTATAAAATAGCTTCTCTGGCGGGTGGTGGGAATGGAAGTTTCTAAAGACTCTGAAGACAATCTCTTTGCTGAATATTAGTTGATTGTACATAAAACGGATGAGCTATTTCATCAATAAAAGAGTCAACCCATGAAGAACTTTATATCTAGAAGAGGCGCACTCTTATGGAATACATGGAAGAATGTCAAGTCTAGCCATGGCAAAGGAGCCACCTGAGGGAGTCATGAGAAGAACGTTAACACTGGCAACAACTGCATTATCGACAGTGGTGCCGCTTGCTACATTGACGCTGAACCAGGTGTCAGGCAGGCCATCATCAGCATACTCTAATAGAATTCTCAGAAACCAATTCAACAGAGGAACTTTTGATGTTGTTTTTGTTGAATGGAAAGAAGTCACATATATTGATTTTCAGTAACAATAAATATCTTAATAATTACCTCTTGAAAATTTATTTTACAAAAATGCAAATTCAGTAATGGGCGGTCTCAAACCCAACACCCTCTGCTCTCCAGTCTGGTGCCGTGTTGTTCGGTCACTTATGATCTAAGAAAGTCAGTTGGAATTAGCAACACTTTGGATGTTTGAGTCTTAGAATACCTCTTGCAACAGTCGCTAAATGCTTTTTTTTCAACAAAATGCCTCAAGTAATTTATTTAAAAGGAGGACATGTAGTTTCACTCCAATTCATTGTTAGTTTATTGCTCATAGTTTCAACTTAATTAATCTTAGTTTCATGGCATGTACCTAGTGCTGTTTTCCTGCTAACTCTCTCAAAATCATTTGAGGTCAAGTCAATTACCAATTATTTCCTCTACATGCCGACCGTCTTATATCTCTCGTTATTTTCTTCTTTCAGAAATGTTTTGAGTGTGGGACTCACAATCCCCAATGGGCGTCGGTGACTTATGGCATCTGGATTTGCCTGGATTGCTCCGGGAAACACCGCGGTCTCGGTGTTCATATCTCATTTGTTCGATCAATTAGCATGGATAAATGGAAAGACATTGAATTAGAGAAAATGAAGGTTTGTTCATTGCTTACTTTTCATTCGAGTTACTTGACATTAAAAGTTATCATTGAAAAAATTTAATGCTGTGAGTAAATATTGGTGAGCTTTGGTGAGAGGCTCAATCAACCTCTTACATTATATTATAAAAATATATCGTCAGGAAAAAATGATCAGAGATTACTGACATTTCGTGTGATTTATGAAGGATTTGTTTTCAAGTGTCAGAGTCAATAATCCTGATGCATGAGGGCTCCAAAATAAAACTCAAAACTCCCTTATTGATTACTGGCAGATCTTTAAAAATACTCCGAGTTAATAAACTTGAAATTGAAATCAATGGACACTAGTTATTTTTACATGAAATAATTGTATTTACTCAAACAATTTGAAGAGTTTTCCTGCCTGGAAAGCTCTGTCTCGAACAGAAAACATTTCAGGGAGTGGGCTATCAAAGCCCGTCAAGGCAGGCTCGGAAAGAAGGGAAGGACTAAGTAGTCGTAGTGACCATCTAGCTTGCTGGACACTCCAACTCACTCACACACACTCAAGAATTAGAATTACCGCTCCAAAGAGGTGGCTTTGTAAGAAATACTTACATTTTGACGGGGAAACCGACTGACGTCAACGGGAAGTAGTAGGAAATTTGGCTCGAGTGCTGTACAGAAAGGGAACCTGATTTGAAGTTACAGCCTCCTCCACGAGAGTGTAGAGGGTGTAAGAACCTTCAATCAGAGTCTCTCTGCTCACAGTGGGAAATTAGGTATGCCGGTCAGCTAATACTCCAAATCCTTTGCCTAAACCAATGAGTTGTAAATTATTTCTTTGGATTTTGGATTTTCAGGTTGGTGGAAATGAAAAAGCCAGAGAGTTTTTTGATTCTCAAGAAGACTGGGATGACACTCTTCCGATTCAACAGCGTTACAACACGAAAGCAGCTGCTCTTTATCGAGATAAGGTCAGTTCCCGTGGATCCCACTTTCCTTCTAAAAGGCACCAAATACTCTCAAGATATTTGGTCAAAATTTAACTAAATGTTAACCCTTTGATCCTTCCGCAAGCTATTTTTATTTCAATAGGTGCAGTTCATTGGCTTTTCTTTTCACAAGTTTCATAATCTCATTGGTTGACACAGTAGAGTACATAAAGTTGTAAGCTGTCATCATCTCTCAATTGACAAACTTGGAGCTCTCCGTGCACCAGTCACCAAGTGTTGCTTTTCTATTACATCCGGCACTGCTCAAAACTCCGGGATTCTTCAAAATTCTTGTGGACAGTGGTGAAATAATTTAATATGTCGTCTTCAAGATCAACACAAATATTTTAGAACTCAATGGCTTCTATTGTATCATCTGGGTGGTCAGATTTTTCTAAAAATCAAGCAACACCAGTTCGTAAATCAAAACCCAAATTGAAAATGAAAAGTCTGTATCATCAGCTCTCTTTAACGTAATTTTTTGTTTTAGATCGCAACTTTAGCACAAGGCAAGACATGGGACCCGGAAACGTCCTCGGCCAAAAATTTTGTTTCCCCAACTATTGGTGGAAGGAGCAGTTCAAGCAAAACGTGAGTGTATTATTCTATATATACTTAAAATGATCAGTTCAGCCCCTATAAAGAGGGTCTTTGAAACTTTTTGTGAATCTATGGACTCGGATAAGTATTTCCTTTCCTTGAGTTGTTGCTGACCATTATTGTAGGTTCTAAATAGAGAATTTGAAGTTTTCTGCGCTTCAAAGGGAGGATTTCTTTCAAATTTCCTGTCAATACAAGGGTGCAAAAAATTCCAAAATGCCGATCGTTGGCAGGGATCCAGCGTCTTTGTCTTACAGCTTTTTTCAGATTTGCCTCATAGGGAATACTTCCTATTATATAGTGAAATTTGCCAATGAAATTTGTAATTTGCCCCCTTTTCTATAAAGTATGGAGCTGAAGAGAAGGCAATCTTTTTTACAAATTGCTTCCTAATCTAAGATTTACGTTATATGGCGCTATTCTAGGGTTGCAATATCTGCATGTTTTGCTCCCTTGCATTAATGATGTCACTGTGACTGCTAAACAAGACAATTTTACAACTAAATATAAACTTTCAAACATCTCAGTTGTTTCTGAAATTTATTAGTGACCCATCAGCAGCTATAGGTAAACTGTACACCTCATGCCAAGGTGAAAAACCAGATTAGGGTTGGATTTCTACCATTTCATCAAAATTCAGTGCATGATGATAGGAATTGTGAAACTTTGGGTGATGTGGTTCAAGAATTTCAACATTTTCCTGAGGAAAGTCAATTTTTAGGAGGCTTTTATGGCATCTGAATTACTGAGAGCACTTAAAGCTTTTAATTTCCTGGAAATTTACTGTCATTTTTTTCTGTAGCCCACAGCGCCAAACAAGCCAGCCTTCAAATGAGCCGCCAAACTACTCAAATAGCTATCAGGATCAAAACATAAGTAGCTACCAAAACATGACAAATTCTCAATTGATTCGTGATGAGAAGGAGGCATTTTTTGCTAGAAAACAAAACGAAAACGCCATGAGGAGAGAGTGAGTATCTCTTATTTTAGTGTTTTTTTTTTAAATTTTGTCTTTATTCCCTCGCTTTGAAGTATGGATAAATAATAGAAAATTTAGGTACTATGATTGAATTATTGATCAAATTATCTCTTAATAGTGTTTCGATTACTTCTTTGAAGATTGAAAAATCATGTGGGAAAGCCATCTATTCTTATCCTGTTACAAGTTGCCCTTAAAAATTTGGAAACTGCATAGTTCCAAGAAAGAAAGTAGAAAGGAAACTCACCGTGTCTAATTTAATTTCTGAATATAAACTAGGAAAATAAATGTAATCTTAAGCAAGCATGTAGAAAGGAGAATAAAAAAATCATGAATAGTAAGTGAATCTCATTCAACAGAAAAAACAAACACAATTACAGTGTTTTTAAAATCGTGCAACTTCTTCTTTACAGTAAAAATACTAAATATGTGTGATTCTGGAAACATAAGGAATGAGTCAGTTAAGCTCGGAAGGGATTTGCCTGCAGATAGTCGAATCTTACAGTTATCGGTACAAGAAGAACAATGCGCACGATAAAATTTCCTGAAAAATTGTCTCCGCAGAGATATAATGCTTCCTTTTTAGGGGTCCTCGAAAACATGTTTGAACCAACCGCTGTGAATCTTCGAATTTACGCGTCATAGAACGGGAAGATGGCGGCGCTGAAGCCGCCGTGTATCTTCCACTACGCATTTTGCCGCCATATCGATCGTGACGTGTACATTCGAAACCTACGAGCGCGCAGTTCAAACGCTGTTTTAGGCCACCCTAATTTTTGGCACTTTCAAATAAACTTTTCTTCCGTCTGCAGTCATCAAAAAAAATTAGGCAAAAAACTGTAAATTTCGGTCACTTACTACTTTCCAATGACACAATAAAAAAATGACTTAACTGACTCATTGCTTCATTCCCTTCTGCTGAGTGCAATACAAGCGACTTCAGGAATTCGCTCATTAGGTTGATTTTCTTGAAATTTTTTAACATTTTAAAATAGATACGTATTATTATTTCCTGTTTTGGTCAAGTCAAACATTTCATTTTGCAATCAACTAAAAACTCTTGAAGTCTAATAGTAAATCAATCTTTGGCATACTTCAAGAAAGTGCTAATTTATCCTGGTTGAGTTTATTAGAACTGTGTCTCTGAGTAAGTAAAAAGGTTGTGTAAAAACAACTCTGGTAATTTGCAGTGTGAGGAATTGTGTTGTGTGTTGACTAGCACCTGGTTTCATTTTTCTTCTTTTTTTTCTCTTTTTAACATAACAGTGATCTGCCCCCTAGTCAAGGTGGTAAATATGCTGGTTTTGGATACTCTATGGATTCAAATATGCCCAAAAGTTCATCGCAAGATGTGTTTGGGACTGCGGCCTCCTCATTTGCAAGTGTAAGTAATTTTTCTCTTAAATCCCTGAAATAGTGTCTTGACCTGTATTAAAACTTTCATTCACTGAATAATTTTCAAATCTTAGAAGTTGATATTGCGTATTGAAATCTTGACTTTTCTTCAGATCTAAAATTCACCTTTCACAGTGTAGATTGACCTTTTACCTCCTAAATTTGATGAAGTCTTATTCGGAATACACTTTGCGTAAAGGAATCATTACATCTGACTCATTTTAGAGGCAACGTATATGCCGTTTGTCTCCCTATAAAGATCAGTGTTTTTTTGGGTGAACCAGAAATGAAGGTCCTAACTGAAAAATGTGGTTCATTCGTATTCAATGAAATGGAATACACAAAACTTTGGAGAAAAATAGATCTCTGTTTATTGTCGGTTAGTCGGGCTATATTTTGCAATTAAAAACTAACTAATTTTGGCTCACTCATAAGAATACCTTCCTGCATGAAGAATATAATTGCTTAAATGTCGCATCTCAAATGAGTTAGTAAACTTACTTCCTTTTTGCAAAATGTGATCCAGCTGTTTTGCGCCCTCTGTATGAAACCTTCGTCTGACTCAAGGAGCTGCTCATACATGCGTGATTTGCATCTTAAGTACACCCCAGCCATTGCCGCAAAAAATTCCTCCCATTTCTCTCTAAGATTTTAAAAATAATATGATTGAAAATAGAGAGAAAGATACCTACATCTTAAAGGAAGGTGCATTTTGCTGAAGAATCTCTTTTCATCTTCGGAAGTTTTTGCAGATTGCATTGTGTCTTTTCTGTGCTGGACTATGGCAGATTTAAAGAATGAAATGAAATCAATTAAATCTTAGCTTTTTACCTTCCTAAATAGTTTCCCAATTACTTATCCTAGCTCAGAACTTGATTTCTCTACTTTTCTAGTAAGTCTTTTCGACTTATCGAAAATGGAGAAATCGCATGAAAGATTACTTTGGATTGCAAGGAATTTAATTTTCATATTATTTATATTTCATTTATCTTTTCAGGGCTGGTCGTTATTTTCTAGTTCAGCTACAAAGTTTGCCTCAAAGGCCACTGAAAGTGCTATTAAAATTGGTGGAATTGCCACTCAAAAAGCCATGGAACTTGGTTCCACAGTTCAGGACAAAGTAAGTATTCTGATCATGTCAATTAAAAATGGAGTTCTCAAAGAGATCCTTGTCTTGTGTTTTCTACTGTTTGAAAGGGCTTTTTTTCGCCTCAATCATTGAACTTATTTGTTTTCGTTTGACCAATCCATTCCCTTCATTCATTCATTCATTCAAATGGCTTCATCACAGGGGTGCAGAAAGTTCCAAGCCTTCCCATAAATTTAGTTTTATATCCAATAGTTCATATCTAATCCACCTCCTCTTATTTTTAACAAATATCCATGATTGTTCCCCCTGGAAACAAAAAGAAAAAAAACCTGTAACTCAAAAAATCGATTTTTTCCACTGCTTCTGTTCAAAATGTTTTTTTGAGTTCACATTTTTTATGAGTGTAAGGTTTTCATAGTCAATTTCAATAGAAACTGTGGGCTAGTTTCCCTACAAAAAAATAAAACATGAGCAGAGCCTATCAACAAAGTTATCGGAGATATGTACGTGTTTTTGGACTTTATCCATGGACTAGATTCAGTTGACTTTAGGAAAAGACAGGAGTTCTTTAAATTCATCAAACAATTTGTGAAATGAACTTTGAAAGTGAATTTTTTAATTTTTACTTATCTTAATAATTTTTTGTGCTTTTTATCACCTTGAAGTTTTATTTGTGGTCAAAAATTGAAGAATAGCATCATAACAGCGTGCATTAATAATTTTTATTCAAAAGTATGTATTTTCCCTCCCTCTACTGGCTGTGATTTCATAGTGTCAAACATAATTCCTTTGGGGTCTCGTCTGAGGTGCTGTAGCCAGACTGTAACCATGTAATAATGGATTATTCTTTAGACGCTTCTCACTGTCTTTATTTCTGTCTCTCTCATTTGTTATTTTTTCTCATTTTATGTTCCTTTTCATTATGTTTGTTGTTATGTTGTTGATTTTTGTTCTCAATTTTCATTATTTTTGGTTTAAAATTTTAAATAGGTCAAAGAGGGCACACTCATTGATGATGTTTCATCTCAAGTTTCAGTGTTAGCAACAAAGGTAACTAAGTTTCTGTTTTTGGTTTTACAGTAAAACTTTGATTTAACGAATTTTTTTCGCGGTCCCGAAAAAATCCCTATCTATTCAATGTAAAATAAATTCTATTTAACAAATTTCGGTATAACGAATATTCGCTTTTACGAAGGAAATCCTTGGCTCGAGTATGAACTTTACCATGCCAATCGAACTCGATTTAACGAATGCACGGGAATTTCCGAGCGCCCGGCAACACCGCTGGGGAGAAAGCATGCTTGTCTTCACCCGCGTATTGTATGTCGGTGTCGGTGCAAAGGTCCTTTTCCGATATGGCGGGATTGGGGATTTCCGAGGCGCTCATATTTTCTCGAGTAAACGGTTTGATTCAGGAGCTATGTGAACAGTGTCATCAGTACGATTTCAACCCCTACGGAGTGCCCATCACTACCACTGCGCAGTTTTACCGGTCAAATGCTAACCGGGTGTTTTCCGCCGATTTTCCGTAAAATATTGTCATAGTTTAAGAGGGGGGGGGGAGGGTGTACCTTGAAACTGGAAAAAACCGAGCATTTCAAAAAAATTTGTGGCCTAAAATCGGGTTTTCCGCGGTTTTCGATTTAACGAATTTTTTTGCCAGTCCCCAGAAATTCGTTATATCGAAGTTTTACTGTACTTTAAGTTTAGTCATCTCCCTTTCATTTTCATCTTTGTTTTACTGTTACCACTTTCATTTTACTTTTATTTTCAGTTTCTTTCAGGTCATCCTGTTTTCAGTAATATGCATCTTTGATAATTCATGGGAAAAGGGACTTGCGCACTAAAAATCTCACATTCGAGTAACTGGTTACCATGCGAAGAGAACAGAGCTGTGACTGGGAATTTTTGCAGGGATGAATCAAAGTTCTTTCTATTTAAAATTTTGTAGAAAAGCCGAAAAGTTTGTCAAAAAATTCAAGAAATCATTTCTAAAAGGAGGAAAAGCTACTTGAAGTCCGACCATTCAACAGTGGACAGTCCAGTTGGCATAGCAAAGTAATACCTGAAGTCGAGTTCAACTAAGTAGCAAACACTGTTTCCTCCACCTGGCTAAGTCATCATTGCATTCTAGCCTCTGCTTTTTCATTGACCAGTCAAAAGAAGAGAAGATATGTGGTCTTTTCATTAGTATATGAGATAATTTTGCAAATTGAGCAGTCATACTTTTGATTTTCCAAAAGTTGAGGTGTTTGTTGGAAACCTGCGGAAAGATCTCAACCGTGAGCAATAGTAATATAAGATATGAAAGCGGTAGAAATGTGTGATTTATAGCTCTACATTCTATCTTTTTCTCCCTAAAACATCCTGCGGAAGACCAATGAAGTTGTGGAATCAAGTTGTAAGGTATCAAATTTTAAGCTTTTGCTGTCCTTGTGGTCAAAAATTCTTTGTCAAATGTGAAGTTGCATTCTTTTGTTAAATTTTTGTCCCCTTTTTCTTTGGGCAGGTTAGCGATTTGGGTCGGAAAGGTTGGCAAGATTTGTCTGGTACAAATACACCTGCCCCGACCTCAATGCCAAGATCACAGTCTGATGTTACTTCCCTGCGAAGTGGTGAAAAATCATCACTCCTTGTCGATACTAGCAACAATCAACAGTAAGTGATCAGTTTCATTCGTATGAGTTAGTTGACAAGGTTCGTCTAATAATGGTTCAATTGTTTGCTACTTTTCCCTATAATCTGGAAACAACAATACTTTTAATCTGTCCCAAAAACTGAAATACCTCATGGAAACATTAAGAGTTCACAGTATGTTCTCCTTAAAGGCGATTTTTCGTGGGTTTTTACTATGTGCATCATTTTCTCCTATGAAAAATTTTAGAACTCAGCTATTTGCAGGCCAAAATCTCCCGTTTCTGCTGTCCTCCAGTGCTGTTTTTCATTTGAAAAAACTCCTGCCCATATTTCATACAATATGTATTTGATGAATTTTGATTTTTGAGGTATGCAGACATGCAGTCTGGTAATAATAGAACTGTATATATATTATGTGAGAATAAAACGATTTTTACTAACCCAGAAAATGTAGCACGTTTACTAAACAGTTGGCTTTCAGGCTCCAATTATGAAACACAACAGAAAATTCTGGGGAAAGTTTGTGAGGGACTAGATATGAATGAAAAATCACTTGACTCGAAGAATTTGCTTTGTGCGGTGATTCAAAACCTCGGTTTCATATATTTAACATGTAAGAAGTGAATTCTCAATTGATGACGATACTGGAACAAAGGTGTATGCAAAAAGTACAGCGTATCGAAAAAACAGCATTTGAACATTTGAAATGGTTTTTCATCAGTTTATTTAAATCAATGGATCTAATCAAAGGTTATTCTTTCAACCTACGAGGGGCGTTCAATAAGTAAGTATCCCCCCTCTCTAAAATCCATTAGAATGAACCACTTTTAAAAAACTTGGGCTCAAAATCTTCCTTAGGATATTTTGAGTTCAACAAAACAAACCGCAACAAAATCGGACCATGTCCGACCGAACGCGAGCCGTTTGAACGCGCCGAGGTGCTCGACGCTCCCGCCGAATCCGCGAGGATTTGAAGTCCGCTACAGGAGAAGAGCTTCTCTGCCAAAGCCTCAGTCGTTCATCACTGACAAAAAATCAAAGAAATTTTTGTAGGACAAGGGGCTTACCTCACTTCTCCACATAACCAGCTCGATCCAAGCAAGTCTGATACTGAGTCTAAGAGAACAGCTTTTGGATGCCTCGCGCGTGGAAGTCTTTCAGCTGACCTGGGATGGAAGAGTGGACGGCTTGTTTGACCTCTTCCCCTAATTCAACATTAACTCCTCCAAGTTCAGATTTCAGATACGATAATAAATGGCAAACCAGACCACCATTTATTCCCGTTCCTGAAATCTGAACTTGGAGGAGTTAATTTTGAATCAGTGGAAGAGGTCAAACAAGCCGTCCACTCTTTCATCCGCGGTCAGCTGAAAGACTTCCACGCACGAGGCATCCAAAAGCTGTTCTCTTAGACTCAGTATCAGACTTGCTTGGATCGAGCTGGTTATGTGGAGAAGTGAGGTAAGCCCCTTGTCCTACAAAAATTTCTTTGATTTTTCGTCAGTGATGAACGACTGAGGCTTTGGCAGAGAAGCTCTTCTCCTGTAGCGGACTTCAAATCCTCGCGGATTCGGCGGGAGCGTCGAGCACCTCGGCGCGTTCAAACGGCTCGCGTTCGGTCGGACATGGTCCGATTTTGTTGCGGTTTGTTTTGTTGAACTCAAAATATCCTAAGGAAGATTTTGAGCCCAAGTTTTTTAAAAGTGGTTCATTCTAATGGATTTTAGAGAGGGGGGATACTTACTTATTGAACGCCCCTCGTAGATCCTGATGTTTAGAAATCCATAAAAAGTTTGGGGAAAAAAACAAAATTTCGAAAAGGGTATATTTCGAGGTATGCCCTTCTTCCAGCATGGCCCTCAATGGGCCTGCTGCAAACTTTTGCTAGAACAAAAATAAGAGTTATTCCATATAGAAAATGTCTCAAAATTCGTGATGAGCGCATCGCCCAAGTCTGAAATGCACTCCTAACTTCACATTCTGCATAAGACCAGGCTTGCCGCTTCAAAGACGATACTACGGCACAGGTGAACATTTAGTTTGAGGAGTTGTCCCATCTAACTCCCGCTCAATTAGATGCTTCTGAATATTCAACATGGCCGACGCCAATCTGCCAAAACACGTGTGACAGGACGAGATTCTAACCACCTGATTACAATCGGCGTGTTTAAATTCACATGTTCCTCTTGTTGAGATTGTTGAGATATCTACCTTGATTGACCTTGTGCTCCCCTTGACTTACGCAGAAGCGTTGGCCATGTTGAATATTGAGTAGTGCCTTTTGAGCGGGAGTTAGATGGAACGACTCCTCTAACGAAATGTTCACCTGTGCCTTTATCGTTTTTGAAGCGGGAAGCTCAAAAAAATGCAAATTTCTAATGCAGATTGTGAAGTTAAGAGTGCATTTCAAACTTTGCCAATGCGCTCATCATGATTTTTGAGATATTTACCGATAGTAACAACTCTTAGTTTTGCTCCTGCTGAAGTTTGCAACAGGCCCATTGTTTAAAACAAGCTTTGTCATTAGTCTCTTTTAATCGAAGCTATAAATTCAAATTCTTTATGCTCTCTCTCTCTCAGAAACTACAGTAACAGTGAGTGGGACTCTCCGCAAAGTATGAAGACCATCCCAGAGACCACAGGTGGGATCCCTCGATCAAAATCCTCCAAAAGCAGTACGGTTTCAAAACCAACAAACGATGACTTTTCAAATTTAGACCCTGTCAAAAGCAAAACCAAGTGGAAATCAAACAAGGAAGAAGAAGATGCGTGGGACCTTCTCAATCAATAATTGATTCATCTTTCTATAGTGTAATTCATTTCTTCATTTTATTGTCACTTTTTTTCTGGCATCTGGCGCCAAAATGAATTTTGTTACATTAGGACCAACAGCCAAAAAAGCAGTTTCCAGTGCAATGGTTTAGGAACAATACTGCTTATCTGAAAACCGACAATTTTGCCGGATGAAGACAAAACTTTGATATTTTTGAAATTTTAAAGTTAGATTTGCAATTTTTTACTTACTTTGCCAGGGTCATTACGCAACCTCCTGCAGAAATGGAAAAATACTGAAAGTACCAACTTGCGTATTTTTCACCGTAGAATGCAGCAGAGTCTTTAACTCATTTTCTCCAAAATTTTAGTTAGGCATTTTTTTCCTTAGCCCTTGCAGTGTTTTTTGGTTGTAAACAAATTTGTGTTTTGTTACAACGTATGTATGCCCTTATTTGATAAAAGTGAAGACGAAGCAAACCATTCGGAAAATTGACGACCTCCCATTTTGTTCCAATATCAAGATGGAGAAGGGGCTCTAACCAAAAAGGAGCGTTTGAGTTATGATTCTTGCTCAAACAACTACATATGTCCTGTAGCCTTGAAAAAAACCCACGTTCCCCAGGAATTAGTTCTATTTTTTTAATTAATAGTGCGAAAATACAAACGAATTTTGATGTGTCATTGTTGTTCACCTGCTGTGGTTGCCCACAGGTTGAGAACGACTGGTTTCAAAAGAGATCAGGCAATCTGAAGGAACTAACTCGTTTGTTGACAAAAGTAAAGTGATGTGTTTGCAAAAAGACTTGGGGAACAATATCCCAAACGTTCGCAATATTATTGTTCTGGTTTTCTTTGTATTTACTCGTCACTTTTCATTCTAGCATTCTTCTTCGCTCTGAAGTCAGATTTTAAAAGCGAAATTGTGGCCAGGTGAAAGAAAAAAATCTGGGTGCCTAATCTTTAGCAGTGTAAAATAAGTCTCTTCCTTCCTTGTATCAATTCATTACTTAACTGCCATTGTTGGAGAAATCAAAAATTAGTAATGAAAGCTGTCCGTTATCTGGACGTATCCGTGTGTTGATGCTGTCAACTGCCCTTATTTCCTGACGAAGAGTTGTCGTCTACGAGGGGAGGTTCCAATCAACCCACCTCCTATTTTAAATCATTATGGCATCAACCAATGGCTTTTAAAAATCTATCACCCATCAGTTTTTTTTCAGCAAATAGACCCTCTGAATATCTTAATTAATTGAAGAGAAACAGGTTTGCGCATGGTTTAAGTGTAACTCGGAATGGTCGCTTGTTACCCCTTTAATTTTTTATGATGTTCGGAGGCTACATTTGCTGAAACAAAAAACTGGTGGTTAATAGATTTTCATGAGTTATAGGCTGGTAATTAACAAAAAAGGTGTCACTAGCCACTAATCCATTGTTTTGAAAAATTTGATTAGATTGATTAGATTGATTTAGGCTTGATTTTTCTTTCTTTTACTCTGTTGCATTTGGACGGTGCTATCGATCCTCGTTGGTGTCATGTCATTACTTGCCCTTAAAGTGAAAATGAAGGGTGGCTGAAGTTGCTTCAAATTAGAAAATCTTATGACTTGTTGATCGTAGACACAGTTTACAATAGGGCACTCAACTGCTGACTTTAAGAACAGGTCTCCTATGTTCAACAGTGGGTTGCTTCTATATGAAGATTTCTTTAAAATATATCTTTTTCAAAGTCTTTTGCCTCTGCAAATTCCAAATTTTTCCTATAAGCTGCATTTATTTTACTGTAAAAGATTCTAATTACCCAACTGAGAACTTTTCTTGAAGCCTAGCTCAAGACCTTACCAAAATAAAGTGAGATGGATATTTTGTTTTTTATTTAAATTATTTTCTGTCTTCTAATTTGCCTTCTTGACTTTGATCGAAGCATTTTGAGCTAATAAACTGTGGAAGATTTTATCCGCATTACTTGTGTTCCACAATGTTTTTTGTTTTTTAATTTTTTATTTTTTGTAACTGAAAAGGAGGTGAAACACTGCTTTGAAATTTTGCTAGTGTCTCCTTTCTGATGCAGTTGCTCGTAGAAAATAGTAAACAATTATGTTGCTCATTTATCAGTCAAAAAAATGAAATTTGAGAAAAAATCTGGCAGTATGAAGTGCAGTTATGCTGTTTCCAGCTATAGCCATCAAATTCAACCAGAGATTGCAGAATTTTGCAAAAAGTTGCCATTCACAAGCCAAAATAATCATTCCCAGTGATTTTTTCTTACAGAGAGGGAAAGGGACAGTAATGACACTAGCCAAATTTCTCAGTCTTGCAATTTTTCAGAGATCAGTCTCAAATGTAGATAAGAGTTTCTACCTACGTACAATAATTTTATTTTATTTAATTTTATCACTTATATTTTTTGAGATAAGAAATCAACGCTTTTTGAACACCACGATTCTATTGACCATAGCCGATAATGGGCTAGACTTTTATGACTTTCTTTGCACCAAAATAAAAGGGAAATCCTTTTTTGTGCAGTGGATAAATTATCTCATCTCTTGTCTTCTTCCGCAACAAGATTTCTTTTCTAATTTGTTGCCATGTATTATTGTATTTACCTTTGCATCAATTTTGCTCTAAGTATAATCAAACCTTCTGTGTGCATTAAATCAAGGATATAACTACATTCCAGCGTGGATTAAAGTTCTCTTGAAATGCTTTATGTCAGCGGTCAATTGCTTATCATTGCGTCCGACAAAATAATTATATGAAGACAAGTGGCACTCCTGTAAGTTTTTTAGACAAATATTTTTTATTAAATCTCTCTATTGTATCTGTTATGTCTATTTTGTTCGCAGTTTTACAATAAAGCTAAATATTTGTTTTAATTTTCTTTTTCTTTCGAACTCATCATTCATCCATGGAGGCAACCTCAAAATAGAATAACCTATGTAATGATAGAGACTTTTTCCTTAATCTTCAAGGTATGTACGAAGTTTGCAACTATTTGTGGATTTTTAACATCATTTCCCAGTCGCTGACTTTAAGCAGAAATGAAAATATTCCTTTTTTGCAAAGTTCTACAGGCTTGACTATGACGGTTTTTATTCTTTTTTGACAGCATAAATCAAGACTATACAACCTCTGGGCCAAATCTGCTGAGCAATTCATCACATGGGAAAAGTTAGGTTGAAAGATCAGAATTTGAATTTTGTCAGACAGTATTCTCAACATTCAGCCAAGATAAAATTACGGGCAACTTAATTCAATTTTATGCCAACAGAGGACAAAAAGTTAACCTTCATGTGATTACATTAGAACCCAACTATATCATCTTAGTTTTAATGGGTTTCAAGGCTTTTCATCTTCAAAAAATGTGCTCAACTCCCAAGGGCTCTCTTTAAAAGAAATATCTTCACAATTGATTGAATGCATTTTCACGCCTTAGTTTAGGTAAAATGATGTCCGATCTTAAATTTAAAAAAAAAAGTTAAGCAGGGAGAGATAATTTTTTATCACTATCACTCTGTCCATAGCTGGAGACAACAAATACGTCCCTGCTATTGCAATTTTACAAATCTCTGCTCTGCCTTTTCTTTTTTAGAAGTAAACTGTTTAAGTATTTAATGTTTTTTCTCGAGATTTTCTCTAAACATTTCTTACTCATTAAAAAAAAAAAACACCGAAAATTTTAAATAGATATTATAGTCGAAATTCTTTTTAGAAAAACGATACATGAGTAGTTGAAGGTTTTTAAATTTAATGATGAAGAAACACATTTTTAACTTAGAATGTAAATGAGTCTCATTTGCGTGTTCTAGAAGCACATAGCCAAATTGAATTTATCAGGAACAGGGGGGCTTGAAGCCTGGACTGTATGAATGATCGAATTCCTGTGAAATATTTCATGAAATTACACATGGCTATATTTTTATGGAGAATATGATACATTTATTTCAGATGCAGGGTTTGCACATCGCATTGAAAACATCTTGCAATGCAGAAAACACTATTTACTTAACTCAATGCTGAATTTTTATTTTATTTTTTCTGAATTTAGCCATGGTCCTCTATCAATATTCTTATGTTACTTTTTTTTAGCTTAAAAAAACTCCTTAGTAACACTGCAGGTCTTATGCTACTAGGAGCGTTCTTTTCTCTTTTTTGAAGGGAATCAATTTTCTGTGCAGTATGTGAAGTCTCTAAAAAAATGCGTCAAGAAGCAGTTCCTCTCTTGAAGAGAGAATATTTTGCTTGGATATTTGGAAAAATGATACTGGATACATTCCTCCACCACCTGAACTCTCCCCTCCCTATTCCAAAGTTCCCCCTCGTCTCAATTCATTTTACACGACCACGATCTTACACAGTTAACTGAGATCATAAGTTATGTGTTATACTTTGGGTAAAAGCGACAAAACTGCAAGTTATAATGACAATGCATTCTCCTTCAAATAATTTTTCGGGCCTCCGATGTAGGTCCGCACATTTGAATTTTGATGACGTGTCCCGCGAAAACTACTAACTTTGGAAGAGGAGGGGGGGGGGAAATCGATGGAAGCGCTCTCTAGTTGCAGTTATGGGAAACACTTTTTTGCTGCAGTATTTGCGCGATCCTGTTGCCAGAGAGCGTTTAGGTTGGATTTTTAATCTCCATTCACATTGACCGTGCTTGTAAAACTTTTCTTCGAACTTTACTGAATTTACGTTTCTGTTACATTGTATGTCGTATGATTGGCTAGTCAATCAAAATCAGTCTTGTGCCCGAGAATTTTCGCACCGCATCGTATTCGCAGCATCATGGATGACCTAGAAGTCGAGGTTTGCGGCGCAAGTGGAGCCTATTACAAGGTACGTCGGACGAAAAGTACGCGATGAAACGCATTTCTAACTCGACGAAAACATTCAAGAATTTCCCGACCGCAATTCCGAGTCGTTTCGGGTCCCTGAGATCCGATCCTGCCTCCGAATTCCTGCATTTTCTACGCACACTTTATCACGGTTAGACGCCATGTCTGTTGACAGGGCGTGAGTTTTGCGTGTATAAAAATGGCCAAATCGGCATTATCTCCTGTTTTCACTCCTTCATTTTTCTAAATTAAGATTTTCCGAACGTTCTCAGTCATTTACTAAGCCGGACCTCGTATGTCCCTGGCTCAGGAAACTCACCCTGTCCAGCCATGCAACCTGAGTTCACACATGAACCTATGTCTGGAGGCATGTTGATAACAATGTCTGCTTATTTATCATGATTACTATCTTACGGCGGAAGGCATCCAGTTACACCTTTTCCTTCCTCTTCTTTTAGCATAGCACTGTCTCTATGTCCTCTTTACTTTCATATCAAACCGCTGGTAAATAGCGATAATTTCACTGTGACAATGTTTTAATGCCGCCTTTAACGTTACGCTCAGATGACAACGGACTCCTATTTGGCCTGCCTTTTGTCCCTTAGTCCACTTATCTTTGCAAGAAGCTGTACATCACTGATTGGCACAGTCTTAACTGACTTTAAGCGCTCTTGCTGCTTTTGGCTTGAATTTTAGTGGACTAATCACCATCGAATCGATGATTACTTTCTGTAGCATCCTATTGTAGTACATATTCTTATCACTAACTTTAAAGTTTCTCATCGCACAAATTATGTTATCTGCTTTTGTTACCCTTGAGGTCCTGTCAAAGTCTGAGTCATCTTGCTCTTACAAAGTTTCAACGTTTACTTTTGATTGATCCGTGAAGATCTTCTCCCTTGAAATCTCAATATGATCATCCGCTTAATCTCACCAAGTTTTGTTTAGGAGAACAATTTGTTCCTCTAATTGCTGGACCTAATTTTACCTCCTCAACAGTCAAACAGTTCTCGCTGTTAGGATTTAACCTCTGAAGGGTCTCATGACATTCAAGTGCTCTGCATCTGCGGTGTGCTTACTTAAGTACTCTAATTATGGTGCATACTTAAAGCAAAGATTGTTCTGCCTTGCCTTGATAGTTTGTGAAATATCTGATGTGGGTTCTTTTTGCGATAGATGGATTGAAAGCCCTCAGTATTTGTATACATCTCTGATCATTCCCAGGCTGATGTCATTAATACTGAAAAAGCTGCAAGCCTACCTAGATTCTGAAATAAAATCACAAAACGTTGAAATAAAAGATTTCTAATCGTGCTCCAATTAAAAATGATGCTCCATTGCAAGTCCATGAAGCTGCATAACAGAATGTGTGGTGGCCGAGTTCAGCCATCAATGTAGTATATGACACAATTCATAACTTGAGCGTTAAAACCAATAGTATTCAGCCATTTTGGTTTATCTTGAAAATACTTCATTAATTCTTAAGTTAAGGAAAATAGGAAGACTCTGTCGATCGATCCAATTAAAATCTTCTGCATCCGATGAAAATTTGGTTTATAATTTCAAGCCAGTATGTCCAGCTTTTTTATTTAAATAAATAAATGTTGAAGGAGTTACTGACATGCTGGAATAAATTCTCTTGATTTTGCTGGCTATCTGGAAAGCCAGAAAATTTTGCAATTATCAGCTTGGTATATCAGCTGGTGCCATTCAAGCGAGTTCGAACACCTCCTCAGTGTCTTTTTCCATGAAGTTGAATCGATAGAAGTGCAAATTTCGTCCAAAGTTTATCAAAAGTTAGCAGAAATAAAAGTAAAATATCTAAGTGGAAGTTTTTTTGGAAGGTCTGGATATATCAGGGAAAAGCACAATAAAGTTAGGAAAAGTCAGGAATAGGAAAACAATAATCATAGAAACCCTGTAGGTAGGTGTTGAACCCATCAAAAGCTGCCTTTGCGAGGTAAATTAGTTAAGTTTTCTTCAATTTAATGTGTACCATTATCTGTATTTTCCAGGCTTATGTTCTAGACGTTCTTGAAGATGGAGTCTCGTTGGCTTTTGAAAATGAGTAAGTTCTTCAATTTCTTTCTTTGCAGCACAGATATCTCACATATGACTGTATGATAATCTTTTAAATTATTTTGTAGGTGGATTTCAGTCTCCGTATTTTGTCAGTAATTAAGTTAAGTGGGAAAATGGGGAATGGAATAATTATGAAAAATAAATGAAAATCATTCTTTGGACTCTCCTACCTAGTTTGATTTTCGAACTTAGATGCCGCGTGTTGAAAACAGCGTGTTGAAATGTAGCATTCAACATCAATAATCAATTTACATTTTGCAAGCAGCTCAGTTCTAGGAAGCGTGTGAGTTTCTCTTTAAAATTGAAAAACTCATCATGATGTGCAGGGAGAAACCAAATGAAAAGAATCCCACAGAAGGGAAAGTTTCGTCTCTTGATAAAACTCAGTGGCAGACTTAGTGCTTGGATCAACTTTTCTGAGTTGAATTATGAGTTACTACGCATCAACTTGCGAGACCATAAAATTATCCAGCAGTTTCATACTGTACTATATGGACAAAGTTTAAGAAAAACGCACAAAGTTGGAAATGAGAAACAGAGGGTTGAAATTTTATTCCTCGAAAAGACTCAATGTTGGCGAAAATTTTATTGCCTATTTTCCTGTTCAAATCTATTTTATCTCAACTTTGAGTTTTTATCAAAAGCAAAGTCATGACTTGCTGAATGCAAAACTACTGATTTTTGTCCTCCCTTCACAATGTAACTTGTTGTGTTTCTGTCAAACTCGATCCATTTGTGAGATCTGTGTAAAATGTCCGATTTCTAATTTTTCTCGAGACTTTGGAAGTGCCTAATTTTTTTTAAGACTAAGAAAGTGCTTAAATCGTTTTTGAATCTCACCTCCACCAAATGAAAGTCCCCTGTTGAAAGAAATTGAAAAGTTGAAAAAGTAAAACCTGACAAAATTTAATATCTGTAATGATTATAAGTATCAAAAAAATTCTTCAAAGAAATATATTTGAAAAAAAAAGCTCTAAAGGTTTTTGAAATTTCTTCCAGAAGAGCTTTAAAAAGAGATTTTCTTGCGCTTGGAGTCACGTAAGCTATGCATTTGAAAAGTTAATTTATTTGTGTGATTTTGTCCCTTACAGTTGGCAACCAGAGTCCATGTTCCCTTTCAGCCAAGTTCGACTGCCACCCCCAAAAGACCAGAAAAAGGAATTTGCTGAAACTCAAGAAGTCGAAGTCTACTCTCAAGGATACGACCAAGAGCCAAGTGGATGGTGGAGAGCAGTTGTTAGGGTAATGCTATGTATTAATCAAAAATCAAATATTCAAGGCCCTGTACCTAACCCCATAGAATATCGACGGTGTAAGTCGGCAATCACATAACTCGGTTTGCAACGTCGCAGACTTCCTGTCATACTTTATTTTTTAAATTGAAAACTACTCAACGGCAATTCTTTAAAACAGTCATGATTTTTCTTCTCAATGTGAAGAAAATTCTGCAAAAACTTCAAGGAATAGTGTCAATTTGTTCTCCTTTAAAAAGATGACGTAGAGGCGGAGATTTTCAGACACCGCAAACGAGTTGTGTGATTGCCGACTTTCACCGTCGATATACAGAAAGTGGTGAAGAACATGAATAAATTTTAGCTAAGTGAGAAGTAAGAAATGGAATGAAATTTTAATGTGGAAAAAAATTTTTCTTACAAGTCAGTGCAATCTAGAATGAAAGCCCAAAAGTATGTATAAAACTCAAAATGAGGTAGCAAGAGTTTTCTTTGTTCAGGTTTGTGATTCAAAGGACTTTGGCATGTCTATTCAAAATTAGTACTTCTTTTTTGTGAAGTTATAAAAATCAATTGCAAATTAAAAGCATTTTGGAATTTGAAAGCAGAGATTTTCCTCTGAAAGTCAAGAACTTTGGCTAAACTCGCTACCAGTGATAAATAAGTTACTTTTTGCAGACTTATCATTCTGTTCACTGGGCAGAAACAGTCAGGGAAAACCTGATAAGCTGGGAGAATTATGTTGAGTAAAAGGAACAAAATGACTCAAAAGTCAGGGAAAAATTCACAAAAGTGACAAATCATTATGTGTTGCGTCACTTAGCTTCAGCTTGTCCCTACCTAGGTCAGCATATCTTGAAATCATCGACCACCATTCTGTATTACCTCAGAAGTCCGAAAATTTTCTCAAAATTGATCTGTTAAAGTTCAGAAAAACCAGGGAAATCCGAAACTTTAGTGGCCACTTTGTCTTCAAGTTTGTCATATTCCTCCTTTTAATTGATTTTTATTTTTCCTGCAGGTAATCAAAGATGAACTTTATGTCGTCAACTACCTTGATTGGGATACATCTTATACCGAGATCGTGCCTATAGAACGGTTGAGACCGAAAAACACCAACCCGCCCATTGACGATAAGACCTTTTTTAAATTCGAAATTGAAGTGCCAGAGGAGCTTAGAGAATAGTAAGAACTTCCTTTTTATCTTTTGAAAATTTGATCACAAGTTAAGGCAGTGATGATTTGGAGACTTTGACTTCTGCTAGTTGCTTTTCACGGTGTAAAGCCATGGAAAAAATAAGTTGTGTAAAATTTCTGAAGAATGCCTCACGATGGAGGAAGGAGTTTTTTTTTTTTCATTAAATTAGTTTCAAATTGGCTTACATTTGTCTTTGAATATTGATTCAGGGAACAAAGCACAGAAAAAATGATATTATATGATTACATATATGATTATATATATGATTAGATATGATTTAACAATTTTGTAGTTAAAGAATGTGTCCGCCACGTTTCAATGTAGATTTTACAATTAAAAAATGCTACTTTAACGGCCTCCTGGTCAAATTAGCTTTCCATTATTGTAAAATGTACATTTGGAACATGTCGGACATACTTTTTAACAATTTAATTTGTAGTCAGAAATCTACTTTTTTCCTTACATTATTATCACTCCTGTGACCTTATGAATCAAATGAAAGAGGAATTGAGGACACCGCACCAAGAACAGCCTATAACTGGAAACCGCGTTTTGAGAAAAACGCATTTAAAGTTTTGTTTTTGATGTACTGCGCAGACTTTTCTATGCAGGTACCCTCTGTGGGTGTTTTTGGTTGACCTAACCCTTCTATTGAAGGATGCCGGGTAGATTTTGCGATACATTTTGGGTTCACACTCTAACATATTTAATTTAAAAAAGCGGTTTATAGGCCATTATTACGCCCAACAGTCATTTTGGTGGCAATATGAAGTATAAATAATTTTAATCTCGCATGATTAACGCAAAATGAAAGAATATCGATAGTGAGTAAAGAAAGGGGTAACTAGCACCTTATAGGCCCTTAAGTTTATAGGCCCGTTTATAGGTCGTTTTTGCACCCATCGATCCAGAGGCCTGATTTAACTCGGAAAAAAAAGGTTTTTCGACCTCGAGCCGTTACCTATGTATATTCTATCGCTAACACAGCATAGTCCAGGGTACGTAGAATCCGAAAAGCAGATGGGCGTAATAACGACATACACGCCTATAGGCTGTTCTTGGTGCGGTGTCCTCAATTGTTATTTCTAAGCAAAAGATCAAACAGCAGTTCCTCAACTACTTTTTGCTGCAAACTAAATCAACATCTGAGGAAACTTTGTTCGAACTTTCTTCTTTAATTGAATTGGTATTTATCTATTCATTCAATTCGTTCGTTTTCTTTTTCCAGTGCCAGCGTTGAAGGTGCCCACAAAGAGTTTCAGAAAGTAATTGGAGCAGCGATGTGCCGATATATCCCTGAAACAAGTGTTCTAAGTATCATCTCTCGCTCAGAGCAGTCACAAAAGAAAGCTGGTCTGATATCAGAGATGCACTTTCGGAACTTGAGTCAGAAGATCTTACTACTTAAACGAACCGAGGAGGCAGCTAGGCAATTAGAATCTTCCAAACTCCAAAACAGTCGAGGGTATGCAGTTTATCTTGTACTTACTCTCACTTTAAAAGGGCAAAAAATTTTATCTTCTACTCAAAAAGTATCAATCTGAATCCGGTTAGACTACTCAAAACGATTCTAATGTAATCTTTTCTCTCTTTTTTTTATTTACACATTCTTAAGAACTATGCAAAGTTTCAATCTTTGTCGCACTGTTCAACAGCCAACAACACAACAAACACACTTCACCGCTGATCAAGAAAGAACTCGCTTTTCAACCAATCGGGAGCCAAGATTTAAACCCACTATACTTATCTCTATATTATTTGCAAGCCTAGCTTTCGCTGATTTTTTGCAGGATTTTGTGGTAACCTATTTATTTGTCCTGTTTTTCTCCTTTTTTGGGGGGGGGGATACGTCCTTTCTGAATATTTTCAAATTATTTTGGTAGCCTAAACATTTCCTTCGACAGTTTCTCCCAAAATGATGTCATTTCACTGATGGATTAAGTATTTTTTAAATTCTGAACTACTGTTGTGAATTTCCAGGTATTCAGACCAGTTCAACGTTAGAGAGGACTTAATGGGACTTGCAATCGGAGCACATGGTTCAAATATTCAACAGGCAAGAAAAGTAGACGGAATCACGAACATAGAATTGGAAGAAAACTCATGTACTTTCAAAATTTACGGAGAGGTAATTTTTTGCAGAGTTGTTCCAAGTTATGTTATGCCGCCATATTCAGCGAGCTCTACTTGAAATTTAGATGAAAAATCATTTCCTTTACAGGTCCAATTCTTACCTTGTCTTGTGGTCTATTATTGTGTATTGCGTCGGTGTAAGAAGTATCGGCAAAAAATTCACCAAAGCGGCTTGGAAGGAAATCAAATACTGATAATTTTGCTAACTTCTAGTGACTCTTGGGTCTTAAATTAATACTTAAATTCATAGCATGAGCAAACCTTGGTGATACGGTTAAGACATTTTGCTGCCAGCAAAGGTACCGGGTTCACTCCTTGATGGTTACACATTTTCAAGGTTGTTCTATGGTTGTTTATTTCTTTCCTGATGTCAGAACCAGCTACTTTTTTATCATGGTTGGTCATTATCAGTGATTGTCGTGGTCAAGTGGTCACTTTCATAATTGTGTATGTCACTTGCAAGGCATTAGAAGAAGTTTTTATGACTATACTGAAAAAAAAGGATTGCTAATTCACCGATTTAGGGTGGAGCAAAATTTGCTTCACTTCGTAAAGCTTTCTTATCTGTGCACGGTGTTGAATCAAGTGAACGACTAGCTTGAATTGCTACACCGATTTGCTACATCTGCGCGCCTTCATGCAGTTAATCTTGCATCGAGTGGCTTGGAAGTGTAACTGCATTTTTTGGTATTGGTACTTTGCAAACAGTAAAAATAGCTCAATAGTTAGGCTGAAATAGCGGAATTTACGGATAAATAGCAAAATTTACGGAAGAATATCTAAAAAGGTAACAGACGTAGCTTTTCAGTGTAGCAAAATCACCTACACGCGTGTGTGTAAGTTAGCTGAAATTTGTGTAGCGATTTTACCTGCATAGTTTGTACGTTCGTTTTTTAGCTCACCATGCAGTTGAAATACCCGCGTGCACGGCTATTTCAGCAACATTTTTTTTTTCAGTGTAGTTCTAACAAGCAGTATGTTGGTTGAGGTGTCTGTGTCTTGTTTCTAACAATTTTGATTTTCGTTAACAGAGTGACGAGGCTGTCAAAAAAGCAAGAGGAATGTTGGAATATAGTGAAGAATCGTGTCGTGTTCCTCGAAATTTAGTTGGGAAAGTAATTGGAAAAAATGGGCGTGTTATTCAAGAAATTGTGGATAAAAGTGGAGTGGTAAGTAATTTTTTTGTATAAGTTACAACTCAATAAGTCTATTAGTTTTAACTTTCTAATATTTTGCAGAAATTTACAGACTCTCTCTGAATCCCTGAATGAAATTAAATTTTGCCTTGTTCCAATTCTGGTTTGTAAAGTAGCTACTTCGAGAACATGAAAATGGTGGTGGTTTTCGTGATAAGTGCCTCTCAAGTTTTTTTCAATAAGCTAAAAGACGCTTCTACGATTTTTTGGGAACAATTTTGATGATCCATCATTTTTTTTTTGAAGCCACAGAATAAATTACGAAGAAGCTACAAGACTACGCGTGTAATTGCAGGGATGCAGAAGCCTCTTGATCATTGCGATCATGATCGCAAAGCCGCTGGCGTGAAAATTGTGAAGGCCTTGAAAATTAGGAAGACAATCTCTCGAATGTCTCAAAATTCTGTGTTCCTTCAAAAACCAAAATTCGGGCGTTTTTATATAAAATCAGAACAATTAATTTTCACTACTCATAGATGTATTTCATTTGTGACTAAAAGTTAGAAACAGGGTTGTATCTTCGAAAATTTTGGGGAAAAATGGGTTTATTAAATGGTTTACGAAAGTTGAAAACTTTCTGCATCTCTGAGTGACAGGGGCAAATTACAGTGAAATAACACATTTCTAAACTCTTAAGAAACAAGAAAATTAGCATTTTAATTAAACTGATTCATGTAGTCTAGTTCTGTACTCAACAATAGTATTCACTTTCTTCAATGACTATAGTAATGTAAAGGTAATGTATGTGTGTCTTTTCCAGGTAAGAGTTAAAATAGAAGGGGACAATGAACCACAACCAACAATCCCTCGGGAAGAGGGGCAAGTTCCTTTTGTTTTTGTCGGCACCGTAGAAGCCATAGGCAACGCAAAACTTCTCATCGAATATCACTTAAATCATTTAAAAGTAAGTACTGTCTTTTTTACTTACCGCTGTGATGCCAGTCATCCAATTTTTTTCGGATGTTCAAATTACACATTAATGAGGGGCCATCGAATCTGGTACCTCTTAAAAAATTCAAAATTTCAATGATTTTGAAAGGTTTTGAAAGATCACTGTTTCTGAAGGTATATTTTAGTGTCTACGACCTCTTTAATGTTACTCATTTAAGCTGGTTTGTTTTTCAGCATCCTTTTGTTGACTTGCAACAGGGACCAGTTCTATAGGACCCTGGACTCTCGTAAGAGTCAATGTAAAAATTCGTGAGCAGGTACTAGTGCTGCTATCTCGCGTAGGATCCTCGCAACTCACTGCTGTTATCAGTTGTTGGACTTCATTAAAATCCGTAGGATCGCGTATAACTGCAAAAAATCGAATTTTTCACCGTACCTCTACATGCGGCGAGCCCTTCCTTGTCGAAAGGGGTCGAAAAACGCCAAAATTATACTTATTTTTCAAGAATTCAGCCGCCTTATGTGTTATTTTTCAATCTCCGGCTTAACCTCACTTTTGGAGCGGGCGATGGATGAGTCGAGGTTCGGGGGGAAGGATCCTCTGAGTTGACTAGGATCCTACGCGAGAATGCGCTGCAATCACCCGCTCACAACAGAACGGCGTCCTATAGAACTCGTCCCTGCTTGCAATTTATTGAGTCAATTTTTCCCTCTCAAATTGCTGTTGACAATCACTATTCCTCTCAGTCTTTGTTCTCTATTTTGCCGTGCTAAGGAAAAATGCCGTATGAACATTCGACAGTTGCCGAAGATATTTTGATGAAATATTTATTTTTGAGAAAAGTTATGAATATTTTTCTCTGAAATTTTCCGGCACTTTCGGTGAAATTATGAAAAAAATTATTTGAAAAATCGAAAGAAAAATATTCTTAAGGTTACCAAGCAATTTGTATTTCATCAGATGAAGTTTGGCAACACCTGAAGGTTCATACGCCGTTTTTCCTTAGCACGGCAGTGTTGCTCTCTCATTTTAACTGCAGTGATAGTTTTTGCATTCACTCTTTCCGCGAGTTATTCAATGATTATTGATAATGATGCGTAATTAAAAAAGTTGCCTTTGCTACGAGGAGGTAATTGGATAATCAAGATTCGGCACGCTGAAAGCGTGTTTGCGTGTTTGCGGCAGGGTTTTGTACACTTGAACTGATTTTTTGAAAAATCACTCTGTCGTAATTTCATCATTGCAAATTTGCACCTGTATCAAACTCAATGGAAGTCGAAAATGACATTGTGTTCGACGTCATGACCAAACAACTTGTTTGGTATGGTCATGTCAATAGGATGACGGAAGAGAGGCTGCCAAAAAAGATGCTTGATTGGGTTCCTCCTGGGAGGAGACGTAGGGGACGCCCAGTGAGAGGTTGGCGACAGGGGGTGTTAAATGAGATAAGAGATTGTCAACTCCCTGATGACCTGTGGGAAGACCGAGCTTTGTGGCGATTAGGCGTCGCACAGCGCCAAAGAGCGCTATAAAAGCGACTCATATATATATATATCAAACTCAAACTTGGTCCTTCTGCAATTTGACCAAGCAAGGGTTGACTGAATCCGATTAAAAAGTTATTCTGCCGTATTTTCACTCTCATAACAACTCTCGCGATGGTGTTATTTATGATACTTTTAACATCCTGATGTTTCATTTAACAGAAAATCCTAGCTAGAGATATCCGAAAAGTGAAATGAAACTAAAACCAATAAATGTGATCTTGGTTGAATTGGACCACATTTTGCTGTAAAGAACTGTTACTTCCAGCTCTTTTTAGAATCAATGTACGAGGTCTGTTAGATTAGAAACCGGATTTTGGTCATAACTAGCCCACAATGCGTCCGAATTAGGTTTTCTTGAGTTTTCCTGATAGCTGGAAATATACTTAAGAACGCTACGTTCACAGATTTTGTTTATTTTGATCAGTGTTTATTCTGTGTCATCTTGAATACGAGTAAGTCAGGTGCGTTTTGCGATTTTCAGCATGCGATCACCTATAGAGCCAAGACTCAACATTTAATTTTGTTTTAAACTCGGTATACCTTGTACCAAAACTTTTGGTATGCTAAGTAAAGTTTACCAAGATCATTGTATGAGATGTTCCCACTGTTTTGAGTGGGTTAAACGATTCAAAACTGGTCAGGAGTTCGTCGAAGATGAGGAGTATGGGAATCAACCCTCAACGGCAACTGACATTTGTCACGTGGAAGAAGTGCGGGCAAAAGTGCTCGAAAATGGTCATTTCGAACTTGTTGAACAGAGTAATATTTCTGATGGCTCTGTACGTACAATTTTGATAGAATATGTAGACACGCATCGAGTTTCAGGTACACTTGCCCCTTGATTGTTGTCCGTTGAACAAAAATCCAACCAAATGTCAATTTCCCTTTAGCTGCTTGAACGTTCTAATAATGATCCTACATTTTTGGATAGGATAATTTTCGGTGACAATACTTAAGTGTACGGCTACGATATGGAGACGAAACTCCAATCGTCCTTGTGGGTTGAAAAATGTTGTGCAAGACCGAAAAAAGAGAGACAAGTTCGGTCAAACATAAAAATCGCAAAACACCCTTGAGGTTGCCTTACTTCAAGCCACATAGCAACAAAGCTAATTATGATTTTTCAAATTTGTGAACGTAGCGATCTTAAATATATTTTCAGCTATCAGAAAAGCTCAAGAAAACGTAATTTGGACGCATTGTGGGCTAGTTATGACCAAAATCCGGTTTCTAATCTAACAGACCTCGTATGTGCAATTCTGCCAGGCTAAGGAAAAACGCCGTGTGAACACTCGGAGAGTTGCCAAATTTCCTCAGATACAATGTTTAGCTTTGGGGAGAGCAATGAATATTTCCTCTTTAAATTTTCAGGTAATTTAGATCTAATTACAAACAAATTGTCTGATAAATGCGAAAAAAAAATATTCACAAATTTCCACAAGAATTTATAGTTTATCGAAGATAATTTGGCAACATCTGAAGGGTCATACAGCGCCCCTCCTTTCCAGCACAGAATTAGTCTACTCCCGTTGATAGGGGCTTTTATAAATGAGCCAGAAAAGAAGTTCATTTTTAGCAATTGACTTTCATCCTCTAATAGTTCAGTTGGATGTGAAAATAAATGTCAATATAGATGTGAATGCTAAAAACTAAATTGTCGATTTTATTTTGACAGGAGGTCGAAAAACTTAGGCAAGATAAAATTGAAATAGACCAACAACTAAGGAGTTTGCCCGTCGGAGCAATGGGAGCTATGCAGAGCTTTAATTCTCAAAGACGCAATGATAGGTAAGTAACGTTTGAATATGAGCATTCACTGCTGTATTCTGCACATTCCTAATTGCATTACTTTTACTGCAAGTTGACTCTCTCATGTTGTATCTCATGAAATCATCTTTTAGACATATTCACAAGTTACATCACTTGCGTCCTGACATTATCTTGAACAAGGAGATTCAAAACAGTAAAACCCAAGACATCGTAAAAATTAAACAAATCATTAAAAACACTAAATTTTTCTGCTGTCTTCTGCAGGGTGCTCGATGAAAAGCAGTCTACTTTGAATTTTTCAATAACAACAAAAAATGTTTAGCAATGAATAGTGTCTTCATACCATCACCTTCCGGTCGAAGTATCACAAGTGCCAATTTTCAAATACTCGCTGCCATTTTATTTTTTTACAGAGAAATTATTCAATGAAGCTGTCTGAAAATTTCACTGAATTTCATTGGCAGCACAAAGAAAATTCAGTTGTCATGTTGTCAGTTCGATGTGTTGTTTCAGCTGTCCAAAAATTTCACTGAATTTTCTTCGTGCTGCCGATAAAATTTAGTGAAATTTTCAGACAGATTCAACCAACAATTTCTCTGTGAATAAATGAAATGGTGGCGGAAATTTTGAAACGTTGCATGGCGCTTGTGATTGTTTAGCTGGAAGGTGACGATATTTTAAGAAAGAGCCATTTTTTGGGGAGGAGCTCTGTATACAGGCAGAGACAGGCTCTCTGTATTTGTAACTCAGAATTTCATCACGCACCTCTCGTTTTTGTCTTAAAAATCAATCTTAAATGAGAGCCTTAATGGAACTAGAGATTGATATTGCTTTTTGAACTGTAGATATTATAAACTGAAGTTCAAATTTCGTTCTCTCCTAAAAATTTTCAAGACCGATTAGAAAAGTTGCAGGTAGATAGATGCAGCAGAAATCCAGAATGAGCAGCATAGCAAGCACTTATTCTTGTTCACTGCCAACAAGTTCTTTTAAAATTATATTTGTCGGGCCACAATCAGGGTGTCTACCAGTTCAGAAATAGTACTGATTTTTCAAGGGCGGTCCGGAAGTCCTGAAAAAGTGCGGGAATTCCGCAAGAAAGTACAGAATTTTTTTCGTTTTTGTCACAATTTGAGCGGGAGATTCAAATTTTTGAAATTTCTCAAATTTCGTTGGTGAGAGGCACTGATAAAGCACTGAATTTTTACTGTTAAGGAGGTACTGAAAATCTTGAGAATGTACTGAAAAAGTACTGATTTTTGGCCAGCCTGTGTTAGTAGACACCCTGACAATATCTCGTAAAGTAACGGCGTAATTAATGGCCTTGCCGTGACTCTACTTCCTGTTAGTCTTATTTATAACTAGTACTCTGCAGTTCGTTTCATGGAAGATAGTGCCTCTATTTAACTGCAGCATGATGAAAACAGGCTGCCCTAAACATCGGTTTCTGTCAACGTTTTGATTCAGCTTGGCGATGAATGCAGCACTTTAGGTTTTTTTTTCATTATATGTACATAGTAATTTTAGAGTATGCAACGAATTTGAACTTGAGTAGCTTGCTACTTGACACTTCAATATGACTATATTATTTTTCAGAGGTTATAGTTCTGATATGGAAACAAGTGGACGAGGCGGTAGAAGCGGAGCTAGAGGTCGGGGTCGAGGTAACAGAGGTGGAGGGCGGCATTTAAACGATCAACGTTTCAATTCTGGTATGTCCAAACTTTTATTCTTGCTCATGTAATCCTAAGAGAAATTGTACAATTCAAGTACTCCATCGTGATTATCGAAGGAAATGTAAACTTTGGTACTGAGCAGTGTTTGAAACTCACAGGTGCCAATGTGCCAAATGCGCTTAAAAAATGGAGGCTTCGCGCCAACATGGCCCCTAAAAATCTGAATTTTCAAATTAGGTGGTCATTCAAAATTTTCAGCGCTACTTCAAGCTTTTTCTATTCTTCAGGATTTCATCCTTAGTGCTTTTGTCTTCCCCAAGTTACAGCTACTTACTACCTCTGTAACGAAAACATCTTGCGTCTAACTTTTCACTAAATGCGCCATAATATATAGACGAAAAGTCAATTTAGCCCCTTAAAAATCTTCAATGGCGCCTTAAAATCAGGCTTGATGTGCCTTATGGCTCCTAAAACTCAAAGGTGAGTCTCGAACACTGGTACTGAGAGGTACTAAATTGAGTAATTGGAACAACCACGTGAAGCAGTATGTAGGTAACATACATTTTAGCTGAAACGAAGACCTTAACTGTCGAACCAGACTTATTTGAAGTTTGCTGTTCAAAAACCATATTTTTGAGGAAAAAGGATTTACAGTTCTCAGTTTTAAATTGTAAAGAAAGCAAACATCTCAAACTTCAAACATATAAAAGTTTTTGTTTAAATTACAAAAATACAATACTTTTTTTGGAGGTCACGTTTTAATTTCTAATACATTACTAGGATTTTGAAACAATTTTTCTGCATGGACTCAATAAGATGTCTAAAACCCCTGGCATCTTGCTGCAACTCCTATTTGACTGCGATTTTTACAGGTTCCAGACATCAAACGCCAGACAACATAGATGAAAGATTACCACCTCGACAAAGTTACCAAGCCATGGGATCGAGAGGTTCTCACAATAATAGCTACTCATCAAGGCCGAGGGGCGCTGGTGGCCGGAAAGACCACCGACAGAACGACGATAGATGGAGAGTTAATGATGACGATGAACACCCTCAATTAGATTCTCATTCACACGAAAACGCAGACAGAGGTAACCATTTTAGCTCTCCCTTGTCTTTTGCGTTTTTTTTTTCCTTCTTTACGAATGTGGAGAAAATTTACCTACCTAACTCGACTTCAACTTTAATGCTATGCTGTGTGAGAATTCGAAATATCATAAAATTTCTCTGCTCTGTGTAACAATCAGACAATCTTAGCTCATGGAGCCCAACGAAGAATTTTTAAATTCTCATTAAAATGGGAATTTCTGAGGTATTGATGACATTTAGTCAGTTTGATATTAATCAAAGTATCAGTTTGATGCATCATTTGCTTAACGGTTTATTATTGATCTTCGTAATTCACTAAAGCTCAATGACTAAAAAAAACCCTCAAACGACTTTCATGAATCGCTTTTCAAAGGACTACGTGCAAAACAGGCCATTTGGGGCTCGGGGCGGATACCTTTGAGACTTTCCCTATTTATTCACCTAACAATGCCCCATCTTTTCCCAAAGTTTCAAGCCCCCCAAAAATTTTGGGGAGACGCGGCGGGGGGTCAAAGTTTAAAACCGGCAAAATTTTTGCGAATTTATTACTCGAAAACCAAGAAGTTTTGGAAAACGCGGTTTAAACGAGCGTATTCAGCGTGACGAGAGCTTTCAGAAAATGTATAACATCATAGGGTTTTGTCAGCTATGGTGTAGTGGTTGTAGCGCTTGCTCTATGATCGGGAGGTCCCGGGTTCGATTCCCGGCCAGGCGACCCGAGTTTGATGGTCTCAAACAATGGTTGCCTGGGACTGGTTCAGTAGGGACGGAGGGGGGATGGGACTTAAATCGTGGGATTNAAAAAAAAAAAAAAAAAAAAAAAACTTCAGCTCGAGTTATCGCCTCCGAAGCGCCGGAACGCTCGAAAAAGACCCCTTATTTTTTCACGTTTGGGCCGATTTTAAAAAAAGCCATTATTTTATTTTGATGAAAAACTGATATGTTGTTCCTGACTCTCTGTAGCCCCTCTAGCTCTTTACCGCATGCTGGGGAAATGTTTTGGTCGCAAGTTATAAGAGCGGAAAGGAGCGAAGGTCGGGAAAATCGGCTATTTTAAACTGCGCGTGGCGACAGATCAGGAGACATGTGGCAGCATTGCGAGGTCGGCAGAGGAGTGTGATTCGCCGAACTGAGTGGGAGGGGACGTTTTCCCTCCGATCAACGCCGCGCGCGCAGTTTAAAATAGCCGATTTTCCCGACCTTCGCTCCTTTCCGCTCTTATAACTTGCGACCAAAACATTTCCCCAGCATGCGGTAAAGAGCTAGAGGGGCTACAGAGAGTCAGGAACAACATATCAGTTTTTCATCAAAATAAAAAAATGGCTTTTTTTAAAATCGGCCCAAACGTGAAAAAATAAGGGGTCTTTTTCGAGCGTTCCGGCGCTTCGGAGGCGATAACTCGAGCTGAAGTTGACAAAACCCTATGATGTTATACATTTTCTGAAAGCTCTCGTCACGCTGAATACGCTCGTTTAAACCGCGTTTTCCAAAACTTCTTGGTTTTCGAGTAATAAATTCGCGAAAATTTTGCCGGTTTTAAACTTTGACCCCCCGCCGCGTCTCCCCAAAATTTTTGGGGGGCTTGAAACTTTGGGAAAAGATGGGGCATTGTTAGGTGAATAAATAGGGAAAGTCTCAAAGGTATCCGCCCCGAGCCCCAAATGACCCGTTTTGCACGTAGTCCTTAAAGTAGAAATTGTCCGCTTTAATCAATTTTAAATTTTCGTTCAAGGTAAAGAATATAGTTTTCCATAAATTCCAAGAAAATTGTTCACTTTCCCCTCAGCTATGCCTGATAATTGATATTCATACTTTAACAAGTCAATTTTTGCCAATATTTGTTCCAAAAAAGCGGTGTTCGAAAGTAATCACTTCAGAATTGCCATCTTGAATTGGCTAAAAATTTTAGTTCGTAAATCTGAACCCCTTTAAAATGAGCTCTGCTCATCAATGCAGCAAAATCTTACTCAATAGATACCGTCTTAAATTTTTCTCTCTTTTAGGCACCGTTTATGAGTAAAAGAAAGGCAAACCTTATCTTATCATACCATATCATAAGGAATTATTAATGCCTGTTTGAAGGTTTCTTGAGCATTTTCCTTAAATGTTTTTTGACTAACTGTTTAATACAGCATCTGATTTCCTAATTACTAACCATCTCTGTTAACAATTTATTGAAATATTTTTGTAACTTTTCTCGCGATTAACTATTTCCCTTTAAGTTTCTGAAACTTCGAATTCTTCCTGGAATCAAATGGGTCATAATCCTCCAAGTTAATAGACTTAGAATTTCGAGTCAGTGGTGGGAAGGTAATTTTTCTCTCGTCATGACAATGGTGGTATTGCATTCCTTTTAGGGTTACATAAAGGCTCGCAAAAGAGTGGCCGCTCAGGAAAGCCGCGTGGAAATTACCAGGGTGGTGGCACCAAAGAAAATAGGCAATTCAACGATAGTTGGCGGCTGAGCGATGAAGATGACTCGCATGTTAGCAGGGTAAACTGGAGTGAAAACGCAGAAAAAGGTGAGTTCAATCAAATGTAGGAAGCTCTTGCACAGCGCTCAATTCTCAGTGCTATTCCAAGGTTCAGTGGTTTGAAAAACTGGGTTAATCTAGAACTTCTTTAAAAGTTATTTTGTCACTCCATTTTTTGAGCGTAGCATTTGTACAATTAAAACCATTAGGCAGAATAGAGATTGCAGGGTTGCCGTTGAACCAGGAAACAGAAAACATAAATTTTTTTTGAAAATCTCGGGGAATGAATGACTTGACGAGTTCATCGTCATAAGTTCGTGAATTTCCTATCTTTTTGTAACATCAATCATACTGTTGCCAATATTTGGATCGCAAACTTATTGGTTAGGATGGGTGAGAATACTGCCAACAGTATCCAGGAATAGTTCGTTAGATGCTTCCTTGGGTTTTAGGAATAACTCATGTCTCATTTACTTCTTTTAAATTTCCCAAAGGGAATCAATGAATGGTTTAATGGTACTATCTCTACTCTCTAGGCATTATGATCTGCGGTGTTTTCTTTTAGTCCTAGGAAATTTTGATGTAAATTATAATTACAACTTTGCTTTGTAGAAGACTTCATATTTTGGAGAGAAATAAATTACTGAGCTCGGCTTGCATCTGTAATGTTTTACATACTTGGCTCTCTTATAAAATTTGCATACTTTCTGTGAAGACAATAAATCGCCTCACAGGGTTTATCCGGATAAATAAATCTGGTTTATCCGGTTTATCTAAATCTTATTTTCCTCATGTCTTAACGGTATTATAGGCTCTCGAGCTCCGCAGAAAAATGGCTATTCCCATAAGCCTCATGGAAACTATTCTCGCGGCACCAGAAAAGAGCATCATGTTGATAACAGGTGGCGAATCAACGATGAAGATGAAATTCATGTAGATTCGCACAATAACATGGATAGAAGTGAGTCAGTCTAAGTACCCAGGAATGGTAGATCGCATTTGGCGTGTGTCTTAGCCTATTCCTTTTGTATCTCAGAAGTTGATGAGTCTTTCGTAGTTTGTGTCATGGTGTTTAACCGGTAGTCGGAAACAGCGTAAGAATGCCAAAAGTAGGAAGACCTGAGGGAGCCGTGACTGCTTCTTTTTTCAATTTATCCTATTCACGCAGTTAACTTTTTTTTGCTGCCTGCCTGTTGTTGTCATGCAAACTTTAAACCGCAAAGAGTGTACCATGGCTCATGACAAGCTGCTTTCCCACTGTATTAGTTTGATAGGATTTTTTGCCGTTCTCTCGCCTGTCATCTGCTAAGCTCCATTGTTCGAGAAAATGTGTCAGCCCTTCAATATATTGATATCTTTAGAAAGGATATTGATTTTTTTTTTATTTTGATTTAGTGTAATTTTGTTGCAGTAGAGCAGGAGTACTAAGTTTTGTGCATCCGGACTGCCAGGGTTTTCTCTCTTTCTTTCTCTTTTTTTTCATTTTGGATGTTCCGTTCGAATGTTTGATTTTCTTCATTTGAAGTACTTAGTAAAGATTTTGCAGGAGAACAAAACCTATGTCTCTTATACGAGAGAATAAGCCTGTATGAACAATCGGTGTCTGTTTTTCTTAGTAGCTTTGACAGAATTAATTTTGTTGCTATTTTCTATGAATTTTAAAGCTGTTCTATTTAGTCTAGTTTTTCTGTCATTGTCCTCTTCATTTTTTTATGGATATTCGCTTTAAAGTGTCACCGGTACTGCCCATCATAGTTTTATTTATATTTTGCTTGATATTCTCTTCCTCCTTTTATGTGTGTTGTTACTGATGTAGATTTGCATGGTGAATTTTAGAAAATTTTAATATCTACTTGTAAAATCTCCAATTGTGAGTCATGAGTAACTCTCAATCATTACATTTGTATGAATTTTTATGATTTTCTTTTCGAATCAATTTCTTAGAAGTTACTTAGCATTAGAAAGTACAGAGTCATTAGAACTCAGTTTCCAGGGAAAAATCTGAAAAACACGGAGATTGTGGGGAAATGCTGTAAAAACGGAGGAACTTCTGGCATTTTTTTTTGCGAACAACAGGCGAAAACTTCCTTTCTTCTTTAAAGACATGTAATGTTCATGTGTGCAATGGCTTGTGCTCATGGTTAGGATGCCATTATACAATTAATTATTTACTATCGATCTAATCGAATTAGATCAGTCACAGTATGAGCTCAAAAATTAAACAAATTTTTCTATTTTTCTTGACATGACCTCAGCTTTATTTGTCGAAATTGTATTAGTTGTTTTTTCTCCTAGTTCCGGTCCCACAAAATAGTTTTCCTTTGTGTCGTTATTTTGGCGAAAAAACTCAGCACATAATATTCTTAAATATGAATGATAAAAATCCGCTGTATGTATCAGAAAAACAATCCTATTTTTGCTTTCTTATTATGCTATTGCTTTCTTAATTTTTACTGAAGTTGCCAGTGTTTCACAGTGTATTCCATGGTTGTTGATTTAAAGCATTTCTCTATGCTAGCACTCCAAAGCAGTTCAACAAGTCCTGTGAAAACATTTTCAGTAGCTTATCTCTTTATCTGCGCTAACAGGTTTTTTTTCTTTCTCTATCACTTCTTCTTTCAACATCATCTATCTTTCAACATCAGCCCCCCCCCNTCCTTATTTCATCTCTTTTTTTCTCGCACATCACTTAACTTATTTCAATCATTCACATCTGTTTTTTCTTCTTCTAGTATATGTTTTCTTCTGTCACAATTGCCATCTGTTTTGTTGTAACGTTTTGATTTATTCTTTCGAAAAATTGAAGAGCCACCAAGATTTTTTTTTTTCATAGTTCTGTAAATTTTCTCCTCTCTTTTATCCAAAAGAATGTTTATGTATCCATGTTTTGAGAATAATTCCAGTCTCAATTTCAGGAGTACATTTTTCTAGGTGGATTTTTTTGAGAGGGCGATCAGTGTTTAATTTTTCCCCCATTTAATTGCTCTCCTGTTGATCATTTGATGAAACTGATAATTGATTTTTGAATGATAATTAGTTTAAAGACTGCTGATTGGTGGGTGCTTTTTAGGTTTTGCACCCTCCTTGAAGAAAAAGGCACCCTGTCTGAAAGTATAGTTAGTAATCATTCACTGAAATGAGAAATTATTTTTGTCTTGCCGTATATTTTTCAGTGGTGACACAACAGTTGAGAGCTCGCCCAATGGACGAGATAGGTTTGCCCATAGGTTCGAATCTCAGGCTAAGCTGTGGTTTTCAAAGCCATTTTTAGTTTTCAATATTACTATCTAGAACAACTCCATTTCCAAGGACCTTCTCTCCAAAAGAATACAATTCTGTATTCACATTTTGTAAGGTGGACTCGTAACCATTAAAAAAAATGTTTAAGAATTGCAGAACTCCAGATTTTTTCTTTTTCAGTCAGTTGCCAGTTCACCTGACATATATTGACTTTATAGAATTCTATCTCGGTGAAAAGAGAGTCTTGGAGAAGAAGGTCATCTTTTAGATAGTGAGATTCAATGTTAAAGGTAGCCTCACAAATAAAACGCTAGCCTGGGATGGGAACCTAAACAGGGGTGTGAGCACTGAGCTGTGTTGCTATCGAAGGATGTACAGTTGGCTGCCAATATTTCCTCATACTGCTTTATACCACCCACAGATGATCATAGCAGGGAATTTTCATATTATTTTTAGAAGAGTTTAAGGGGCGCATGCGCAGCCACTGACAAACATCCGCCAATCAGCTGTCTTTGATCTGTTCAATGCTGCAAACCATACCTTAATGAAAAGCAGGCACCTCTAAGTCCCTCCTCAACTCAAGAGTGAAAAATTGGCAATTGGTACCTAATTTAGAGAAGAGAAACTCAGTTTTAAGTCATTTCAGCCTCAAGTTTAGCATTGTTTGACCTCTGGATTGCTGTTGCACACATTTCACTTAAGATTGAGAATCATCAGATGCAGCCTAAAATACAATTAAGTGGTGTAGTAACTTTTGAAAAGTTTTGCAGTTTATGTTTATGTGATTGAATGTTTGTTTACTCTCGCTTTACTTTGCCTGATTCATTTGATTGCATAATTGAAGGCCTTAGTGAGTATATTTGCACGTATTCTAGATTTCTGATTTTATCTGAAGTTCATTTGTATCACTGAGCTGTGTGTTCAGGAGAAGAGAGGACTTCAGTCTTCATAGCCAAATCACAAACTGAGCTCGAAACTTTGTATTTGAGTTCTTTTTGAAATTGCCTTAAAATGGTCGAGAGCAGTGCAAAATTTTTTTTTGCGTCAACAAAGACTGCCGTAACAGACCCTGTAATATGGTTGTTTAAAACTCTCAAAAAAGGATGTATTATCTTTTGAAACTGGGGGTTCTTTGACTTTTCACAATAATGACTAGAACAAGTTTGTAGATTTGTTTGCCTAGATGGTCTCAATAATGAGTTCTATCTTTTTTAACCCAGAAGGGCACTTTTGAATTGAGACAGTACTTAAAACCCTGGGACCTCTTAAGTACGAACGATTGCATGTAACTTTTTTTTACATTAAGGCCTTCAATGTTACCTCATGAAAATGTTTTGCTTTTTTGAATGTGTTGATTGGATCAGAATTTGAAAATTAATTTTGAAGCGTTTCAAGTAACCTAACCAGTTACTTAATGTGTAACCCGCTCCTTAGGAGCAGTCAAAATTTATTGCTGTTGTATTAAAAGTTGGTAAATTTTCGCGTAGAATCAGTATCGAGTGTGGAAGGAGCACGAACAAATAACCGCAGGCCACGAAATGCCAGGCGCAAAACGCGACCCCGAAGCCACACACCGACCACTGAGAAAGAAACGATGAGTGAGTATTCTTGTCAAATGACAAATCCTGTGGAAACTAAAAACTAACATGTCTGGAACTATTAACAATCACCCCCAATAATTGCTTTTTTCTAGTGTTTGTTCAACAAAACATGAACAAAATTTTGAGTGAAAACTGCGGTGAGATCAAAGTTGCATGAATCAGTGTACTGGAACTTATAGTAGTGATTGACAAAGACACTGTTTTAATGGAAACTAATCAAGTATGTTTGAAACTACAATATCAAAACAAATTTAAAGAATCAAGGTGGAAAGGAAGTACAAATTATTTAATCCTTGACTGTGGAAACCAAAACGAGGAAGCAAGTAGAAAAATGCTGTCAGTGGCAAAATGGCATTTTAAGAAAATTACGCTCAAAGTTTGAATTCCCAATTTTGCAAAGCTAACCTTCTTCTGAATCAGAGCCCATATTTAACTGGGAAACCAACATATGGCTCTAAAATTTTGTATGATTGAAGCTTCTGCATACGTTAATTGCCAAAAGCAGTTCCTCAGATAAATGATGGCCACTAGCTCACTCAGTTTTTGCACCTGGGTCTTTAATTTAGTACAAATTGTAATTCTTGAATGTGGTTTACGTCTACATAGTGTGAAATTTTTGTTTATTGTTGCCAAAAAAGTGCAAAGGAGTGTACAAAGCCTCATCTATTAAAGTGAACTTGTCTCTTTATTTCAGTAGATGTAGTTCAGCAAACCGGGCAAAGTCTGACAAACTTGTAAAATGCAACAGTAAACCGAGTGAAAAACTTCGATTGGTTTTAAATAGATTCCGAGCTTGATTAACAAACTTTTCTCAATTTAGGAAATAGATGCAAAAGAAAAAAAAAAATAATAATAAGGTTTCTGTACGCGAGTGGGTCTCTGTTGGAATATTTCTACAGATTCTACTGGGGTCAAAGGACAACTTCACCTACTACCATACTCTACTTTCTGGAACTTATTTTTTTATAATGGTCTGTCAGACTATGCTCAATTTGCTGGACCGCTACTATGCCAACGCCGCTCGTACCAAAGTTAAGGGACAAGTTCGCTTGTGTACGTGAAGATTACTTCTTTTATAATCTACCTTTTTTACTATTTCAGAATATATTCAGGCGTTAAATTCCGTTTTAGTACACTGCTTCATTCCTCACATTGATCATTAGACTAAACTCAGAACTTGTCTAACCCTCACACCAGTATTTTTGGGATTATTCTACTCAACTAATCCTTGTAACTTTCAACTTCTTGATCCTTAATACTGAATGTAAATGTAATTTTTTATAATTTTTTTATCTGTACTTTGCACGCTTTTTTGCACCATTCAGGTAGTTTCATGCACTTAGAAAATCCTCTTACTTCTTACATTTTAAGGCTTACAAAGTCACCTTTAGCTGTAAAAGTCTGTCTTCAGCTTCTACTGCATTGTTTGTTGCAGAGAGAACATTTTTTGCAGGTTTTCCCAGCAAAAGAATGATGCGTGCGCGGAGCATTCCTTTTTCTTGAAAAAGTCATGAAAGTTTTGTTATTTATTTCAAATTTTATTAAATATTGACCAGTTATCAGATTTGTGATGATTTCGATCATTTTTCATTGCACAAGTTCCCATTAGGTCAAATTTTCATCGTGAAAAAAGTATTTTACGTAAAAACAGTGGAAGTTACTTCTTTTGTAAATCGTTGTAACTCATCAATTTTTGTCCTCAATTAATCATCAAACATGTATTCTTCAGAGGAGGAGTTACTCTCCATGATAAATCCAAATTCATGTTAGTTCTAGGGGTGTTTGTGTGCAAAGCTTTGAAAACTTCAAACGCTATTTTCTCATAACCCCAAAACTCTACATCTGCTATTCTTACATACAATGCTTCAATTGCTTTTTTTACTCCCTCTTATCCATGACCACTAATCTTAAGTCACCAAATTCTCTGCATTGAGCTGTTTCATCGTGGCACTATAGACTGATAAAGTGGCTACGTCATTCGATATAATGAGGAACCCTTGGTTCAAATGTAAACAAACTCAAAACCTTGTTTCTGATTCGCGCCCTTTGCACTATGGTGGTAAAATGTTGTAAATGTCCAAGTGTTTTTTACAATCGAAAGTTTTCGTATTTAATGAATCTTTAATTGATTTATGACCGGTTAATGACTAAATTTTAATAAAGTAACACAATTAACACATGAAGAGTTCGCACATGAGGTTATGTTAGTTTGTTTTGGTTTGAACCAAGAGTTTGATAGTATATTGAATGACGTATTCACTAAATCAGTCTATACATCATGCAATATAATATCAAACCCTCCTCCACGGAGCCTCCTACTCCTTGCACGGTGGAACGAGCTAATAGAAGAGGTTGGACATGAAATATTTGGCTACAATTTCAAATTTTGAAGTTTATTTTGTCACAAATTCAATTTTAAAGGGTGTTTCTGAAAGGAAGTTTCACAGAAGAACCAATGTAGCCACTCTTAAACTTTTTTGATTCATATTTTCCAAAAAATAAACTTTCTAAGTTTCCAGATATTGTCCCACCTCTCCTATCAACTCGCTCCCGTGTGCCATGGTTCAAATGTATAAATACAACAGTACCTTGTTTCTGATTAGCACCGTTTGCAATATGGTGGTAAAATGGTACAAAGGTTTTTTACAATCGAAAGTTCTCGTATTTAATTAGTCTTTAATTGATTTATGACCGGTCAATGACCAAATTTTAATCAATGAACACAATTAACACATGAAGAATTTGCACATGAGGTTATGTTAGTCTGTTTTGGTTTGAACCAAGAGTCCAATTTTATATCGTATGACGTAGTCACGCAATCAGTCTATTTTCGTGACTTGGCACATCAGGACAGTGTATTGAGCGGCTAAGCAATAAGTATATCCAGTACCTGCATGTGTTTTGTACTCTCTAGTTTAAGTCTCTAGAATGCAGCTGTTGCACCTTTTTCTTTTTCTATTTTTGGAGAAATTTATCACAAGCTGTCTTTTATTTGCTTTTATTTACTGAAACATGAATTGAAATATTGACTTTCTAATTCGCTGAAAATCTTAATTCTTCTCATAGAATGAAGGAGATTTCATAAATTTAGAAATGTCAGTTGTTATGTTGACCTCTAATCTTGTTCCTAACAATGTTTTCATCACTTAGCTTGCATGTAGTCCAGTAAAACAGATCTTTACATATCAATCAGGATTGAATTACCAATTCATGTAAAGTGCTGAACCAAGACGAATGGAGATGTTGCATGTGTGAGGAATTTACGATTTGACTGTTGATTCTTATGTAAAAGTTTGCAAGAAACTTGATGGTGCCACTAGTTTTCTCTGAAATCAACTCCCAAGCTTAGAAAAAGCTCTCAAGTTGAGGCCAAAATGGAGGGGATATCCCACGCTATCCTGAGAGTCCACCTCTACATCAAGACAAACTCTCCATGCAAAGATAGGGAGCAAATACATTGACAGGGCTGCCACTTTATTTGGAGACTCTAACACGGCAGCCCTGTCAATGTATTTGCTCCCTATCTTTGCATGGAGAGTTTGTCTTGATGTAGAGGTGGACTCTCAGGACAGCGTGGGATATTCCCTCCCTTTTGGCTTCAACTTGAGAGCTTTTTTTGAGCTTGGAAGTTGATTTCAGAGAAAACCAGTGGCGCCATCGTGTTTCTCGCAAACTTTTACACCAGAATCAACAGTCAAATGGCAAATTCCTCGCACATGCAACATCTCCATTTAGTAGGGTCATGAATTCTCTTCAGTATTTTTGAGGATGTTGAAGTAGGCCAGCATTTTGCAAAAGAGCTTGGGGCCTGATCTTTACCTTTTGAAGTTATATTAGTTCTATTTCAAATAAATATACATAATTCTTGTTTAAATTATACCATAATATAATCCTTCAACAGTCACCAGCAATATTTTGATTGCAAGCACAAAAAATGTATGGATCTGCATGCTGGTTTAGACCAGGTGTTATTTTTTGCCAGTTTCTTTTGTGTGTACTTCAAACAAGAACGCAGAAAAAACCAGAGAAGGACACCGGGAATTAGGAACTTAAAAAATGCTATGAATTCTGGCACATGTTCTGACCAAACTCTCACAATATTCCGTCTATTTTTTGCAGGTGGTCAAGCTCATGAAGTAGTAAATAACAAAGACTCAGGAAAGAATTCTCAAGAGAGCTCTAGAAACCAACGAGATTCACGGTCCAAAGGACAGAAGCCACCCCAGTCGAAGCGAACCTCCGCATCAGTTTCCAACGACAAACCAAAAGAACAACCACTTGTCAATGGCACCTCCGAATAGGATTTCATTTACTTCTTGTTTTTATTTATTTATTATTTTTTAATTTTTCACGTTTATTTGTTCTCTTAAAGAAAACTTCAAATTTTGTTATTTTGTGTCAGTCGTTCAACGCGTTGAAGTAGAAAAATTTTTCCTTTTTTTTACAAAAAAAAAAAAGCCTTCCACCAAAAACTAATGGGTACCATGTTCGATTTCCGTTTTTTGTGCTAAAATTTGTCGCCCAAAAATTTCTCTTGTAGCAGTAATTACCAAGATTACATTGGTGCTCTTTTTCCTCGAAATTGGTGGTTGATGCCCTAGTTCCTATTTTGCTTCTCGCTCACGTTTCGTAGTATCTTTGTTCCATACCCAAAGAAACTTACCGGACTGATCTAATTAACAAATTCCCGATTTATTCAAATGAACCTCTGAAGTAGCCCTTTCTGCCCGGTACAAAGATACAAATGTACGATTTTAGTAAAGCTCTCTTTTTTCCCTTTATTTGTGGGTGTAACCTAATAAAATAAAGGAAATAAAATGGGCAAGTCTTTGAAGGGAAGATGGCACTTCTTAAAAACTGTGAATTGACCTCTGGAGCAAATATCCTGAAAATAAAGTCTGTAAAATTGCCGATTCACCCAGTTATTATTGTTGTCTGAAAATTTCTAGTAATTGAATGGTCTTTTGGGTAATTTGGAATTACCCCATGCTAACAGGGAATTCACAGGTATCAAGTTGGCTGACTCTCCTAGTGAGAAGCAAGATTTGTTATTTGTGTTTAATTTCAATGGCAAAATAAAGGCTGGATCGGTCTTGCTCACGAAATTAGCCAACTAATTTGGGGTGAACGGTAAATTCAGTTCTTTTAGCGATGCCTAACTATTGGAATTCGAACATAATTTGAATTTTAACAATCAGTATGGTTCATGCTTCACCCTTACGTCATTCTGACGATACTTTATCAGTCCATAATGAGAGTAATCATACCATCTGAAAACCTTGATGTCCTTTGTAATGGATTGATACGAAACTGACCTCTATAAATATCTCGCTTTAACTAATGTCGTCAAACCGTACGGACTTTTCACATAATTGTCTCTTCTATTCTACCCTTGCATCTCTGTTAATTTGTTTATGTTTTTTGTATTACTTACATACTTAAAATTGTCTTGTTAGATTTATCAAAATTTGTTTTTTTTTTTATTTTAACAGGAATTCTTAATATTTTTTCTGATGACCGAAAGAAATATGCACCATTACAATGGATGCTATTTTATACTTAATTTCCCTTTAATTAATCCTGGCCAGATTCATCATCTGTCTCCTTAACTTTGAAAAATTAGCAATATGGGATGCTTTTTGTTTTTTTTTATGCTGTTTCTTTTTCCTCCACACTCATTGATTATTTCTCCTTTTCTTTTGCTTTGTGTTTTTTTTCTTGGTAGATTTGGTCGGTGGATTAAATGAGAGATTTTTAATCATATAAACATGTGCCTAAAATCATCTTTTTTTGGCATAGCTGCATTTCGTTCATCTTTTTAAGCGCACTGCTTTCATATCAAACTGTCATGTACTTATAAAAATGTACATACGCACCATATTTCTTTGTTCAAAGTCAAAGAGAGGTTCTCCTGCATTGATTATTGCTCCAGAGTCAATCTGAAAATGTAAATAGCAGATACTTTGCAGCTATATGTTAGTCAGCCAAATAATTTATGATGAACTCTACTTTAACTGGTTTTTTTTTTTTTTTTTTTATATTTCTTTGCCTGAAATTTCTAGATTTATTATTCGTCGCCAAAAATATGCTTGTAGTAATATCTTTGGATTTTAAGCTGTGGTGGGGGAAAATAACTTACTATCGACTCAGCACTGAGCGGAAGTGTATTTTTCTCCCTTGAAAAGTTTATGCTTAAAAGACGTGTTTTTTTGTTTTTATTAAGTTTACCACAAACTGATCGGCTTAAAATTCATTATTTTTTTTTTTTAATTTTCTTCAAAAATATGGATCGTAGTCCATAGAATCAGTGATCATGTTTTTGGACGATGTTTAATGATCTCTCATTTTTTCCATTGCATCCAGTCTGCCGATGTTAACTGTTGCTTCAAATTTGCTTTTTTCCTCTAGTGACAGAGATCTTTATCCTTAGTTGTATTTGTGTCCCATTTTTTGTATTGAACTTACGAATAAAACTGTGAAAGAAATGCTCGGGCTGTGCGTTGGTTTTTCAAACCCATTCGGAATCTGATTGCAGCATAGTTTGTTTGTTTATTCGCCTAATCTTACTTTCTACAACTGCTTATTAGATTCCAGTGGCATAATTGTAGTATCTAAAATTTATCCTCTTTTTGATCAATCCAGTCAAACGATGAGTCGCAATTCTGCTCTTGATCACTTTAACCATTATTGTAACTGAAGACTGTCACTGGAAGACTGTGTCTTACTGTTACTGGATTTCAATGAAAGATATGAAAAAAAATGGTGACAAAAATAAAATTGCTGTCCAAAAGGTTGATTATGTGGTTATTTCTACAGAGATGAATTTCAGAATTTGGTTTAATTTGAACACACTACAAAAAATTATTTTCTCGAAAATTTTAGACGAAAATTTTTGTTTAGACTTCAACCAGTGACTCACAGAAATTATCTCACTTCATTTCATAGCGCTTACAGAAACATTAGATTATTTTTTACTATCTTACAAAAGTGCTGAAATCTCTCAAGCCACAGTTTTGATTTGGCGGAATTGTTAAGGCTCAAGTTTTCGGTTTTTCTTCATATTGGAAACTAGATAATTTTATTTTTTTTCTTATAAATTATAGAAGTCCTCTATCCAAATGTTGCAAAACATCAAATTTTTTTCAGTCTAACCTAAGTAAATTTTGCATTGATTCTCTAAAGTAATGAAAACTCAACGTAAAATGTACATTCTTTCTTCGTTCTTGGGTTGAATTTTAAAAATCCCACACCCAACTCATTCTGAGGTTTTCTCTGTAGTTAGGGTGGTGAAAAGGTAATTTTTGAAATTTTTGGAAATTTTTGAAGTATTAATTATATTTGGAATATTTCCCGTTTTACCAGCGTAATATTGTGTAATATACATTTTCACTTAGGAATTTCCTTTGCAGTTAACATAAAAAATATTCCGTTCCTTTTGCATGATACACTGCAATTGCTCAATGAGTTCTGTCATGTGCACTGTTCTTTCTCTTTGCATCTTCAATAAATCTTCAGTTACTCAGATCAAATATAAACAAACGAGTTTACTTTGCATGCACTCTTGAATAAATAAACGAATATTCCTCTGGGTCTTTTCTTACACAGTCAATCTCTAAATATTTCATTATTGTAGGAATTGTCTCAGGGAAGAACAAACTTGTGCTTATACTGTCACCGAACATATCTTACCTCTGATTTTCGAGTGAGGTATTTCGAAAACCTTTTAAGCAAAGTTTCTTTAACATTTTCCTTAAATAGTCAACTCATAATTTCAATTGGCCATCAAATATATTAAAATCAATCATTTACCAATGGCACCAGTAATGTCTTAATTCGATCGTGCTGTTTAACGTGTTGATGATCAACAAACAGACATTATTCTGATATCAAAGAATGTAAATATGTGAAACCCAAGTTGTTTATCTCCACCCTTGTTCCTCTTTCTTTTATTCGTTCATTGAGTTGGTTAAGAGGGCAGTCTAGTTTTTATTTTGAACCTTTTCAACCTTTCTTTGCACTTTGAAATGTATCTGGGCGCCAACCCAGATTCCCTAGGCTGAATTATGTGGTGGTATGTCATCATCCCCCCTCCCCTCCATACAAATCTCATCAGCATTTTAACCTGTAATGGCCCTAGAATCCCAGTTTTTCTTTAAATTAAGCATGCCCAAAAGTAAACCTGAACTTTTCTGTATGAATCATTTTTTGCTGAGTAAACTCGCCATTTGGTTAAATAATTAATTGCCGATAGAAGTTCATAAAATTATATATCGATTGCCGATATTTTAAAATCTGTATTTCATCATTTTACTGTCCAAAATTATGAATGAACCTTCTTGGGAAAGCAAAGAAAAGTCCAAAAACAATTTTAACCTCTGTTTCCCTTAAAAAAAAATAAACTATATTCATTTATCATGTTCCGAATGTTGATATGTTTTTTTGCACTGTCACCTCATTTCTATGGCTTACAATCTTCCTTTTGATTCAAAAGGAGCATTTCTTTAGATTTGGGCGGATCCGCAATATCAGGCACCCCTCAGTACGTTGCAATTGTTTGAATGTGTTTGAGGATCAAGGTTACTAACCGGCAGACGTAAAGTATGTCACAGTAAAATTCATCAGTATTTTCATGAACTGTTTTGAATTTGAATGAGACTGAAACTCCGATTGGTTAGTCGTTGTGTTTTTCTTGTACTAAATTTCCATTGGCAACCAAATGCTATTTCATTACTGCAACATATATGTATTTTTTCTTATCCTCACTGTTTGCTTGTGTAAATCACAAAGTAAGAAATTCACCTTAGAAATTTATCCGCCTCGTTAAATGTTGTGGTTTTAGGATTTTCAAGATATTGATGGTTAAACTCAATCGTACCGTTTTAAAATTTCTTCTCCCATTTTATATTTTGAACGGTAAAGAGTCTCTCCTCACTTGAAATTTTCACAGATTTTTTTTCTTATTCTATCCATGGAGAAAAACAACTACTGAAACTTTTAAGAGGAATTGAACATAGGTTTTTAAATTGAAAACTATGCGGAGACAGAAGAAAAGTGACAGAGACTCTGGAAAAACCAAAGCGAGTCAAGTCATTTCTGAGTTTGGCCATCAATATCTTCCCCTATCTCTAAGAAAAGATGTATTTCTAAAAGCCTGTCTCCCCATTTTTACCAGTGAAATGAGATTTCATCTATTTTTAGGTAGTTGCAAGTAATGTTTCATTTTAGAATTTCGTTCACAATAAATTTCTAGTAACTTTTCAAAGTCAGCCGTAGGCTAACTATTATCTATTTTTTTCTTTTTTATGTGCCCTTAATAGAGAAATTCTTTCTTTTCTTTATCAAAGATAATATCAGGAAAATATTTTGGTGTGCACCCTGATAATATTCTGTCTTATCAATGCTCTCAATAATTATTTCAGTGTACGTTATGTTCATTTTACTCTGTAAATCTATTTAGTTAATGGATTCACAGAGGACACTTTTTGTATGTTTATTAAGTGATTGGAGGACCAAGCTCTCTGAGTAGTTGCTTAGTTTGGTGGAAAAAAGGCCTGCCTCTTTTTACTCGCCTTTTTTTTCAAATACTTTTAAATACTTTAACTCTTTTCTGTAGAAACCTAGTTGTGTATCTTCTCATGTAGAAGAATTTAGCATTGATTATGCCAAACCAGAATAGACCTACAAAAACGCTCAGCGTCTGTAAACACTGTGAGGCTCTTAACGCTGGGTTGTAAGTTAGAATGAACGTTATCTCGTTGTTTCTAGAGGTTATCGTTTATTTCTTTTATTTTGTTTGATTGATTGAATCCAGTTTGCTCCTAATTATCATTGCAGATCTTACATCCATCAGATGTATGTTCCAGTCTTGTGAACTAACAGTGTTTATAATGAACTCTCTTATCATCTGTTGTGGAAAGAAAACCAATCAGTGTTGGGCTGAAATAGGCAGGAATCAGAAACTAAAGTCGTTCACAGTTTTGCGACTAATGGAACAAGAATGAATTGACCTAGTCCCCTCCAAAAGTAGAAAGAAATTAGTCAGAATAATCTCTTTCTTAACAACAGTCGTAAATTTATTGCAGCTTGCGGGGGACCGTAACAAAAATTGCCTTTCAGCATTAAACAGCTTTTTCGAGAAAGCAGCCTCGTTTTAAAAGAATACAGTATTTTTTATGGCAGCAATTTTCAGAGCAACTTTCTTGCCGGCCCATTCAAATTTATTGATATGAATAAATTTCCTTTAACAAGGAGGGAAAATATCGAAAACTTTTCACCTTCATGCTGCTGACTTTTTTCAGAAATCGTGGATAATTTTTAAGAAAAAGCAAGATGTTTCCTAATTAAGTCTGCACCTTTTGATGTCTTCAAATAAATTGTCACTTGTATCAGAAATTTCAGTCTATTTTGCTCAGCACTGATTTCATGCAATTTTCTAGGAGTTTCTTGTCTGATCATTTAGTTCCCTAATTCTGACATCCAAGAAAATCATTATTTACAATCAAAGTTTACCCAGACTTTGAGAACTGGTTTTTGAGTTGAAGTAAGTACCAAGATTCAAGTTAAGATAATATCAAAGTGAAAGGTGGTGAAACCAGCCCAATATTTCTAATAATATGTATTTAGTAAATATATATTCAGAAGAGATCAAAATATTGAGCAACTTCTCTAAGATTATGTCTGTTAAGAGACGTTTCTCTTGTGAAATGTCTCTCTGAAAGTAGCTCGTGAAATTGAGGAATTTTTTGTGTAATGTTCTAATTAATATTTGCAGAAAAGGAATGATTAATGGCCAAAGCATTTTTTAAAGTATGTATTAAACCTAGATTTATTTGCAGGAAACGGTAAAATAAGCTACAAAAACTGTGTAATTACAACAGCACGGAGAGAAAGAGGATTCAGGACATCCCCATGTCATGTCATACCGATGTGCATTATCTCAAGGGAAAATTGTGTGCAGACTACTTTTCGATGGTGAAACTGTAGAATTGCGTATCTCTGTACGCAGCATTGCAGACTTCCTGTAAAACATTATTTTTTTTCTACATGGGAAGCAACTGAACGTCATTTTTTGAAAATTTCAGTCATTTTCTTCTCTTAATGAAGAATATTCTGTTAAAACTTCTAGCCATAATGTTGGTTTGGTCTTCTTTATTAAAAAATAAAATAGTCGCGGAAATTTCGAAACACCGCAACGGAAATGTGCATTTTTGCAGTTTCACTGTCAATTTGCAAAATTCATCAACCCTAGCAACAATGTCTTAATGTCACAGACTATCAATCTGATAAAACTATCATTCAAGTCAATCAATTGAATTTTTTTGTAAAATTCTGCTTAAACATACGAACTGGAAATCGCTTTTAATTTTTGTAGAAATATTCTCCCGGAGCCGCAAGCTTTCTAACTATCAAAGTAAATTTCCGTCAAATCTTACATGTTTTTATGAGAAGTTATACCAAAGAGTTCCTTAATTTCAATCAAGATTCTTTAGAGAGTGCCTAGAATTTGTGACATGTAAATATTTTCGGTTTCAGATGAAACGAAAAGTGCTTGAATCGTCAAATGATCCTTGTGTTAATTGGTTCATATATTTATATCCATCAGTGTTGAGATTTTCTCCTTACTTGTATGTAACTTCTATCTTATTGGTATTACCTGTAGTGTAAGGTGAGACTTTGAATAAGTCCACTATATATTAGACATAAGTTTAAACCAGTGGCAATCCCCTTTTCTGTGAGGAAATAAATTGAACGATGTCTAGTGTCTATCATACCTTTGTTGGAGCAAAAAGTTGAATTTAAATAAGTGTGCAAGTGGTAAAATTGTGCGAAAATCAGAGACTCCAAGTTCTTGTCAATGATGAAACAACTTTTTCAAAGGTTCTTAGCTTAAATGAGGCTCTAATTCCCAGGAATATCGGTCAAGGTGACTCGTCAAGCTCTGACGTGTTCGAACTGGCATGCAATATATCGCATGCCAGTTCGACCTTGTCAAAGAGCTTGGCAATTACCTTAAGGTATTTCCAGAGAGATCTAGTATTATTATTCTTTGCTTGCAAGTTCTATAGTTGATCCATTCAATGACGGAGGAATTCATTCTTTGATTTATAAGTATATATCTTATTTTAATGTCATGTTTCGAAAAGGTTTCCTCTAAAAATAGTCATTCGATCAGATTGAGTCACTAAACTTGCACTTTCACCAACAAGAAAAATTTTGAGCTCAGAAATCTGAAAAAATTGGGCCTGATAACAGTTACAGCAGTGTTAAAGAAAGCAGCGCTTTAATTTGAAGAGAAATATTGATGCCTGAAGTCATGCTTACATCATGATCTCTTCTGCAAGATGAAGGTTCTAAGAAAGTATGACTCTCAGATTCCCTTCAATTTCACTAGTTTAAAGCTTTATCACTCGTATGTTAGCCCACATACATTTTAGGCAGGTTATGGCGAAACACTTGTGTCTTAGTATTATTATTTTTGAATCATCAGCCAGCTTCAAGAATTTTTTCGTAACTTAATGAGTTCCAGTGGATAGATTTTACCTTCACGTCTCTCATCTTTTTCTCAGAAGGGAATAGATATGTCGAGGTTCAAAGCAGTAACTTGTATCCTCTTACTTTTGTTTTGTATCCGGTGCAAGTCCTCTCAACCTCTATGGAAATAAGGCTAAAAGCTTTTTAAGTCTGAAGATTGACCTCAGGAATATTACATCGGCAGCTGTGAAAATCAGTTTGAAGCTCTTACGCTCAATTTTTCACTGTGTCATCCATATTTTGTGTCCCAAGTTCTTCCCAGTTTTCAAAGAACGAATCAGGATGAGAGAAGTTCTCGCGCCTGATTTTTGCTCATCAACCGAAATAAGAAATTCCTAAAAGCCCATGTGGATCACCAGCTCTTAAAACTGGACGTATTTCTATCAAACGGAGCTATGTGCATTAAGACATGAGCCCTGAGACCCATAAAAATATGTGCATAACAGGGCTCACGTCATAATGCACTGCACATAGATCAGTTTTGATAGAAATACGTCTGTACTCTGCAGAGACCTTCAATGAACTGCTGTGACTTATGACTTGACTGATACAACTGAAAATTTACCCTCTTTCTGTCACTCTTTAAATTTAGGGTAATTTTTACGAATGTCGTCTTTTTTATTTTCAAAGTCAGCTAGTTTTCCTATCAAAAAATTCTTAATTAAACTCATCCATGAAAATAGGAGATTGTTATGTTTTATCATCCTAACTTAATACAAAGTACATTCAACAAGAACTATCCAAATCTTCTATCCAAGAAAGCAATGTTTGCCATCAATTTTAAGCAAGGTGTCAAGACTTAAGAAGCAAAAAACGATCATCTACAGCCTGATTGTAGAAACTAGTTCTGGCTTTGTCAGCAGGACAATATAAGACACAGCTGTATCTGAGCCATGTAGCATATCGATTTTTGATGTCTTGTCGCGCTGACGTATTTCAATAATCAGGCTGCTGTTTTTCTTTTATTTAATTGATGTTGAGTACAATCACTATTATTAGGCTCATGAGATAAAGCTCAAATTATTTAGAAAATAAACATGTGCATTTTTTTAAATTGAATTCTGAAACGCTGTCGTTTATAACTTGTCAATTGGCCCCTCTGCATATCCATTAAATTTTTAGCAAGCTGTAGTACAAAATTTTTTACAAACGGTTTGTGTCGTCAATCTGGCGTTTATTGTAGAAAGCGTTTCTTTTTGCTTATTTTTACCAACTTAATGGCAAAATTAGATGGGTAAAGAAACTGTTTTGTCCTAAGTCACATCAGCTCTAAAATAATTCTAAAATCTTTTCGGGAGCTCCATCACAACCGTTCCAACTGAGCTCGAAGGACTCTCCCACACTTGTAATTTTGCGTAGATTATTACCCTTATACTTGGACAGGACATGTAAATATCAATTGTATTTTACTTTAATTGCACTAATGTCCAGTATGTATATTAAAATATTGATTATTGGATTTTTTGTGCTTGAGATACCGCGTGAAGATTCTTAATTTTCCTAGTCAATTCTATTTGTATAAGGTTTCACCTCGAAATCTTTGCTCGGTACTGATTTTGCACTCCTCTCGGAGAATCTAAATTTTGACCAGCCGCGGTACTCGTCAGAGACTTTTTAGACTTTTTACTCAGCCTTAACCGTAATTTTGTTTATTGAACATATGCATAATTTTTAACTTAAATTAATAATTAAATCTGTTTAGTTGTATTTTTCCAAATGTTTTGAAGTGTCTGTTTTGTTTTTCCCCCTACTTTTGCCCTTCTGTTTTCTCCCAAGAAATTACTAGACTTCAAAGTCAAGGTTGTGATATAATCGTGTACATTTTCTTTTTTTCTTTTTTTAAATGAAATACATTTGTATGTTATTAGCTTAGTAAATTCTGTCTTGACTTTTTCTTTCCTTACTTAGTGTGTGAAGTTCTTATATTTGTCCGAAATACGGCACATACGTGATAGAAATGAATAGTGTACTTGTGAGAAGATTTCAAAGAAATAATTTTAAAAAAAAATTCATCTCTTATTCCGAAAAATGCATAAAACAATAGATTTGAAACATTGCTTCTTTCCACACGAAATAAAAGATGATTAGGTTCTAATAAAAGTAAATGAAAGGTACAGCAATTTAAAATTACAATGATTTACTTACAGATCACACTGGCTACAAAAATTATTAACATTAAAACAAGTATCAACAACTAACAAAATAACATACGGTAACTTTTCTGGACATTCTGGTTGGACTGAATCAAATCAGTTCAAACATCTAAAAAAGTGAGACAAAGAAGAAGTCCCTAAAATATTTTAATTATTCATTCCTTTATTCAACAAGGAATTCCAGATTTTCTTACTTAGTGCTTCTTTAGATGCTTAGAATAATACAAAAATTCCATGAAAAGCTTCGTTAAAGATCTCTCAACAGAGAGAGGCACTTGAATGAATTTTTTGCTCTTTTATGCGGACAATAAGGGGAGAAGATACCACTGATTTAAAAAAGAAAGAGAAAAAGGGGTATCACCCCTCAAATACATTCTGTACATACTCTTTAATAGAATTAAAATGGCACTGACAACACTGTACCAATTGATATAATAAGACTGTTAGCCGCAATATCAGGGTAGGTTTTAAAACCTGAGCTATTGATTGTTAACAGGGCTGAAAGAGATCTTCAACTCTCTACCATTCCATTATGCAGTCTGCACTTCAAATCGAGGTTGCCAGATTGTGTGAAAAAACCTTGATATTTCACATTGAGTTCAATTGAGGAGTGTGCTAAATCTGGTAACAGTGCTTCTAAGAAATTCAAAGGCGTAGGAACCTAAGTACAAATGTATAATGGAACATTTTCTCTGGAATGCTATGAAATTTGTGAAAAATTATCAAAAGCTGAAGGAGATTATAGATAGGTACCATGAAGTAATTTGAGCAAAAATTTTAAAAAAATGGAAATTTGGCACATTTTGGTGAAAAAAGATGGAAGAGTTTTTGGAAAAAAGTACAGAGATTTCCTTGGTTTCCGTTCATGGCTGTAAAAGTAAGCTTAGATTTTCATGAAACCCAACAAGTATGAAAACGAAAGTTTTTTCATTCGAATCGCATCAACTAATGAAAAAGATAAAATTGAGTATACCTTATTAAAAAATCTAAAACTTTTTTGAGCGAGAGGTCTATCACTTCACAATTTAACAGGTACAGGGAAATTAAAAAAATTCTCAGGAGTCAGCGAATGTTTGGAATAATTCAAGAGGACTTGATCAGATCTTTCTGCCATCTTAATTGTACAGTTTGCCGTTTTTTTGGGGGGTTACGTATTTCTCATACTTAGAAAAAGTCACCAGCAAATCTGGTAGCTTTTTTTGGCTCCTAAAATTAACTCTCCTTAACAAAACAAAAAAAATCCCTTTTGGACGGATTATCTCTATGAGATTGCAATTAAAACTAATAATGGTGTCAAACCCAAGAACACCACTCAAAATAGAGGAAAAAAGTAATTTAACTTCGAAGTTAAACAATTACATCTGATTCTGAGTCATGGTGAGACAAAAAATAAAGAATACAGAGCTCTACCTGAATTACCGGTAGAGTGGTAAGAAATTTGCACTTGCAACCATCAGAGATAGCGCTTGAAAACAAAATTCTCTCAAAATACAGCAGACATCTTTTGCCGATAAAAAACTTTATTTAAAGTCTAAGCTTAAGGGTCTTTTAAAGCTGCCATTACGATCCCTTTTTCTTGTCTTCATTCGGATGATACTCCGTTTGTTTGTGCCAACCTTGGCGAGTATATGACTCTTTCCTCCTCCAAGTGTCTTGAATACTGATATTGTTTGGAGAAACTTTCAAACATTACACCGAAGTTTGCATTTTTACAAAAAGTACGAAGTTTGCAAAAACTTATTTTAAATTCTCAAACGGAAGGCAATGAAATTCCTGAAATCGGCAGAGAAATCATCGGATTTCGAAGAGGTAACACAGAAACTGCTGAGAACTTTTCAGATATACCTATTTTAGGAATCTGATTTGCAAAGAACAAGCCATACTTTTGCTTTCATATGACTCATCAGCCAGAGAGGACAATTTTTTTATGACTCATTGCTCTCAGATCGTCATTTTTGTCGATGGTAGGTGTAAATCAGAAATCGACAATGAAAATGCAAAAATGCGGATACTGGTTGCGGTATTTCAGAATCTCCGCTCCTATTTTACTTTTTAGAAGGAGACCAAACCGATATCATTGCTTGAAATATTCACAGAATAGATAAGAAAAATCACCGGAATTTTCACGAAATGCCACTTATTAGTTTTCTGATGTTGAAAATTAAGTATGACGGGAAATCTGCAACGCTGAAAACCGAGATACGCATTTCTGCAGTTCCACCATCGAAATGCTGCTGTAAGGAATATTTCAATTACTTCTGCTTCACACGAAGCCCATTGTTCGTTCGAACGACAATGGTCGTTATTAGGAGGAAGAATGCAATCCAGCCAAACGATGAGAAAAATCCTTTGTAGACTGTTGGATGTGTTATCATCCATCCTCGCGCTGACATCGCTCTGAAAGCCTCCGTTGGGAGTGTAAGGGGAAGCGCCCAGCCAACGGAACGCAGAATCCAGTGCATGCCCTCCAGAGGCCACATCATACCTACAGTAAGGAATTAAAAATACATTTTAGAATACAATCAAAATAATAATTAATATGTAGTTTTAGAATATTAATATATTTTTCTCAGAGAACTTTTAGAGTGCTGCACAGAAGCAAGAATAAGAGGAATTTAAACAAATCCATTCTTTGTTGAGCATTAATGTTTAACCCTCTAAAACTAATAATGAACCATTAAACATATTCTGGTAGAGTAGATAGTAGTTTCGCTTTTCATTTTTGATGGGTATTAGATTTTATTTTCTCCGAAGCAAGTTGCAGTCATGCAGTCTTGACGAAGGAGGGATATCAATACCTATGAGCTGTTTTTGGGCCCCCCTGAATTTCTTACCGATTTTACGATTCTTTGGTCATTCAAGGTCTATATTTTACAGAATGCATCGTGATTTGGTAATTTTTGGTCTCTTTATGCGTCTAAGACTAGCCTGAAAATGAGTCTGAAGGCAGATTTTGGTAAAAAATGCGAGTTTGCAATTGAATTCAAAATTGTCGGCCCTATATAAGACCCAAAAAGAGACCGAATCATGATGCATTCCATGAAATAAGGACATTCAATGGGCAAAAAATCGTGGAGTTAAGGAAATTCAGCTGAGGTGGGCCCAGAAACGGCCCTAATTGATACCTCCCTTTTCTTTTGAAAGCCCATAATCAAAGCCAAAGAGGTCAAACCAAGAGAAGGTCTGTGGTATTTTGATGCTTTTGGTTTGAATACAAGGTTTTTGAAAAATATATATTCAAAACTGGCTCATTCTTTAGGTACTAATAAATTATTGTTTTGCAAAACATTGATGGTGAAACCACAATTCTGAGAGGATGGTTCTGTCAATGTTGTACATTTCATATGAGCCTATCAAAACATAAGTCTGTTCGAAATAAGGTACAGGAATCAATGGGTTTTGAAAAATTTCCCAGTTTTTAATTTGATTACACCAATATTCCTTAATTAAAAATTGATCCTCATCAACTTAAATGATCTGTACTGAAAAAAGAAAAGTAACTTATTGGTTTCAGCTGAAAATCAATCGTGAAAATTCCAGATAAATAAGTTTAAAAAGTTATTGAGAGAACTTACCACTGAGCATAGCTAGAGGGAAGAAACTACCAAGGCCCATGAAAGTGGCCGCAGTATCAGTATCACACATGACGGACACCATGAAACCTGTGAAAATAAAAATATAAAAAAGTCAATAAAAAATTTCAATTCTCAGTGCTGAGGAACTTAAGTAAGGTGGTTTGAATTTGAAGCTTCATGAAAAATATTTTATAGTCCGTTTTATAGAGTAAAGAATTTTGAATTTCATTATGATTAACCTTTCATAAATCATCTTCTGTACTACTTCTACATATTCAATGCATCTGCTTGTTTATCAAAGCACAGCAGTCGTTGAGTCAGAAAATTCAAGCAAAAAAGCTCCATGTTTTATTTGTATCATTTTCTTTTGGAATAACAAGATGAAAACTTCTTTAGTAAAAAAAACGATATGCATAATAGGACAAACAGAGCAAAGTATACATTTATCTTCTGCAGAACTTGTGTGATCAAACGAATTACAATTTGCAATGAGGAACCACTATTTCTGGCCCATTTTAGAGACAACATACATGTCATTGGTTTCCCTATGCAGATATGTGCTTTTATGGGAGAGCCAGAGATAGTGGCTCTTTATTGCAAAATGTAATCCAAACGATCCGCAGATGGCAGCTGATCTCACAAAAAATGTGAAGAAAGGCAAAAAGGGGTTTTGAAAAGTGTAGGCTACTTTTTAACCGACGCTGCATGATATCATAAAATAGATCCAATAAAAATTGATAAACTTCCAACCAGAAAAGGCAAAAATACCTTCGTGAACCAATAAGTATATCGATGACGAAACTCCCGAACTACATATCTTAAATAGGGATGTTGGAGACTTCCTATCATACTTTATTTTTTAATTGGAGGACTAAATTTTTAATTTGGAGAACAACAACGTCAATTCTTTGAAACCTCCTTGATTTCTCTTCTCCGTGTGAGGAAAATTCTGCGCAATCTTCAAGAAATAATGTTGATTTGATCTCTTTAAAAAAACTCGGAAAGGAGCATAGATTTTGAAACACAGCAAATGAGATACATAGTTTGGGAGTTTCACCATCACTGTTCTTTAAACATGATTTTCGGCATGATACAAACTAGGAACTGCCTAGGATGACCGAAGAGAAAGGCTCTTTCCGCAGTATTTCAGGTTGGACAAGGTCGAGGACTGCAGAGGCAAATAAGGAATCAACCCCAGGAAATGCGAATTTCACCCCCCCTCACTTCCTCAGGGGGAGGGTTGAAAATGATGTCCTGATTTTAACCTGAAATAACTGAGAAAAAGCCTGGTATGGGTGGTGTGAGGTAATGGACTGCTAGGAGAAATGATGAGTTTTGACAGCTTCTAAAACTGTAGAGTTTGAGGCTTTAACAATGATAATTCCCTAACAAAGCACTTAAGAATAAGCACTTAAAATTAAGGAAAATGATAAAGAAGTAATTACATTGTCATACCATAGCACATTCCACTAGTTCCTGTCAGCCACAAGAGAGACAGAGTCCAACCCAAGTTTCCAACTAACGGGTTGTCGAAAATCACAAAGAGAACGATGATCATCAGCGTTGTTTGAATGAAGAGGACAATGAACTGAACAATGATGTGAGATATCACGACCTCCAGCACTGTTACACCTTCAAACAACATAAAAAGTCCATTAAATACACCGAAGGAAATTAGTTTTACATACCACAAGGACGTAGAAATGAATAAAAAATTGAAAACACAAAAGTCAGGATAAAACAGAAAGACTGAATAGGGTTGATGAAAGTGTAATGAACCAACGGATAGGATAGGCATTAAAGCACTATAAGTGTTTCCATATCTAATTTAATACTTAGCGCAATGACATATTCAGAATATCCCAAACCAATTTATGAGCAAGATTTTCTTTTTCCTTTCTGGTCAGGTTTAATACAATCTTTACAATTTAGATTCTTATTCTCTAACAACTATGATCTATTCTTTGAATGATTACCATTTATAATAAGTTATGACACTAATTGAGAAACACTGGCACTACCTGGGGCACTAAATCGGGTGGGTTGAGTGAAAGATATACCCTTATTTTTTTCAGCGGCATTAGTGGATTCAAACTTTCCACTGGCGTTAAAACCAAAATCGATGTAGGTTGAATCAATCATTGAATACTTATGCACGTTCAGCAAATTGCTAAAATCCCTTCTCATACAAATTTTCCTCGCTTTTGGCTCATAGTACTCAACGTGCAAGGAGAAATTATTTCACACAAAGCAAGCCAAAATTAATTTTGTAACCCATCCCACTCAAACAAATTTTAACTTTACGGCAAACAGGAACTTTGAATTATTGAGGGCATAAAGCACTGATTTTTCACTTAAGCATTGATTTTGAATATTTTAAACATGTCAGCGGAGTTCTACATAAAATTTTTATGAGATGAGAATGGATATGGTCCTTCATTTCCCTGTGGAACACTATATGGTTGTCCATTGTGATGAGAATAGCGCAGAATGTGAAAAAAAAATTGAGGAGATTTTATACCTGCAACTAAACTCCGTTCCAGAAGCCCTGCCATTTTTTCCATCAAAATTGCACCGACCGTAAAGACCATCGGAAGATAGAATTCAAACCTGTGGGCATGATTAAAAGAAAATATATTAAAAAATTTAAAAGCAGAACAGCCTACCTGAAGAGTTACACAGAATATTAAGAAACATCACATGCAATCTTTGACAGTGGTTCACTTTGAAATTGAGAGAAATTTTAGAGATCATGAGTTAGTTTTCAATTAATGTAGAATAAAGTGGCTAAAGTTCAGCCACTGAACTTCATCAAATAGATTCTAGATATGAAGACTAGTTTTCTCTTTTTTTACTAGTCGAAGCACACAATAGTTTATAGGTTACTTGGGAGTATACATTAGAAAAATGAGAGAGACAAATCGAAAATTAACTTACAAGGAAATGATAGCTGGAGCTGTAAAATGAACAAAACTTGGGTTGTTGTTTCCATAGATAGCATCCTCTATCTGAAAATAAAATAAAAAAAAAAAAAAAACACGTAGAAATGAGTAAGACTATAGAATAATAAGACGTATTTCTGTCAAACAGAACTAAGCGCCATAGGGTGAGGAAGGTAGAGGGGGGCTTGGATTGACGGCGAAACCGGGCATCGGGCTCATTCCGTCCTATACTCGCAATGCTTTTCCATGGCGCTTAGTTTCGTTTGACAGAACGCGCTATCCGGCATTCTAAATTCCTCAAAAGGAACTCAAATTGGCACTTAGTTCCGTTTGACAGAAATACGTCCAATATAAAACGACGAAGTGTAAAGTTGAATTGATTACACTCGTTATGGGAAAGGAGGGACATGTCTATTTTTAAAACATAAGAATTTATTTTAATGAAACGAAACTAACGTTCTTTTCCTCTTGCAAAATTTTCATAGAGGGCAAACTTGTTTTTAAAAACCCCAGCGTTCTTCAAAGGAGCAACTTTTACCATTATCTATATTTTTATTGAAAAAAGAGATCTTAGCAAAAATTTGTAACTGGAAAGAGGGAAATCAAATGTTGTCACAGAAGGGATCATGGCCTCACAAATTTTGGCACTCATGCAAAGAACACGTGTTGATAGATACATATTTTTCAAAGTGAGAACTCTTTTTGTTGATGCTATTTTTCAAAAAAGCCAATCATTCAGACTTTTCTCTCATTTTCGATACGCTAGAATGCAGATTGCCAAAAATTAAACTGAAAAATTTAAATTTAAAATGATTTGCTTCACAATCCCTTTTGCGAAAGAAAAATATTGATTGAAAATGAAGGATGCTTTTAAATAAAGCATATTGTGGAGATAAAACCCATTGCAAAAAACTACTGAGTGGTACTTTTTTCAGTAAAAAAAGTAAATACCTTTATTGGAATGTCGGCTACCCTAGGAGTCCAACCACAGTCAGAAAAGAATGCCTGTAGGAAACTAACGTACCCAGTCAACATGTCTCTTCGTAACATATTTCCAATATATTGATCTGAAATTAATGCAGGGACAAATTAATTTAGATGAAGACAAGGAAGGTTCTAGAAACAGAGAACCCCAAAAAATATGAACAGGGGATAGATTGACAGTCCCCTATTGATAACTCTGAAAAGTCTTGAAACAATGACATACTGATCTCTAAATGTAACACACAAAGTCTATTTAATCTCTTCAGAATACTCTAGCTCATGCCTTATTTCAATATTTATGAAAGCTAGTCGGATTTGGTGGTAACAGACGATAAAAAATTGCGAAATTTTCAGCAACATTTTTGGCGTTATTCCTAGAGCAAGAATTGCGGGTACTGCACAAAGCCAAATCAAGACAAAACAACAAAATTTAATGAATCTGTTGCCCCCACAGGGAATACAGATTTTTTTTTTTTCGATCTCGTGGAGATAAAAAATCTGCACAGATACCAAACTTTAACCGACTGTTGCCAACCTCATAAAGGTTTCGTGTATCTCACAAGAGAAAGTTCGGCCCGATATGAGGGTAGGGCATTGCCAATTAAAAGATGTTAGGTAAGTTTGGCTGGAAAAATAATGAATAAATTTAGGGAATACAGACAGAGTCACCGCCGAAAAAATTTACACAATTTTAGACAGCGACAAAAGATCACCTGACATCATTTTAGCACGGAAAGTAAATGCAAGAATCAAGATCGCGGATCTTCCGTTGCAGTTTAACAGTGCAAGAACTTATGTGGCATAGACTCTGAATGAATGGACCTTAAAAGGGTAAAATTGTATACAAATTTTTCCACCTTCTTAGGAGGATTTCTTGACTGGAGGAGGAGGCCTAAGACTCACAGTTTTTCTCTTCCGTAGGCGTACTATTCATTGTAATCTTTTTGATAAAAGTGTAATCTTTTTTTAAAATTACGACGACTTTTAAATTGCCTGGCACCTTTTTGTTTTCTAGATTTTTCTGCTACCCTTTAAACCCTACCGTGCAAAGCAATTTTCTGGTGTTATAAATTCAAACAAATATGATAGAGAAAAAGGGAGTGAAAAAAATTGAATCTTTCAGTTTGAAAACGACCCATCTTGGAAAAATGAAATTTTTCAGAAGACTATAAAAACTGTGTGACAGCTAGAATATGAGTGTTTAGATGCAAAAGAATGGACATCATAAAAAACCGGAGTTGGATCATTTTCTAACTGAGAGATTCAATTGAATGATTCTTACTAGACATATCCTGCCAGATCTCAACTTCGCTTAAATCAATGTCGATTGGATCAGTGCCTTCTTGTTGCTGTATTCGCTCCATCAGGGATGCTGTGTAATTTCTATTAAAATACAAAAGACCCCATGCGAAGTTCTTTTTTACTGCGAGTTTAGCTGAATCTAAATCCTGGTATTCGACCTGTGAACACAAAGTAGAATTAGAGGACCTGTTTGATGAGGTATGGTAGGAGAGGAACTTTTTTTAAAAAAATTGGAAAAGATTTGGTAAATGGTTGACATAAATTTTAAAAACTCTTTCTTCGAGCTTTCCTTGATCATCTATTTGGTGTCAGAACACAATTTTTAGGAATATTTCTTTTTGATTTTTTTTGATGGGTCTCCTAGTACATAAAATTAATTTTAAAAGCTCACTTCTCTCACTTTCAATTTGTCAATATAAGACGCATTTGAGTCCGCCTTCAGTTCAAGACTCGAACTGAACTGAACTGAAACTGAACTTCAGTCATGAGCTGAAAATGGATTCCAAAGTAGTTAAAAATGCGCCTGAAACTAACAAATTAGAGGGGAAAGAAGTGAGCTTCTAAAATATGTTTTATGTGATAGAAAACCTATCAAAGAAAAATCCTTAAGAAATACATATTCCTAAAAGTAGGTAATGTTTTCCTAAAAGTAATGTTAAATAGATGATTGAGGAAAGCTCTTTTACCCTCACATAGGTACTTCAGAGCTAAGATTGACACACGCCCTCACATTCTTGCATTTCTGGGCCGAAAAGAACCAATATTCTTCTGAAAGATAACAACATACGGCACACTGTTGTGTCAACAAAACGGCAATGCCATATCTTTGTGAGAAAACTTTCTTAAATATTCGTTTTTCAGCCCTATTTTTCTTAAGTATGGCACACTGAACAGAAATTAAAATTTTGAAAAACTCACACTCTCAAAACTCACTTAGAAATTCATACTTATAATAAACATGCAAAAAAATAATGAAATCTGTCCAGCATCAAATTCCGTCCTTACATAAGCAATTTTTTTAACAATTTAGAGCAAACCTGCATTGAATAAAGTGAGGGTTAAAGCTTTTTGCTGGGGAGTCAATACTCTTCTGATTAGAAACATTTTTTCACAATTTGCGTGGAAAATTTGCGCTAATCTCGGGTAATTCTACTTTGCAAAACGGGAAAAGTATATTGAGAGAATTTGCTTTCTATAAAATGTTTCAACATAGTTATTTTCATAACAATATCCTGCGGATTGATGACAATTTCAACAAAAGACCTCTGTCAGAAAAAAAATGTCAGACCATCAAACGATCACGGTATTGAACAGATGATTGACCCCTTCATTCAAAAAGACAAAAAATTGTAAAAACTTTACATCAACACTTTTTCTTACCAATCTTATTGTCTTTTCTCTCAGCTTTTCAAGATACCGACAACTTATTGGTAACGTCATATTACAGCCCCTGGAAGGATACTGGTAACAACTGCTAATGCCGTCTTCGAGTTCTTTATTGACTACCGCTATTGTGAGACCTTGTGGATCTCGGCCAATACAAGTACAAAACAAGAAGCACTGAACAACCGGTAGAAGCAATAGGAAACACATGATTCTGAAAAAAGAGAGAAAAATGATAGGAAAAATATAGTGCGATAAAAAAAGAAAAAAAGTACTTCATATAAAATTCCTTGATAAAAATTACTATGAATAAGACAAGATTTCGGAGGAAAATTTCAAATTATTTTATTCTTAAAAGTATAATACTGGACCAAAAGTGTGGTAAACACTACGCTATCATTTTATTGAAACACAAGATTTGAAGGACTAACTAATGTAGGAGGAATTGAGCCCTTTGTGTGTACTAATAAACAAATGACAATAAAATAAAAAACTCAATGAACTTGTTTAGTAATTATTAATTCCTGCATTTTTGAAAATTAGGGGGTGCCCTTAGTTCGCAAAAATTCTCCCCAAATCGTTTTGAACAATAACAACTCACAAAAATCAACTTCAAAGTTGCTTATTTTGAGCTTACATTTAAACAGGCTTCATTAAAACAAGCTTTCATTAAAACGAAAGGCAAGATGGCATCAAGAATATCCGTCCCATCTAGCGCACACTTTCAACTGCGCGACTTCTTTGCTACATTTGTAGTCCATGCTGTCATGTATTAATAACGGCTGCACCAACCGTAAATCATAGCAAAAGGGTCTTGCGCTTTAAAGTGTGCCTGAGGCGGGACACCATCTTTGCTTCCTTGATAGTGAGGGTTTAAATTGAAGCTTAAAATATGCAACTTTGACCTTTTATATGGGTTGTTATTGGTTAAAAAAATCTAAAAAAAATTTCCGTGAACTAGAAATTAACTAAAACTAGAACAAGAAAAAAGTTGTTGACATGAGATTTTCTAGAGGGATTGTTTCAAAATACCAGTCAGCACTTACGGAATATTTCTTTTCATCCAGTAGAAGTTTTTCAAAAGTTGAGCAGTAATTCTAGCAAAGGAACACATTGAGTCTTGTTTCAAGGGCGGCTCGGGCGGATGTGCAGGAGTAGGATATTCTTCTATATTCTGGAAAATTAGAATTTAAGGTTTGACTAAATTGGTAAAACTTACGCACAAGCATCTTTATTCTATGATGCGGCGGTTGCACCAATTACAGAATCGTGTTTTGATGATTTTAAATTATAAATCAGCAAGAAATAATAAGATCTGTCCAAACATCAAGTTCCCAACAGGCTGATGGTTGAAATTGATAAACAAAGCTACAGAAAAAGAAGCTATTGGGAGTGTGGAGGAGTCTTGTTGGTTGCAATGGGTGGTTCTTATAGACTGACGGAGAAAATGATGGACTAACTGTGAGTTCTCTTGTGAGTTGCCATTAGTCAGTATATTACCTACCTCCTTTGTCTATTGCACCCACCTACTTCCTCCTATAGTATCTCTCCATATCCTTTTTGTCTTCTTTGTCTATAGCTTTATCTATCAATTTCAACTATCACCCCACTAATACATAGAACCGTGGTGGGTTATTCTACCATGCTAAGGAAGAAATCTGTAAGAATGTACAGACATTGTCAAATTTTCCCCAATAAAGGGCAAATTTTAAGGAAAACTTGTGAATACTTTTCATCCAATTTTACAGAGAATTTATGGTCCTTGACTTCATCTGGACTCAAGGAACTGAGAAAAAATGCTTGACACAGGTGATCTGGATCACCCTATATGATCGTCTCAGATAGGATTATCATCCAGGAGATGGACTCTCTGGATTTTAGCGGAGGTAGAACTTCAAGACTTTTTTTCAATGAGGAATGTTTTATTATTCAATGCACTATTAGGAAAGAAATTAAATATTTAATATAATGGGTTACCGAGAACGCTTTGGTAAGGTAAGACAAACTTACACAATTTTCATCTTCACGGCCTATAGTTGAGCTGAGTTGTTTTTTACTTAATTCGAGAAAAGCTTGTTCTAGAGTATCACAATGATGTTTCACCATTAACATGTTAGGTGCTTCTTCAGCAAGAAGCTGTCCACCACGCATTAAACCAATCTGAAACAAAAAATAAGCATACATGTAAAGCTCAGGAATCATGAGTAGTTTTTGATGATGTCTGTTTGTCTTTGCTCGGAAAATGCATTCCATTATTTTGAGCCATTGATATGCAACATACGCACAAGGCAAAATCACAGCATCACAAAGTCTAGAAAAGTAAACAGCAAGATGTAAGGGGCCAATACCTGCCTGATCTCAAGAGCTTTCAAATTGCCAGAATCTATGGGAAAGATCTTGATTGTGGAAATTATCGAGATGCAGAGATTGCAGGTGCATCATAGATTGCAGGCCATACTTGGAAAGCTGGGAAAAATCTGGGGATTTCAGAATTATTCTTGGACATTCTGGATAATACATTCAACTCCTCAGCAATCACTTCAAATTTTGGTCATTCTTGTTTTTTAAAAGAGAAAAAATCTGTTGGAAGAAATTGGAGACTTCTTCAATGGGTCCCACTAAAATTCTGATGAAATGATTTCGTTGCACAGAGACACATGGATAGGACAGAGACATGACGCATTGGAGACAGTGCAATTATACTTACAGTGTGGGCCTGCCTGGCTTCTTCTATATAATGAGTTGTGATTATAACAGTCTTATTTTTGTTTGCCGTCATTTCTAAAAGACGTTCCCATATACTGAAACATAAAGCAAAAACGTTATTAACCACAATTGCATGATACCATAAGCTGCTTGCTGTCAAAATAAGCTGTTTTGAGACCATTTTAAAACAAAATTACTTGATGTCAAGGATTGGTGTTGTTTGACTCCATTAGAATCACCCAATGATTATGTATATGATACAACACAATGATTTTAACAGATTAAGCGAGTAGAAAGAAAAATAAGATTTTGATGGAAAACTCTCTATAATGTTTCAAAGAATAAGTTGCGGATGGTTCAATTAATATTTTGGCTAGCAAGTAGAGAAAAGTTACATCATAATTCAGCAACTTTCAGCAGATTTTTTGTCATTCTAACTTAAACCAAATGTAGAATTGTTGTGTCAGCAAAATCAAGAAAAAAATCTGAAAACCTTCCTAAGTACCACACAATTTTCTTGTGTGAGAGATTTAGTGGCAATTGATTTGGTGTCCTTAAACATTCTGTTTTTAATCATTTTAGGGTACCTAAAGGGGTTGACATGTGAGTGATTAAAATTGAAAGTTCACCTGGCACTAAGGACTGGGTCCACTCCTACGGTTGGTTCATCTAAAATTAAAAGCTGAGGATTGTGCAAAAGAGCAACAGCAAAGGACACTCTCCTTTCTTGGCCACCACTGCAACAGAAAAATGTTTCCATTAGAAATGGACACATTCGATAAATGTTTAGACAAAAAAAAGGTGATGGCAAAAATCAGATTTTTTAAAGTCAGGAGGAAGCACTTCTGGACTTCTGGTGTGAGCAGCACTACTGACAAGCCACTAAAAACAAATTAGTACTTCACTATTACTAGTTTAAAATTTTTTAAACATTTAATGTAAAATTAGAACTTGGAAAAAAATGATGAATGAAATAGATAATGAAACAAAAATGAGTATAATGATATCATAAATAAATTTAATCTTATGCTCATAAGCAATTATATGCATGGCAGACCTATTACGTACCATCATCTGACTTATCTAATTCAATCAATGAACATTATGCAGTTCCTTTTACAACATTGTTGAACTTGTTTATGCACAAGCGACTTATCGGATACCAGTAAAATTCTGCAATACCAATTATATCGTTCATGACATTCTGATAGATTCTTATCGACAGTTGCCGAAGATATTCTTTCCCCAATTTTTTTTTCTTTAGGGATCATATGAAATACCCTGTTGGCAATTATTTTGAATCGTAAATAAAAAGTGACTAGAAATTGAAAACAAAAATGAACAGCAACAATTGACACACAACAAATAAAGTTCATACTCAAACTTTTGAAAAAAGACTGATTTTTCCTAAAATTTTCCTGCTTTCCAAAATTAACCTAAGTATAATCCGTACTTCTTAGTGCCATGGCTAAACCTCCTTCCGCACAATGCCACTGGGCCATTTTCGAGCATCATATTGTTTTGAGCCATGGTAGGAGCTAAAGAGTTTTTTTCTGGGAAAGATATCTGCCAAAGTATTTCAATTCCTTTTCTATTATTTATTCATTAATTAAACATAATGGAGCCAAGTTCCATTCTTAAAAATGTTTAAAAAAATTATAACATTGTCGTTTTTGGACCAAATAAATTGAAGTTAATTTACAGAAAATAAGGGAAAAACTATGCAAAAATCGCTCATTCGAAGAAAAACAGGTTGGCATCTTGAACTAAACAAAAATAAAATCATGCACTAGACATATTATTCGTGGCTTTAGTCATAGCACAGGTCTCAAGGCCTTTGGAATAGTTAATGTACTACACCCTGTATGATCCTGAATGAAAGCTTCACTGTGCACTTTGAAATTCCATCCGTTGATTTAAAATTGAATTTGAAATGTGACAAAATAGTTTTCTTACCTTAGGTTATTGATTATACTATCTTCATGGGGTAGCAACAAAAATTTCAGTAGCTCATCTGTCCTCTTTCGAATCTGGCTTGCAGATAAATCGAAAAGACGGCCATAATATGTCATCGTTTCTTTGATACTAAATTCCTTGAATAAAGCCAACTCCTAGAATCAGCGAAAAGAACAATTCTAGTTCAGCGAGGTAAACAAAAATTCTTCGAAGTTAAAAATTAAAGTTAAATTATTCATCATTGTAATTTGAAGGAAGTGAAATCGGAGGTAGTGATACTAATGAAATGCTGCAGCCTTGCTGACTGACAAAAGTGATGAGAATCGAATATGGCTGTATCTGTACATCATTGTTAAGAGCTTAGACAGTCTTAGAAAGCGAACAAACTGTGTTTAAGTTTTGAAGGGCTAGGTAACTTTGAAAAAATATCAGCTGAGGTACATTAAAGTAACAATGGTTTTCGGATTTTTTCAGGTAAGATCATGTGCTCCTGACGCTCAGTTTACCACATGGTGAAAAATTACCTACCTGATTTGGAATAATTTTTTAAGGAGAAATCGTTCGACCAAAAAATTTAGATGGTTGCTTTACTTCAAGCAGTTCACAAACTTGCGGAAGCTTAACTATAAAAATAAGTATGATTGATATTCAAGGACTAAAATTTTACCTGTGGCATGTATCCAATATTGGCTTTTGTTTTTGCTTTGACACGAACATACCCAGCATCCAAATCACTCCTACCAACAATACAACTGAGCAAAGTTGTCTTTCCGCAACCACTGGGACCAAGTAATCCATAGCTGAAACAGAAATACAAATTATAAATTGATTCCGAAGTTTCAAGTTGAAAATCTTTAAACTTTTTATACACAACATTCATTGAGATATTTAAATCTATAGGCAAATAATGTTGCAAACATTTTAGCAACAATTGAGTAGGTACTTATTCAGGTATTTCTCCTGAAATAAAAAATTCTCTGGTGTTGTCTTATGCTGACCTCTGAGAAAAAGCCAATCTCCTAGTTGCTTCCTTGTTCCAAAAAATATTAAGAAAAGAAGTAGCTTGAAAATTATTTTATTAATTCTACTTATGCTATTAGCATCACATGGCGCTATAGGCTTTCAAGTATCTGCACACAAAATTTGATAAAGAGGCACTTTGAAATACTGTGAGTATATCTTGGGTGAGTAATACAAATCGTTTTGCCTTTCGGTTTGCAACATTCACTCTGACGTACTTTTAAAGCTATTTCAAGATGTACCTTGGTCAAATTACGTGAACCAACATCTGACGTACCACAGCATAACGTAAGGGTAGTTTCACGATAATTGGAATAGTTTTGTCGCCGTGACAGACAACACATTTTGCGGTCATATTTTTAGTCGAAATAATAATCACTCGAATTTTTTTGCATTAATCTTCAAAGGTTACGTATTATAATGATTTCTAATGATTTATTGCTCTACTTCTCAATTAGTAGTATGTAAATTCTGAAAATGTGCTGTCTGTTACGCGGTAAAAAGTCAGCGTAACAGACAGGACATTTTCGGCCATTTATATATTAAAATTGAAAAGTAGAGCGATAAATCTTTAAAAAGCATTATGACTTGTAACCCTGTGTAGATTAATACAAAAAAATTCGAGTAATTATCATTACTACTAAAAATATGACCGAAAAATATGTTGTCTGTTACGGCGACAAAACTATTCCAGTTATCGCGAAACCACCTGTAAAGCTCTGATTTTCTTCAAATGCTTTAAAATTCAGAAATTATCCGTTGATCGATCAACTAGTGTATTGTTCCCTAAAAAGCTGATCAAGGCTCTGTCATTGTGGACGGTCTGATGGAGAAATTCTGTCCTAGCAAAAATCCTTGAAAGAGAGACGAGACGATGACAAAAATAATCATTGAGGATCTTTATATCCAGTTGAAGAGTGCGATCATTGGCTTAAAACAGTAAATATGTGCTGAATGATATATATATAAAAGTCGCTTTACAGCACTGAATGATGATTCTTTAAAAATTCATTGCACATCGGTTGACGAAAAGCTTTTTCAACTGAGCATCTCATAAGAAGTAGAATGAGTACCTGTCGCAACAGCTGATTCGATGGTTTATGATGCGTGAGGTCTACATGGAATCATGGGCTAAACGCACAAACTTATTGAAATTAACAGGGCTTTTACAGTTTTAATCACGAATTCTCGAACAATTGCCTCTTATGATCACAATTCATGAATTTCACGATGCAATTGAAGCAGTGCAAGCGACTATGACTAAAATTAACCTCAATCATTCCATGGCGGCGGCGCCGTGGCGGATGACCAACCGGCAACCTCGCATGATTTGTTTACAACTCAATCAGTTGTTGTCCAGTTGTGTCGCTAAGTCGGTCGAGTTCGCCGTCGGTTCGGGAAAAACGGATTTTCTTGGCTTTTTCCATCGGAGGATCACAAATTCAAACTGTGCCATTTTAAGACCAAATCAAGGCGTAAAGCCACTAGACAGTGTGCTCCTCGAATAGGTAACTACCATTATGTTAACAACATCGTTTATCTGTCCAGTCGAAGTTCATGAAGGAGAGTATGATGGATTCGATCGACGTGAACCGATCGACGAATTATTAAAAGACCGGTGTCGATTCGATCGAAAAAAACTTGAACCGATCGACGTGATTTGATCGACACTGATTCAATCAACATAACTCGATCGATTCACGACTTTGTCAATCGAATCATGGATCTTGTAGATCGATTCACAGGTTTGTCGAGCAATTCACGGACGTTTGTCAACCTTTTCTCCGAGTTGTCGATCGATTCACGAGTTTGTCCATCGATTCACGGATTTGTCCATCGACTCATGTCGATCGAATCAATACCATCCGCTCATGAAGGGATATAATGGAGATGTTGCATGTGTGAGGAATTTGCAATTTGACTGTTGATGCTCATGTAAAAGTTCGCGAGAAACACGATAGTGCCACACTGCCACTAGTTTTCTCTGAAATTAACTTCCAAGCTCAAAAAAATTTGGCCTCAACTTGAGAGCTTTTTTTGAGCTTGGGAGTTGATTTCAGAGAAAACTAGTGGCACCATCGTGTTCCTCGCGAACTTTTACCGAAGAATCATCAGTCAAATCGCAAATTCCTCACTCGTGCAACATCTCCATCGTGTGTATTCGAGTAGGTGATTATTCGCGCTCCCGGGTAAGTTTGTTGCCTATGCAGAAAAATTGAAGGGAAATCTTTCGTGGACATTATCTACCAACAGAATCACAGGTCCCTGTGACCTGTGTGGAACCTGTGGAAAGGGACGAAGCCACATCAGCTATTGCCAAGTTGAACCACAAGCAATTTAATTTTTTACAAGAGGAAGTTTGTGCGGACTCCTTGGACATTTTTGAAGAATTTGTCTCGCACTAGGTATGAGGGAACTTCACTGAAATGTGCAGGAAAATCCGCAGAAGCGTTTTCATGTAACAAATTAAATGGAGATGTTGCATGTGTGAGAGATTTGCGATTTGACCATTGATCCTTATGTAAAAGTTTGCGAGAAACACGATGGTGCCACTGCTTTTCTCTGAAATCAACTCCCAAGCTCAAAAAAAGCTCTCAAGTTGAGGCCAAAATGGAGGGGATATCCCACCCTACCCTGAGAGTCCACCTCTACATCAAGACAAACCGTCCATGCAAAGATAGGGAGCAAATACATTAGCAGGGTTGCCGTGTTTTCAGTTTTGGAGTCCCCAAATAAGGTGGCAGCCCTGTCAATGTATTTGCTCCCTATCTTTGCATGGAGAGTTTGTTTTGATGTAGAGGTGGGCTCTCAGGGTAGGGTGGGATATCCCCTCCATTTTGGCCTCAACTTGAGAGCTTTTTTTGAGCTTGGGAGTTGATTTAAGAGAAAACCAGTAGCACCATCGTGTTTCTCGCGAACTTTTACATAAAAATCACCAGTCAAATCGCCAATTCCTCACACATGCAACATCTCCATTAAATTTGGCAATAGCTGATGTGGCTTGGATCCTTCCTGCTTAAGGTGATTCGTCAAGCTCAAAAGAAGTGGTCGAACTGGCATGCGATATATCGCATCTTTTAGGTAAAAAATCTCGGCAGATTTTGAATTTTCAGTAAAGAAAAGGACGATAGCCCCTCCGCATGAGCCTAAAGAATCATTCTAAACCTTGAAAACGGCAAAATTCAGAGAAATGAAAGCAGGATAGTGTTTGGAAAAAAACCTCGCATTCGATTCAGCTATCGATTTCGGTATCGAATGCGAGGTTTTTTTTCCAAACACTATCCTGTTTTCATTTCTCTGAATTTTGCCGATTTTTGGGTTTAGAATGATTCTTCAGGCTCATGCGCAGGGGCTATCGTCCTTTTTTTTGCTGAAAATTCAAAATCTGCCGAGATTTTTTACCTAAAAGATGCGATATATCGCATGCCAGTTCGACCACGTCACTTGAGCTTGACGAATCACCTTAACGTGATCCATTTGAACTCGGTCGGAGAGTGACTTACATTGTGCCTTGCGGGACGGTCATGTTGAGACCGCGAAGGATGACGTTTCCGTTGGAGAAACGCTTGTAGGCGTCGCGGACAACGACGGCCGGCTCCCGGCTCCCGCCATCCATCACGCTTGAGTCCATCCTAGATCGATCTGTCCACGCGGATCACCTCATGCCCTCTGAAACAAATCACATCCCAACAAAATTAGATTCCTCTTCATTTTTATTCAAAATCGGACACGTGGTTTCCGAGATCTCGTGCGCCGAAAAAACGCTCGGCGGCCATCTTTAACGGCGGCTAGCTTTAACGGCGGCAATCTGTAACGGAGGCAATCTGTAACGGCGGCCATCTGTATACCCCTGGATAGACGATCAAATTCCCGAACCAATTCCGATCAAAGTAGCATCAAAGTGTCGGGAGTCATCAGTCTTAAACTCATTAATTTGCTTAATTTTAAAATGAAAACTTGGCAGAAATGTTTCCTGTGGCAGGAAATGATGAATAGTGGCACTCCATTCTGATCTTACTTTGAACAAAATAGTGCGACCCGTCAAAATTTGATGGTAGATGGTGACCATCAGTCATCAGCATGTCTACTTTGATCGGAATTGGTTCCTTCGGAATTTGATCGTCTATCCAGGGCTTAACGGTGGCCATCTTACTTACTGTACGGATCCCAGAGCAGGGTGGCATGAAACGCAAGGAAGAAATGATAGATTGGAAATATCAGTGAAATATTTCATGAAATTTCACGAGGCTGTGAAATATTTCATATCTTTCAGGGGCTAGAATACCCGACCCGCACTCAAACACACAAAAACAGAAGAAAGTCCTACTTCTCATACTTTGCGAAACATGAAAAGGAACCGGGGTTTTTTTTTTCTTAATATCTTTCATGAATTTCTGAAATTTCATAAAATATTTCACGTGAAATTTCAAGATTACATATTTCATGAAATCTTGTTACCCTGCCCCTGAGTGCTTCCTTTTCTAAAAGAGCTTTCTTAGGACCATAAAACTGATCCCTGAAAGCGGCAATTTCCAATAAAAAAGTGCAGGGTTTTTTTTGTGTGCCCCTCTAACTATTTTGGAAAGGTGTTTCGAGCTTTCATAAGTTCGGAAACGCTTTACCCGCTAAAATCTATCGTAGAAACTTCCGCTTCAAAGACGATTTCTGGATCATGCTGAAACCTCTTTCTTAAAATATCTCCGATTTTTCACGATGAAACCTGTGAAAGGAGAGGGGAATCTATCGAAGCATTGTAAAATTGTCTAGAGTAGGAGAGTTCATTTTCGTGTTTCGGGTGCGTTACGGTAGAGGTAGCGTACCCAGCGGGCTGATGTTGAAATTGATAGGCTGAGCGATAGACAAAGAATACAATATGAGTATGGAGCGACCCTGACGGTTGAAATGGGTGGTTTTTATAGACTAAGGGAGTTAATGATGGGCTAACTAAAGGGTTTCTCGTGGGTTGCCGTTATTTAGTCTATTACCTACCGCCTATGTCCATTGCAACCACCCGCTTCCTCCAATAGGATCCCTCCATATCCCTTTTATCTTCTTTGTCTATAGCTTTGTCTATCAATTTTAACAATCAGCCCACAGTATATGTATGGGGAAAGTTTATGGACGTATTGGTAATTTTGAAGTTAGGCCATGGAGCTTTTAGGGGGTCCAAAAGGGCAGCGAACCTACGACTTAAATTTATTCATAATGACTTATTATTACAATTCATTGTTACGACCCGTCGTTTGTATAAAGCACGTATTCGACTTATTTTGTCCATACATTTACTCACTATTGCGGAGGAACGCTCATTTATGAACATACTTGGCTATCTTGGTTTGCTATTGGAATCTGAAGATTGGCAGTGACATTTTTTTTTGTGTTAGAAGGTTGGCTGCCCTTTAAGGCCCTAAGAGCTCCATATTCGACATGTCCGTACTCTCTCTATAGTCACTTCAGGAAGAAGGAGGTTGAACACGTTCGAATACATAGCCCTTCACATCTTTGCATTATTTTAGATGTAACCTGACTTGCCTACACGCTATTTTGAAGGCATTTTATAAGGCGCCGCGCCGCGTGTCGCATCCTCGGTAGCAAGAAGTAGAAAGGAGAATTTTTGCGGAATGTGATTCGTTTTCACATCATATTCTACGACTGTTTTCTTTTCCTCTTTTTTCATTAGATTCGACTTTTTGGTGGTCGAAACTGATAGTGCTGAATTCCAAGGATTGAAAACTTAAAATCGACTTGTGAAAGTGAACGGGGATTTTGCTGGTCTCTGAGAGCTATGAGTTTCATTCATAAATTGAAACCACTCAGTGAATCGATCATGAAAATGTTTTCGGTTCCGTAGTTGAACAATTATTTGAGAAGTTAGGACAGAATACGAGTTGATTTCTGAGCTTTCCGTCACATAAATAGCTTTTGCGTGGAAATTTGACGGAAAAACATGTAACGTGGTGCTGTAATCCACACCTTTTCTTGTGGCCCACTCTTTGCTCTTATGAAGGATTTCCTCAATCCCTCCAACCAGTATCGAGACGTGAATGATCGATTATCGATATTTCTCCATTTAAAGTTGTAGTAAAGGATCGATTATCAAGGTGTTTGTAGCGGACACCCTGTCTATCGATCCTTTTCCATTGGTTTAAATGACAGATCAATCGATAGATCGCGAAGCAGGCCACGCCACTGCTACCAGATTTGCCCCGTCAAGTTTCAGCGGAAATGATTTTTCCTTCAGTTTTTTGTCTTCTGCTCGACGCATCGTGAGAATAAGAATGACCAGTACAATTTGACTGGTGGTTGTCTTTCATGTAGACGTACTTAAATCAAGAGGAACTATATCCATTATTACATGAACCCTATCATGCATGTATTCTCATGGATCTCAGGGTTCATGTCAGAATAGATGTAGTTCCTCTTGATTTAAATACGTCCATGTAACGAAAATCTGCCAGTGGAGCCGATTTGTATTAAAATTGGATTTTTACTCATCAAGTTCCATGGAATAATGGAGAGAAGTATCCCTAGATTGCTAACTCAGTTTTACGTTGCTTAAATGCCATAGAGTACATGGAGTCGTAATGTAAATGGGAGAGCTGGCGCCATGTTCTGCTCGACGAATTCCGAGCCCGGTGTGCGCTGAGTTCGGGTCGCTTTTTCGATACATTTTCGATCCAAAATGGCGGTGTGGATTACGCGGTAATTCCTATCTCCTTTGTTGTTGTTGTTGTTGTTGTTGGTGTCATCGGATGGCCGGGTACCCGCGTATCGCAAACAATCGATTATGTATCGAAAAAGAGACCCGGCGTCACACAGGAGTCTCGGAATTCGGGACACGGAAAATGCTTAAAAGTGGCGCCAGCTCTCCTACTTACATTACGACTCTATGTACTCTATGTTAAATGCCCGCGGGTAAGTCAGTCCGGTTTTAAAAGATCGTACCAAAAATGCTCCTTCTCTGCCGTGCTAAGGAAGAACGCCGTATGAGCCTTCAGACGTTGCCATATTTCCTTCAATAAAAAACTAATTCACTTGGGAAAATTGTTATCATTTTTTTTTTAAATTTGCAGATAGATTTGTTCTGAATTTCGTCTAAAATATCTGAAAATTTCAAGGGAAAATAAGCATAATTTTCCCTAAAAATACATGTTTTACACTGGGGAAAAAACACATCGGATCTAGAGTCCAGACTCTTGAAAACATTGACAAGAAAAAATACTCTTGATTCAATCAGATTTAAACTTAAATCAAAAGGAAATCCGCTCAAATTAAGAGGCTTGGTTCTTGATTTAAGCTTAAATCTGATTGAATCAAGAGTATTTTTTCTTGTCGATGTTTTTAAGAGTCTGGACTCTAGATCCAATGTGCTCTTTTTTCCAGTGTATCCGAGGACATTTGCCAACTCTCGAATGTTCATACGGCGTTTTCCCCCAACACGGCAGTACTGTATCTGCTCAGCATGATGTGTTCCTGCGATTCGGCGACACAATATTGCTCTGTCACTGTCTCGTGTACTTCTGCAGACACTTGACCTCTGTTGAGGCGCATTGTCGCGGTTGTTCAAACACAGCGCTCGTCCACTCACTAGACATTGTTTGCGCATCCTCAGTTGCCAATGCTGCGTGTTTTTCCCGCGAGAGCCCCCCGGGCAGTTAAAAGGGCTCAGCATTTCAGGCATCGGTTTTTTGGGCCAAAATAAGGGTAATTCACCGGAAAAAAAATCTCGGCGTTTTTACCAAGGTCCGTTGGTACCTTTACCATCTCACTTTTTTTTTTACCAATTATTGGTAATTTTACCAAGACAGACTGGTAAGCTTACCTATAAACCGGTATTTTTACCGTTTTTGTTAGGTAAGAATACCGCTTTTATTGGTAATCAATTCCCGGTAACTTTGCCTCTTTATCTCGGTAATTCTACCACAGTCGATAAAAAATATTGGCGTTTTTACCAAGGTCCAGTAAAATTACCGAGAAAGTTCAATAATTTTACCGAGATTTCTCGGTAAAATTACCAATTCCATAAATGGTTATTTTACCAAGAGAAAACTGGGATCAAATAGAACCCTGAATTCTTGGTAATTTTACCCTTTTCTTAGTAAATACACCGAGATTTTTTTTTCAGTGTTTACTGCAAACAAATAATGTGAAAGCAAAACAGGTGTTACGTATAGTTCTGTTCTGGAGCACTGGCCTTATGTAGATCAAATTTACGGCAGAGGATGATCGAGCAAGGTGTTTTTAAGTTGAAGACTCTGCGATGAACCGATCAAGTAATCTAATCGAGGGTAAACGAGCTATTAGCGTCAAGTACGCGACTATTCAAAGTTGACGAAGTATTCTCTTCCACGAAGAAAGCTTTTAAATTACGAATGCACGAATACAAACTGAGAGACCGTCGTAGGATGGCATGAAGCGAGCATACAACTTTATCAACTTGACGGAATATTTTTTGCCCATACGATGAAATGAAGGCACTTTTATTTCGATCGCACGAATACAAGCTGAGAGACCGTCGTAGAATGGCATGAAGCGAGCATACAACTATATCAACTTGACGGAATATTTTTTGCCTATACGGCGAGATGAAGGCACTTTTATTTCGATCGCACGAATACAAGCTGAGAGACCTCGTAGAATGGCATGAAGCGAGCATACAACTATATCAA